CGGAACAAACCACAGATGTGCCGGTGCTTTTTGCTTTTTCCTGTTCTCTCTGCTGAGCGACTGCGGCGGCGGACGTGGCTTTCCTGCAACAGGACGGCATGCACCAAGTCCCCCCCCCCCCTTTCGACTCACGCATGGCTGGGAGGTCGTTCCAAACTCGCTTCATTCTGGGTTTTCCGAACGGTCCCATTTCCCGGGACGGCAAACCACTTGTATCTTGGGAAACATACGGCTCTGGCCGTATGAGTCCTTGCCGAACGCCCCGGAGAGTCATGTGTTGAACTTGCCCTCAGACTCTTCGCAGGTAGCTCGGCCGCCTTGCCGGCTTAGTTTGTACGCAACCTGTTTGACAGTCGCCACAGGAAGCAAACGCCGTCCCGGCGAGACAAAACAGACGGCCAGCCCGTTCACGCCCCCCACGCCCCCCACGCCCCCCTTGCCCGTTTTGTATCGCCACCAGGGAATGCAAGGAACTCTTGAAGCCACACGACGCCGATGTCAGAGTCTTGTCGGCGTACTTGATAGACCATCATCCCCAAAGCCCCGGTATAATGTCAGGTGGTTGATACAAAGGTCGTTTCTACAAGGAAACCACCAATTCATTCGGCCACCTGCTAGGCAGTCAAGATAAATCTTGCGCATCTTTGGAACGCCAACATCTGCGGTACAACTTGGCATGGTATCGTTTTTGGTGCTATTTACCTTGGGCCATTGCTTGGCTGAAGTTCCCGGCCTCGTTGATAGTGGCCACAGCCTCCGACCGTGATCTTGTGCTGCATGCCGCTTCCCAATGTCCAATTTGAACGAAACTTCTCTCTATTTGATATTTGAATAAAAGTAAAGCATGGATGAGCTGCGAGTGCTTGACGGTCATGTTGTCATGTTTGTTTGGCTCATAATCGCGATGCTCAGAGCATACATGATGTGCTGGAGCACAAGCATATGCTATTGTCAAAAACCATACATTGACTATCAAGCTAGTATTGCACATGACATTGAGCACACCTATGGAAAGGCCTTCGAATCCAGGTACATCTCAGCTCGATTACCTAATCACGCGTTATCCAGCCTCAAGCTGGCTTAAGTTTTGTATTGCTTCATGTTGACATAGTTGATTAACTCTCCTGATGGCTAGTTGTCTTCATCCCCCCCCCCCCCCCCCCCCTTTTCCTTTTTCTTTTTTCTATTTGTACTAGAAGTACGTGATTGTCCTATTGTGCTTACAACATTACTGCGCCCAAGTATACTTACGAGTACGACTATGGCTATATTCATCGATAGTTGCAAATCAGTGAGCGGATGGCATCTGCGTGCATAGCGTCGAGGGGAGACTTTTGTTGGATCGCCGACTTTATTAGCACCAAAAGTGTACGCTTCCACGGAGCTGCCAGTGCAATGGGATTCATCAAGCGCACTAGACTTTGGAAGCAATATGCGTTGACGAGTTCTTGCTACTTAGTGACCTTTTGACTTCACCTGATGGTAAGTGTGGTGGTGGTGGGTGGATGGTGAAAGGTATTCAGTTTTTATGGAACCGGAGTGGCTGGATACCAACGAAATAAGGTCTCTTTCTTTTTCAAACGTAGATTTAGCCGGATGGATAACCCGGCTCATTAATCATACAATAGGCTACCTAGCTCTCGATACTCTATAAGAAAAGGCGCGGTTTCGAGGCGCTTGTATATATCTCGAGGCCAAGGGCATGAAAGACGAGAAGAAGTAGTTTCTTAGACTAGGATATTAAACAACAAGCTTCCCAGTTGATCATACTCGTATTGTTTTGATGGTGTTAGGGAAAGGTATCAAGCTTCTTGCAACCTAAGTGCCAATGTAATATACTACATGGGATGACAATTACCCGTGCCCATCCCGTGTGGAGATAGATTGGCTGTTGGAGGCTTTTCGACCTGATTAACGATACCGGGCTCTTTTTCAAGTCGGCAGTAACGAGTGTTTTGAGCAATCCGAAGATGAAAGCAGCTTTCTTGTGTTTTAGGAAAGATAGAAGCATCAGATGAGAAAAAATTCATTGGAATGGCCTGAGTGTAATGCAGAAAACAGGCGAGCATGCTCGCCTCAATTCTTCCACTGTGATGAAAGGCAAGTATTGTACAAGTGTGTCTTCCACGCCCGTATCCACTAAATGACGTTGCGTTGCATGCAACCATAGTATCTCTTTTTCCCCTGCTCGAACCAGAGTTGTTTCTCCCTACGGGGGAGGTTGAGGTTGAAATCAACCTAGCCCTAAATGGAAGGACTATTTAGATTTACCAATGAAAAACAGTCCATTCGGCCGGGTTGCCTGACCTCAGATAGACTTCCTTGGCAAATCGGCCTGTAAAGTTCCCACAAAGTTTCTCGGCTACGTCTTAGTGCCAGCTGATGTTGATTACAAAGGAAGTCACCGAATATTATATTGTGGAGTTAGGGTCTGTGACAAGCCTGCTCCGATCACAAGCCATGCTTCGGTCATGAAGCGATTCACGCTTTCTCCCGGAGCCTTGATCTCGTTTTAGACCAAAGAGGCAATCAGAACCCTCAACATTATCCCTTTTGAATTCAGCATCCAGAGTGACGACATATACTGTCGACTATAAGTGGTTCACGGCATGGTGCCGGAATGGCTGCTCATCAACCTATCACGCTGATAGCACGGCCCCATCAAGCTATAGATTCTCTAGCCAGAGCATAGAGTTGCGGCTGTTTTTGTTAAAATGCAATGTTTAAATACAGATGAATTTGCAACTTTCAATTCCATCGTCGCTAGGCTGCAAAATCCCCGGTTGTGAGTGCTTCGGCTCAGTAACCGTAGGCTGATTGTGACCACGTCCGTACATGTCTCGGTTATCCCGAAGAGAAAAAGTCGATAAACCCCACAAAGCAACGGATACTGCCTTCCACGACTCGAGAGCGACGTTTCACCACTGGGAAAGGCAGTCCTTGCCGGCACATGAAGAAGTGGAGCGACCGACATTCATCAAATTGCTAGAATGGGTAAGCTCGGTGTGTTCAGTGTCCCGGTAAACTCTTCGAGCTGGGTGGCGAGCTGAAAATTCTGGCCAAATCTGGCTACACACACTGATGTTCTCCTCCTTGTACATAAAATGCGGTGAAATATACATTCCGTGTGCTTATGCTATTACAAATGCTTTTGCGATAGCGTTGGGTTTGTAAAGACCAGAATGATCGGCACCACATGGGCATTCACCTGTCTGGCAAGCCTGCCCAGACGAGACTGCAAGAATGGCACAGCCATGAAAGTCTTAACCACGTTGAATTAGACGACTGCCGCTTAACGCTTTGAATGAAGTTGATACTTGGAGAAGAGGTAAAAACTCCAAGTATCTTCCTATGGCAGCATTGTGCATATACACACAAAAAGTCTAAGAAACAAAGACATTTCACAACAATTATTTGACTTAAGGCAGCCTATGAGCTCGCAGCTTATCGATTCGACTCCCACAATTGCTATAGCCTTTGTTGTAAAGAACGGAGTTCCGCATCGCTTTCCAGTCCGTGGAACACAAATAATAAATGGTGCGACCCAGCTTGAACTCAGCAGAATGATGGCCAAAGCTCCTGTGTATAGCCAGCCCCAATTATTCAGCTCATGAGTACAGAATGATTCCCTGTTTGCCGGCTGGCCTTGCCGAACTGGCCCCTCTGATCTGCTCGCAATTAATCCAATGGCGTTCTGCGATCTTTCGGAGAGCAGCTAAAGAGTTATGATTGGTTGGCCAAAACAGTTGGTGTGAGGCAGCGAAAGGTAGGTTGCAGAGTTCTGGAGAGGGTTTGAATTTATCTACTGAAACAAAAAGTCTAACATGGCCTTACATGGACGAGACCTCGACGAAGTTGTACCTAGCGGGACTTTGAAACATACTCTAAAGTTAATTTGCGGTTCAAAACCCGATTTCGTCGTCGTTTGTGCGCGATCTTCCTTTGAGATACACTGAAGCTTTCCATACTTGGCTAAATCGTGCGGGAGGACCTCGCAATGCCATTACTGGATAAGCTGATCTTTGGAAAGCAAGGGGACATACTTTGCCGAGTGGCGATGTTTGAACGAATGAGGGGGTTGATCTTGACATTATCCTAGAACAGCAGTGGACCGGACACCTCGTTCTCACGCTAGCCTTAGTTCATCGTATGATATGATTTACGTCCATTGCGTTGGGAGTTAAAGATAACGGAACTGCTGGCCTGTTTGGGCTTTTCTTGAAGTATTCTCTTGTCATCCTACTACTTTTATTCTGCCAATATCCGGTTGTATAACTCGTCCAGCTCATCCTGCCACGCCTGACTTTCCCCACCTTATAATCAGATCATGACTAGGCTGCAATGACAATTGTGAGCTTCACAGAGTTTTTGTCACTTTTCAGGCATCCACTTCCCAGCCGATAGCTGAAAGGTAAGCGCGCTTCAGGTGACGAACAGAAACAGAGGCATTGTGTGGTTCTGGTCGGGGCCGTTGGGGGCCATAGCTACGCCTCGTTGCAACTGCAACCGTCCCGAAATCCTGGCACCACGCAAGTAAGACGGCCCCCATCACGCAAGTAAGACGACCCATGGGACCAGCCGACTAGGTGGAAGTAAAGCTCCTAAATAACAAACACCGGAAGGGCGGGCATCTTTGTCTGCAGTTTGGCCACATATGAGCTTCAGCCAGCTCTGGCTGCACTGCCCTACACCAACGTTCAGCTTCGATTAAAAAGGTTCCTGAAGCGAAGCCAGCTGGGTTTGATTAAGGATGGCGCAAACATATTGTTGCTGCAAGGGTTGCAGATCCAACTGTAAGTAAGATGATTCGGGCAAGCTTCATGCCCTTTCCAGCAATATTGACCGAATCGTTCTGCGAATGGTGTCGTACATCATGTAACCACTAAATCCTCTAAAGGGCTCAATCACTGATATATAAAGGTTTGCGTTCTCTTACTCGACGACGCTTTTGCTTCCATAAAGACTACAGGACGCAAACTAGTCCCTCCATCGCACTCATCATGACCTGGTTTCTCTCTTCCCAGACAACTTTGTGTCTTGGAAGCCCCTTGATCAGCTTGGTATGCTCAATCGCTGTTTGCTTTATCGTCAAGTACGTCTGGCGGGCGTTTTTCTGCCCCCTGGCGAAGTTCCCTGGGCCACGAATTGCCGGCATCACAAAGCTCTACGAGGCTTATCATGTCCTTGTCAAGAATGACTGGCTTGAAAACCTGACCTCACTTCACGAAAAATATGGTATGTTCTGTTGTCTTGATGCAATATTTGATGCACCGCATGCCTGATACTCTACCCCAGGGCCTGTCGTTAGGATCGGACCAAACGAACTCCATTTCGTCGATCATCAGTTTTGCTTAGAGCATCACAAGCGCTCAGACCTTTCAAAGTGCGATAACTATTACGGTCTTCTGGGTAACCTCCTTGGTGGCCTTGCTAGCGCCACCAAACACTCAAAGAGAGCAGCAGGCATGCGCCCAATCTTCTCTGGGCAGACCCTCGCCGAGTTCGTCCCCACTCTGGACAAACACCTCGAATCCCTGCATTCGCGCCTCACGGATGCTGCAGTGAACAGCCAAGTCGTCAATATGACACACTTCCTTTGGGCTTTCACCAACGATGTCATGATCTCGTACCTGACGGAAGAGGACTACGGGTGCCTCAAAGCTTTTGACATGAAAGCCATCCACGATTCCACGCGGGCTTTCAGTGCCATCGACCTTGCCACGGTCCTCAGGTGTATCCCTCCCGTCAAACTCATGTTTGACTATTTTCCTGCTCTCCGGCGCTACTCGCCACTTGGATGGCTGGATTCTGTAAGACATCCTTGGCCAGGAGGTACAACCACTCTTATTGTCGTTTTCTGACATGAATTCTAGTTGATCGGTTCACATGTTAAGCCCATCGTCAAATCCTGGGATAGTGAAAATAGTCATCAGGGTGTTTTGGCTCGTATTTTCAGCGAGGTCGGCAACGAGACTCACACCGTTCACGAGTCGTCTCAGGCAATCTTTATCGGCAACGAATCACTTCTAAGCAACTTGACCTTTATTCTCCACCATCTGATTAAGAATCCAGAATGTGTGAAGAAGATTCGGGCTGAACTCGATACACTGGACCTCGGATCGTACGGATATAGAGTGTGGAGAGATCCCAAATCGGTACAACTGAGATATCTTGTACGTATCATCCTTCGTGATCAATAGGGCAATCCCTCACCATCGAACAATAGGACGCCGTATGCAAGGAGTCAACTCGCTTGAGTTCACCGAGTTGGCATCGACAACCAAGACAAAGCAAACAACCAGTCAATTATCGGGGTACAATGATACCTGCGATGGTAAAGAATCTCGGCTGTTTTTATGGTGCAAACTGTTCTAATACGTGACAGGCCAGTATGAGCTTCACGTTGAGCTTGCTTGAGCACGATGCTAAACTGTTCCCTGAGCCGAATGCCTTCAAGCCCGAAAGGTGGCTTGGGTACAGTCAGGAAGCAAAGGCAACTAAAAGTCATTCCGTCACGTTTGGAACTGGTACAAGAACATGTCTAGGACAGCAGTATGTTTTTTTCACAATGCATTTGATAAGTTTGCTTACCGACTTACCATAACCAGTATTGCGCACAGGGTTCTACGCAAAACAATCGCACTCATCGTGTACAACTTTAATATTTCATTGTGGGATGAAAGCCTCGACAAAACGGAGGGATACCAATACTTGAACACTTATCCGAAGAAAGGTCATGAGGGCTATATGAGAGTTCGGTTGACTCCGAGATTCAATTGCAGTGCATAGCGGCAACGAAGTTTTTTTTCTTTTTCTCACTATTATTATTCCCTATAGATAGATGCCCTTTGTGTATTTCGTTAATATTCCCATGTTGTACAACTACACTTGAAACATGAAATCTTTGTTAAAAGCCTGCTAATTTTATTATTTTTCAAAATGGATAACTACTTATTTGGAAACGAATAATAAAAAGCTCTTTTTGCTACTGGACGTTGCTGAATCATACTTGAGTCTTCGGACCCAGCCCACCCTGCGCTGGTCTCAACTCATGCAGTGTAACTTTCCCAGGTTCTAATTCCCACGAGAATCTTGGTCATGAGATGTCTAGACCTGGGCCACTTTGCTGATGGAAGTCCGACTAAGTTAACCAAAGCATACTAGTATGTCACTCGGAGACTTGTCCGACCCCCCACAGGGCATTGCCGGTGAGCTAACGAAGTATGCCGACGCGGGGCCGTGGATAGCGTAGGGCAGGTTACCACTGCCGGACTTCTCCGCGGTGCGGAGATCCCAGCCAATGGCTAGAAGTGACCAACGTGACAACGGCTCAATTAGAGCTGTCTGCTTGTGCTGTGATGGTCACTCTGAAGCTTTGCTCTGAAAGCTTACAAAAGTGCCAGCGGAGAGCGGAGGGTGATTGTAGCAATATTCGATATCTGCAATACCTTGAGAATTGCGAATTGTCATCTGAACATCGTCTACTCAAACTCGTATATTCTATACGAGCCGAGGAAGTAAACCTCTATCCAAACCCAGTCAATTAACAGCAATCGTATGCACAAAGACTACAACCATACACGCAGCCCCATCACAACGCCCGGGAATCGTTTCAGAATGGCATCTGAAGCAAGCCATATCCTCATCACAGGTCCTGCCGGCTTCATAGGCCAGGAGCTGATCACCGCCCTCTTCCTCTCTTCCCACTCGATCCACCTCACGGCAACAGACATTACGACGCCACCCATCCCACTTAAATCCATCCCCTATGCATCCCGCGTAACAACTGTGAGAAGAGACCTCACTTCCCCTTAGGCAGTTGCGTCCCTCCTCGCGCATCACTCCCGCTTCAACGCGATCTATCTCCTCCTTGGCGTCATGTCCGGCGGCGCCGAGGGGAATCTTGACCTCGGCCTCCGCGTCAACGTCGGCAGTCACCGTTTCTTCCTTGACCCGCTTCGTCAGGAGACCTCCCCGCACCGCGGCACATATCGTCATCTTCCCAGCTCCCTGGCCGTCTACAGGCCCGCGGCGCCGGGGCAGGTCAACACCAAGTCGACGTTCACGACACCGCAGTCCTCGTACGGCGCGCAGAAGCTTATGATAGAGACGCTGTTCCGGGACTACTCGTGTCGCGGGCTCCTGGACGGGCGCATCGTGCGGCCTGGGGCGCCGAGCGCGACGGCCTCGTCTTCAGCATCCGGTATCGTGAGGAGGTCGCTCAAGGGCGAGGAGAACGTCATGCCTGTGCGGCAGGAGTTTGTTCGCCGAGGACGGTGGTGGGCAATTTGGTGGCGGTCAAGGACATTCACCGTGACCAATTTGGACTGTTCAGGGTCGTTAACCTTCCGGGCGTCACCATTACGGTTGCTGATATCCTGGATGCCTTGGAGACTATCGGAGGTAAAGAAGCACGAAGCTTGGTCAGAGAGGAGAGGAACCCCCAGATCGAGGCAATTGTGGAAAGTTGGCCGGCCTTTTTCGACGTTTCAAAAGCGCCCAGCTTAGGACTTGCTCAGGATAGGGACCTGATTACGATTGTAAAAGATTTCGCTATGCGACTTCGAGCAGGACTCCAGATTCTGTACCCAGTATTTCGCTGGGTAGTGATGATAGGCATTATGCGCGCTTATCAGATGGATCGTCTGGTTGAAAATCATGAATCGTTTATACATGTTAGAGGGTATCTAGATGATTGCCTGTGAGTCATTTGCGTTCTAGAAGATAATCCCACAGCTCCAATACACAGCCTCTGGTTGCTGGAAGAAGTTTCAATCTACAATTCTTGAGCTAAACTCCGTTTGACTGTCTAATCTTCCCATTCTTCATCGAGCTGGTCTATCAATCTGTTCTCGTCCTCACGATTGCGCCCTCTGCTGGGAGAGCCAGACAGGTGGCGGTAACCCCGCCTCCCAGGCAGAAGTTGCGCGCACGAAGAGGTTGCGATGACGAAGATGTCCTGTAGGCTGTAATTAGAGGAGAGTCATGAGGTAGCGGGTACAGGTAAACAACTTACACTAACAAAATTCCAGATCCCAGCCCATAAACTGTAATTTGGGAGCTGGCGCCAACCTCGGGCGTGCGCGACGGTTCTTTGGTAAAAGACACCACCGCCGAAGTAGACCATGACGGCAATGACGAAGATGATGGCAAAAACGCCCCCGGGACCGACGCTGCCCGGCTGGTGGGGCTCAGCCCGCGGGCAAGCGTGCTGCGAGCGAGCTTCGAAGAAGTATGCGCAGTCATCCGGGTCGGAGCCAACAAAGGAGATATGAGCAGCTCCGCCGACCTGCTCGGTATCGCAATGGAAGGAGATTGTGGCGGACTTGCGACGGGGGTTCGAATCCGCGTCATCCTTGGCCACGGAAACTTTCTTTTCGCTGTTGTTGAAATATTTAAGAGGTGTAGCTTCGTCATCGTTGTCGTCGGCGTACTTGTTGTAGGAGGCACCGGCGTGGACCTGAGATCGCTTGGATTTGCTCTTGTCGCAGGGCGAGCCGTTTTTGTATTGGAGCACTAGTATACGCCCTCGGCTTTGAACGTCCATAGAAGATGACCTTTGAGTTGTGCTCGTTAGCTCCCAGTCATTTGTGATTCGCGCCAATCGATACGCACCCTATCGAGTAGGTCTCCCCCTTGTACGTGTAATACGCGCTGACATTCTTGGCTTCAGCCTTTGTCAACCCCTCCACGTCATCGAGCGGTTCGATGACAGGGGCACAGATATTGAGGGTAAAGTTCCGGTTATAATCCCAGCCTCTAGCGTGGTAGTCTGCGGTGATGATACCCTTTGACGATTTCCCCTCCTCGGGCTTGACGGCGATGTCGGGTCGCAAGTCGTAGAAGGCTCCGGCGCCGCTCTTGGATGCTGCAGTGCATGCCGGGGCACTCGTGGTCGTTGAAGAAGCTGAGGTATCAGCTGCGCGAGCCGTCGCAGCTGCGAAAAGCAGAATAAGCCTTGAGGAATGCGGGAAGCGCATGCTTATGTTTCGGCGCAATGTAAATCGGGATCCGTTGAAATGAGCGTTCAATCGCGACGTTGGGAAGCGCCTCGTCAGCGCGGGGAAGGTCGGTCCGACGGGCTTCTATGGCATCAATTGAAGAAGTGCGAGGTATGGAAAGTTGCAATGAAGAAATAGATGCGAGAATCACACTGTACCAGAGAATCGAGCAAGGGAAATGCAGCCGAAGTCCAGGTGGAAGGGAGAATGTGTCAAGATGCAAAATGTTAGTGTACTTTGGACGAAACCATTCGTCAGCCTTTTGGATGCAGGGAACGGCGGGATTGACCAGTGTGTGGGCATTAATTGGTGGACGGAACGTCCTTGCAGCGCTGCGGGAAGCAGGGCGCCGCCAGGCTGCCGCTTCGGGGAACATGACCCACTTATACGGACCACGTGACCGATACTCGTTTCCTGCATCTTAGTCAGCGTGCATCTCAATTGTAATTGGCTCAGCTTCTAGCACCCTGTGCGCTCCTTGCAGGCCTTAGACGGGAAGGATTCGGTTTCGACATTGAAATGACCAATGAATTTGAATACAATCAAGCGTCGCTTTTGTTGGATTGTCAATGCCAATAAAGTTCAATGAACAGCACCTTCGGTCCCAGCTTCCGGACCGCCTGGTATGGTTTGTTGGCCGTCATCCGACAATTACACATCTCCTTCCGAGAGCTGTTTCCTCGGTGGAACCATCCCCCCGAGGGCAAAGCGTGGCGTCGGATTAGGCGGGCCCCAATCAGAGCACTAAAGTTTTCCCAGCGTCATCGAATCAGGCCACCCGGAACACCACAGCCCCGGCGCGCAACACTCTTCGAGAGCTTCACTGTCGCATTCTAATCAACCGTTCACTGGCGTCGTGGGGTACAAATACGTTCTACTCAACCTTGAAGAATCTTCGCCTTCGACAGCAGCAGCAGCACCAACACTAGCACAGTCATAACGCGAAACTCCATCCGAAGCTTTCTTTTGTTGACCGAATCCTATACACCCGCGACAGGGGCAGATCAACATGGCGTCCAAGTCCAAAAAAGCTGCGGCTCAAAAGCCGCATGGTTACGAATTCGGTGGACCGTAAGCAAATCGGACCTCGAATCTCAGCATCACTACCTCAAGCTAACATGCTCTGGCAGCATCGGCGCCTTCTTCATCTCTTTCGGACTCCCGATCCTCGTCTACCTCTTCATCTTCAGCTGTAACGATGTTTCTGGCTGTCCTGCGCCGTCCCTGCTGAGCCCCTCAACCCTGAAACTCGACCAATTGAAGCGTGAGGTCGGATGGCCCGAGGAGGGCATTTGGGGTCTGGGAAGCGTCAAGGTCACCGCTGCCGTCTTGGGATACTATCTCTTCAATGCGCTTCTCTACCGCATACTTCCTGGAGCCGAGGTCGACGGTGTTGAGCTTGCTTCCGGCGGTCGTCTTAAGTACCGCTGCAACTGTAAGCGATTCTGGTGTCTTTGCCGTGTTAACCGTCACTAACCAGCGCAGCCTTTGCTTCCAGCATGTTCATCTTAACCGTCTGCCTCGCCGGCACCATTGCCCAGGGCGCCGAGTTCCCCCTCTGGACCTTTATCACCGATAACTACGTACAAGTCGTTACCGCCAACATTCTCATCGCATATGCCCTGGCCATTTTCGTGTACGTACGGAGCTTCAGCGTGAAGTCGGGCAACACACAGTTACGCGAACTCGCTGCTGGCGGACACACGGGCAATATGATTTACGACTTCTACATCGGACGGGAGCTCAACCCCCGCGTTACGCTTCCTATCCTCGGCGAAATCGATATCAAAGAGTGGATGGAAATCCGACCTGGTCTGCTGGGCTGGGCTCTGGTGAACTTTGCATGGATGGCCAAGCAGTATCGGACCTACGGCTTTGTTACTAACAGCATCATCTTCACCTCGGCAGTTCAGCTTGCGTATGTGATTGACTGCTGGTGGAATGAGCCCGCGATCTTGACCACCATCGACATCACCACGGATGGCTTTGGGTTCATGCTCTCTTTCGGCGATCTCGTGTGGGTGCCGTTCGTCTACTCGCTGCAGACGCGCTACTTGGCCGTGTACCCAACCTCGCTGAGCCCCTTGGAAATGGCCGGCATCGTTGGGGCCATCGGCGTTGGCTTCTCCATCTTCCGTCTGTCCAACAGCCAGAAGAACGCATTCCGCAACAACCCCGACGACCCCAGTGTGTCCCATCTCAAGTATATGGAAACGAAGGCCGGAACTCGTCTCCTCGTCTCGGGCTGGTGGGGGGTCGCGCGACACATCAACTACCTCGGCGATTGGCTGCAGTCGTGGCCTTACTGCCTGCCTACCGGCATGGCCGGCTACACGATCGTCTCTGCCGGCACGGGATACGCCGAAGCCGGACTGGAAGGTGCCTTCAAGATGGCCGATGGGCGCGAGGTTATCCAGGGTGCCGCGCGGGGATGGGCGATCCCCATCACGTACTTTTACATTGTCTACTTCGCCGTGTTGCTGATTCACCGTGATCGCCGCGACGACGAGAAGTGCTCGCGTAAATACGGCGATGACTGGGAGAAGTACAAGAAGATTGTGCGTTGGAGAATCGTCCCTGGTCTGTACTAAGAAGCCGGCGAAAGGATGGCATGGCAAGTTTCGGGAAACAGGCCCGGTGAAAAGGGCACAATGGATTGTCTTCGGGCCGTTTCTTCGAGTTGCGGGGATCGTGGAGGCTGTGGACAGCAAGACCTGGTCTAGGGCGTAATTTGGTTCTACATCGTGCATCGTCCGGTTGGTGCTAGTAGTTAAGAACTAGGATACCTACGCAACCTTGGCATTGGCGTCGTGCAACGGTTGTGCCTGTGGCGTTGGTTCGTTTAGGGCGGATATTACAGCGACGGTCTGAACTATTACGTAGGCAGACAGTCTAAAGCGGTTACTACAAGATCCCTTTGCGTCTTCTCACCAAACGCAGCCACACACGTCGCGACGTCCTGATTTCGTGGCAAACAAGGACGTATGAACCCTCAAGTGAGACCGTCTCTCACGCGGTCAAGGGAAGGCGGAACGTTGCCTTCGTCTATGCTGCATGACTAGGTATACACGTGAACTAGCTAATGATCATAAAGAGGAGTTGCTTCGCCTCTCCTGCGGAAAAAGAAAATATATCACAGCTGTAAACAGGCCAAAAGAGTTAGGAACTCTACCTCTTGGCATTGGGTGGGTAAGTTTATGACTATTTGTACTAGTTTATGTAAACTAGTGACGGGGGGCCTAAGATGAGCGTAGGTATGGTGGATGGGGAAATGGGGTTACTTTAGTTTTTTCCCCCCTCATTTCCTTGTTAACTCTTGTCAACAATGTCTCTCCATCCTGGCTATTTCCCCCTTCTTTTTTTTTTCCCTTTCTTGCTTGGGTAGATGCTCTTCATCGGATATATAATGCTTGCTATAGTTCCTTTCATTCCAACCTACAGACAGCCAGGACAATACAGGGAAGGGACCAGGAGGTCAAACTGAGGGGGAGATGCGAGAAGCCGGCCAAGATTGATCGATTACTGGGACGATATGCGGGGAAGGATGAGGGGAAGCGACGATGGAGAAATAAACAGTATCCATACGGCTACGGAGTATCCGTAGGTACTTGCCCTGCGTATATGTGTGCCGTGTGTGTCTGCGAGTGTGTGTGGAGAATTTTGGGTGAGAGTGCCGGCCCAGCCCAAAGGCGGGGGATGCATGGGTTGGTCATGGGGGCGGAGCCAGAAGTGGCGTCATGTATACTCATTTCCAGCGGGGTGAAAAATGACTTTCATTGACGATTGAACTATCCGTACATCGTAAACAAGTAAGGTAGCGTCTACATCACCTAGCCAGTCTGCAGCAAGTCATGCTTTTTCTTTCTTCGTCCCCCCCCCCCCCCCCCGCGGGCCTGGGTTGTTTCTTCTTTCAGATGAAGGATTAGTCAACGATTTTAAGCATGGAGCTGCGAGATGGGACGGTCAATCAAGAAACGTGGCGAAAAGGGGGCCGACTCAGGCACAACTTTAGAGTTCGTGTTCGAGTCGCCCATATTGCATCGACGTCGTATTTCCAGCATCTCGGATGTGTGAATTGCATGACGGACAATGATACATACACTGGGTAGACCGTAGGACGGCTTTAAGCGACGTGCTAACCTCGTACAGTACGATTTGTACAATGTACACACTGACGCGAAAGGGAGGCTGTGGGGTAGACTCTAATTCCGATCTGCAGCCTACGCCCAAAAATCCCCATCATGCCCGGGGCGACCGATGAGCGAAAGGCGGTCGACGGTTGACGGCCCGGTAAGCCAGATACTCCCTTCCTAGGTGAACTACACGATTCTGTCTGATGCGGGTAATGGTGCCGTACCTCCCACCTACTTGGTAATCGTGTGCGGTCTCTCCGGTCCTCTCCTTCCTTCCATTTCTCCCCACCTCCACCAAACTTGTTTCCTGGGCTTGGGGAAGAGGGAAAGAGCCCTCCCCCCCCGCGCTTCCCCACCCGTTCCGATTCGCTGTTTCGCTTGTTTTGTTTCCCGCTACGTACCCCAAGTGTCCCACGTTCTCCGTTCTGCCCACGCATTTCTCATGTTCCCCTCCCGTCCATCAACGACGCCTAATTCCGATTTCATCTGCTCCAAGTCACCACCAACCACCCGACATCTTCTCCTTCTTTTCACCCGTGTTGACGTCCAGCACGGCTTCCGTGGCTGCAGCCTCCAGAGACAGCTGGTTCCAGTGGACCCAATGACGGACCCTCCGACTGCTCATTTCCCATCCTTCTGGGCAATGCCTTACCCGTCATTACCCTCCCTCGTCGATCGGCCCCTTTTTGATTGTGACGTACCCATCCCATTCTTTCTAGGTACTCTGCACCTTTGCGACTACCTTAATGGCCCGGAAAAGCATCGTCATCACCCTCGTCTCTCCTCTCGGGCCGTCCCTGACTTCTGCGAAACATGGCAACGTCTTTTTCTTTTTTTTCCCCTCGTCCTCTGTTTTCGTCCGGATTCTATTGTATTATCACGCTCCCCGTCAGTTTAAGAGGACCTGTTTCAAGCATCGTCTTACTCATTCTTGGCTCGACACAATCCTCTGTTTCCACCCCATCTGACTGACTCTTCGTGTGTCTGCCTTGATTGACCGCTTCGTCTTCTCCCACACCCCATTTCTTTTTTCTCTCCACGTCGATAGGTACTGCTGCTCCCACACCCGCGCATTAGTCGGGAGTGGCACAATACCCATCATAGTGTATGTACGGATATCTTGGCCCCCAGGAATCATCCTAGGGTGGGGTGGGGCAACACCATCTGCCCACAAGTTCCAAGCAGGGAAGCCTTGTTGCATCATCGGGTCAGGACCAGTCCGGGTCAACGCCGGTAAACCTGCGAGCCCGGCCCAGAAGCTTGCCCCTCGGCACGTTGCTTGGAGAGGGGATCTAGCTACCCTGGTTTAGACGATCCTCCAGACTTTTCTGTTGACATTAAAGGAGCCGCACCCGCCGTTCGTCTGGACATTCTGAGTGAACCATAGCGCTTCCTGTTCACGACCTTGTGTTAGTGCTACCGAGCGCCGCGTCACTGATTAGGATCAATCGACTGGGCCGACCTCGTACTGTAGTTGTTCCTCGATTCTGCCCTGCCCCTACAGTCTCATCGCCGGCCTACGCTGTCCAGCAACGCCATACAATGAGGTCACAGACTCTGGCTGTTGCCCTCTTGGCGGCAGCTGACCAGGTTGCAGCTGCTGTAACCACAGAACGACAGCTACACAAGGTACGTTACTCGGTCTGTCTGTTGTTCTCTGTGGCGCCGTCGTTGGCGACTCGCCAGCCTTGCCCTTCTTGGAAATCCAAGACATCCCCATTCCCTTCGGGCCTGTGTGTGGCGAGCAGGCCCGCCGCGGTGTTATATCCCGATTTTGACGTCTTCCCTCTCTATTTCGTATCGCATTGGCGTCTCGTCTCGTCTCTCTCCTTTAGCAACACAGAGAACCCGGTTCCGCAGTCATGCGTTTCCTTTCACTCGCAGGCTCGGCCGTCGGCCTGTCACAACTCTCGAGCCGCTCAGATGACTTACAATGTTTACAGCGCGACCTCGCATACTCGCCGCCCGTCTATCCGTCACCATGGATGGATCCCAATGCCGACGGCTGGACTGATGCTTACGCCAAGGCCAAGGACTTTGTCTCCCAGCTCACGCTTCTCGAGAAGGTTAATTTGACCACCGGAGTCGGGTGAGTGAATTCGCATCAACTACGATGGGAACACATGCTGATAGGAATATACAGTTGGCAAGGAGACCTGTGCGTCGGCAACGTTGGTTCCGTCCCCCGTTTGGGACTCCGCGGCCTTTGCATGCAGGACGGCCCTGTCGGCATCCGCTTCTCCGACTACAACTCGGTCTTCCCCTCCGGCCAGACCGCCGCCGCGACTTGGGACCGAGAGTTGATCTACCGCAGAGCCGAAGCTATCGGGTTCGAGCACCGCGCCAAGGGCGTCGACGTTGTCCTGGCCCCGGTTGCCGGACCTATTGGTCGTGCACCAGCCGGCGGCCGCAACTGGGAAGGCTTTTCGTCCGATCCTTACCTGACTGGCGTTGCCATGGCCGAGTCAGTCAAGGGAATCCAGCAGCACGCCATCGCCTGCGCCAAGCATTTCATCGGCAACGAACAGGAGCACTTCAGACAAGCTCCAGAGGCAATTGGCTATAACTACACCATAGACGAGTCCATCAGCTCGAATATTGATGACAAAACTCTCCACGAATTATATTTGTGGCCATTCCAGGACGCAGTGGCTGCTGGGGTAGGTTCCTTCATGTGCTCATACAATCAGGTGAACAACTCGTATGGCTGCCAGAACTCCAAGCTCATGAACGGCATCTTGAAAGACGAGCTTGGTTTCCAGGGATTCATCATGTCTGATTGGTCAGTACTTCCTTCCATTCTCTTTAGCCCCTCCTACAAGCACTTCTTCAACCTCCGTTCCATATCTACTCAGCTCCATCCCCTCTTTCATACTCTCTTTCCTTCCATCAGATGCCGACTTCAGTAGCTAACTTTCTTACAGGGCAGCGCAGCATGTACGTATCCCCGGTTTTGTTCCATTTCATATGATGATGCCCACCCGCCTTCCTTTCCCATCAATGACTTATGACTGACAATCGAACAGGCTGGAGTTGCTACTGCGGTTGCCGGTCTCGATATGGCCATGCCTGGTGACACAGCGTTCAACTCTGGCATGACGTTCTGGGGAACCAATCTAACCGTGGCCGTCCTGAACGGCACGCTCCCCGAGTACCGGCTCGATGACATGGCGATGCGCATCATGGCCGCATTCTTTAAGGTCGGCTTCGAACTGAATGAGGTACCCGAGATCAACTTTTCCTCGTGGACGACGGACACCGTTGGTCCGCTACAGTACTACGCCAAGGAGAACGTTCAAGTCATCAACCAGCATGTCGACGTTCGAAGAGGTCAGGAACACGGTAAACTCATTCGTGAGATCGCCGCCAAGGCCACTGTGCTGCTGAAGAATGAGGGCGCTCTCCCGCTGAAGAAGCCCAAGTTCCTGGCTGTTATCGGAGAGGATGCCGGCCCCAACCTCAGTGGGCCCAACGGGTGCTCCGACCATGGCTGTAACGAAGGAACGCTCGGCGCTGGCTGGGGATCCGGAACCTCGAACTACCCCTACCTCATCACACCGGACCAGGCACTGCAAGCTCGGGCTGTTGCGGAGGGTTCTCGGTATGAGAGCATTCTCAGCAACTATGACTTCGCCGCCACCACGGCCCTGGTTACGCAACCAGACGCCACGGCCATCGTCTTCGTCAATGCGGATAGCGGTGAAGGCTACATCGATGTGGGTGGGAACGAAGGCGACCGTCAGAACTTGACGCTTTGGAATGGGGGAGACGAGCTGGTCAAGAACGTGGCTGCAGGCAACAACAACACTATTGTCGTGATCCACTCCGTCGGCCCTGTGTTGCTGGCTGACATGAAGAACAACCCCAATATCACGGCGATTGTCTGGGCCGGTCTTCCGGGTCAGGAGTCTGGTAATTCGATCACGGACGTGCTCTACGGAGACGTTAACCCCGGAGGCAAATCCCCGTTCACTTGGGGTCCCACGCGCGAGAGTTATGGCACCGATGTTCTGTACGAGCCCAACAATGGTGAGGGTGCTCCTCAAGACGACTTTAGCGAGGGTGTCTTCATCGACTACCGCTACTTCGACCGGGCGACCTCGGGTTCCAACGAGACCTCCACTGGCGCAGCCCCCGTCTACCCATTCGGATTTGGTCTCTCGTACACGACGTTTGAATACTCCAACTTGGTCGTAACCCCCAAGGAGGCAGGCGAGTACACGCCCACCACTGGCGTGACGGAGAAGGCGCCGACCTTTGGCAACTACAGCACCGACCCGGCGGCCTACGTTTTCCCGAGCGGAGAGTTCCGTTACATCTACAACTTCATCTACCCCTACCTCAACACTACCGACATTAGCAAGTCGGCCAACGACCCCGCGTACGGACAGACGGCGGACGAGTTTCTGCCTCCCAAGGCTCTGGAGAGCGGTCCCCAGCCCAAGCACCCAGCATCGGGCGCCCCTGGCGGCAACCCTCAACTTTGGGACGTCCTGTACACTGTGACTGCCACGATCACTAACAAGGGCGACGTTGCCGGCGACGAGGTTGCCCAGTTGTACGTCTCGCTCGGCGGTCCGAATGATCCGGTCAAGGTGCTGCGTGGGTTCGACCGCATTGGTATCGCGCCTGGCGAGTCGGCCACTTTCACGGCGGACATCACCAGACGCGACCTCAGCAACTGGGACACGGTGAGCCAAAACTGGGTCATCAGCAAGTACCCGAAGAAGGTGTGGGTGGGAGGCTCGTCGAGGGAGTTGCCTCTGAGCGCGTCGCTCTAAGTAATTGGGAAAGTTAAATAGTAGTAGTCTAATATCATGTTCATTACCACGTTGGCTTCCCTTGGTTGTTGCGGGTGGGTGATGCGTGTCGAAGGCAGGTCAAGCAAGACTTGAGTATTTTTTTGATTTGATGATGACTGCCACATATCATGACGGTATCGGTAAAGATGGAAGAGCTCAAAAGCCAAGGATGAAGATGCAAATGACTCAAGCAAGGCGCATAGAGTGACGCAACAGGGACCACAATTCGGATGGCGGAACGTCACGATTTCCATGCACGTTGCGCTATGACGTGCATGTGGCGGCAAGATGAGAAGTACGTGTAGAAGGACAATTGACTGCCACGATGTTGTTCGGCGTGTACGAAGCCGTATCAACGCCTGAACAATGCGTCGGCCTTGATGTTGTTGTCCCCGTCATTTGCGTCGCCCATCGAAATGCTTATGTCAGACCGAGCTGTGTTGACACTCACCGTCGCACACCGTGGGATCCCCGTCGGTGACGCGAGGTGTCTGGGGGGGACGACGGTTCAGCCAACCAGACGAAGAAAAACAATTACATAAGCTTTCATGCGCTGTCTGGAAGGACTGGAACATCAGCCAAAGGTGGGGCAGCCGTCAGAGTGGATCCTGGCAGGTGAGGTCAACCATTCCCTATCGGGAACTAGGGCGGTGATCCGACAGCCGCTCCAGCCTTGGGGTGGTCAGTGGGCAGCCAGCACGGTCCCCACCACACTGCAGACTCCTTACTCATCACAAGGCGGCATTCGCTGTTGGGCTGAATGGAAGTGTGAGGGACGGAACGGAAGGAAGGAAGGCGAGTGAGAGAGAGATTGTGTGTGAGTGGCTGCCGTCGCAGTCTTTTTTTTTTTTTTCTAGTTTTTTTTCTCTCCTTCTCTTTCCTTCCTGGAAAGTAAAACACAAGGGCCCCGAGCTACCGAAGACGGACGCTGAAGAAACACTGACATTTGAACAAGGTCTTGTTACCAAAGCAAGAGACCCCCCCCCTGGCCATCCCCTCCTGTTTCGATCAGCCTGTGGTCCCTTCACCCTCTCCCTCGCACACTCACACTCTCTCTCAGTAATTGTTGCCTTTTCCGTTCTCCTCCTCCGACAAACCTACCTGGTTGCGACGATTGTAACGCCGTGTTTCTTATAGTCGCATCGCATCGGCCTGTAGTTGCCGTCTCGCTCACTCACTCTTCGCTCGCCCACGCCTCGGGATCTCGGTATTCGAGCCCCCCCCCCGCCTCTTCCCACACCTCCTCCAACCATCGTGTCCAAGCTACCTACCTATCTATCCATAACCCCTCTCACTCGCGAAAGAGCTGCATCTATACTGCACAACATACCTTTTCTTGGACGACGCACCGCAAGCAACAAATAACGCCTAGCTCCTCTTGTCACCACCGGCCAAGAGCCCCAATCGACAGGGGGCAATCGATCCTTTAGTGTCCATTGCCCTGTCTTTGCACTTGCCGCCGCCGCTCGCCCGGCCGTGCGGAACCCGAACAGTCACCACGACAGTGCCGAGCGACATCCGTCTCTAGAAACCTCCCCCGAATCTGCGCACATCAACGTTCGCCCAGCCAACGTTTATCCCGTTGGCCCCCGACCGCCGTCCGTCTCCGTCCAACCCCCCCGTAAACTGTAAATTCCAACGGCGGGCGGGCTTTTGGGCTCCACATTTCCGCTCCCTCTCTGTCTGCGTCTCCGCCCTCCACTTGAGAACTTTCTCCGCGCCAAGAAGCAATCCGTCTCACAGCCACCGAGCTCATCCCCGTCTCTATCGCCCGCTCCTACGCATCTAGGCTTGACGCCGCAAATCCCGACCCTTCCTGGGTCTGGTGCAAGAACGTCACCGCCGCCGCCAACATGCCCGAGTCGCAATCGACCCCGGATCAGCTCTCTATCGATGATCTGACCCCTGAGGAGGCCAACCGCATCATCCACTCTCATCGCAAGGTCCGCTATGGTGAGTACCCAAGGACCGTGATGAGTAACCCCTTCAGCCGCTTGATTCCATTTTCATCTCACCCTACCCAATCACCCAGATGCGATGACTATTCTTTCCACCAGTGTCTCTCATCGTCCTATCATGAACTCCCACTAACCCCATCCATCATCGTTGACTTTGCAACCACTGACCACCCAGAACAGGCACAGCATGCTGGCCGTGTCGCCAACGCAAGGTAAAGTGCGACAACAAACAACCCTGCGAGAACTGCGTCAAGCGCGAGCACCCGCAACTATGCTCCTACAAGCCGAACCGCACCGCCTCCCACGGTGCCCACTACAAGCCTGCCGGCTCCGTCACCACCGAAGGCACCAACAGCGCTACCGGTGCCGCGGATAACGGCACACCATCGTCCGCCAACAATCGCAAGAGGGCTCACTCACCCGAAGACCCCGTCTCCGACGCCGCCGCGGGCGCGCCTCCCTTGAAACAAGAAACCGGCGGCGCGAACTGGTCACGCTCGGCCATCGGTAAGTCATCACTGCCACCACCACCACCACCACCATCGCCATCATCGGCAACACTGCAGCATGGCCGTTCCGGGTTGATGTTTACTGCCTCCTTGTCCTTTTTGGGTAGCAGCAGCAGCAGCAGCGGGTTGTATACTAATCAACCTCTCCGTCGTCCAGTCGCGGCAAGTGTGGAAGAGACCGAGGCCCCCGAAGCCGTAACGCGGTATCTCGGGCAGAACAGCATCCCCTCCCTACTACGTGAGCAGTCGGCCGCCGATGACATGCAGGAAGGTGTCGACATCCGTCAGGACATGCGCTCGATACTCGGTCTCGACACCTCGGCGCCCTTCCCGCTCATGTCGTCCAAGCACCTCGACAGCCTGACGAGGGAGATCTCCGCCGAGCTTCCCTCGGATCGGGAAGTCATGAAGTGAGTGAGCCTCATGTTCCTCCTGGACGCCAAACCCCTTTCGCCGGCCCCTCCCAGACTGACTCCTCTAGGCTTTTCCGTACGTACAAGGAAACCCCACAGCAGTTTTGGGGGTTCGTCGTCGACATCGACGACCTCGAGTCCAAGCTCATGGTCTACCTCGAAGACCGCGCCCGCAACGCGAGCAACGCGACGAGGACACCCAGGCCTGTATCGGCCTCGTGGCTCGCCATTCTCTTTGCCCTCCTCGCCGTGGGATCTCAGTACCACGACTCGCCATATCACATCCGCACGCGAGACTCGCAGAAGTACATTCAGATATCCTTCCATTTCCTGAGGCTAGGCAACTTCCTCCTGAGGTCCGTCATCTCTCCTTCACTCAACCCCAGTTTCCTTTCCATCCATTGTAGTTTTTGCTTGCCTGGATCCGGCAAAGAGAACAGCTTTCCTCTAACCTGAGGCCCGAATTTTCTAAAACAGACCCACATTCGACTCCATCCAAGCTCTCCTATTAACGAGCTTCGTTCTGCTTAACGACATGAAGGCCGAGGCCTCATGGGCGCTGCTCGGCCTAACATGTAGGCTGGCGCAGTCTCTCGGCCTGCACCGTCCGACGCCCTCGGACGGGAGGGACAGCGCCCGCAACGACGTACAGTCCAAGGAGATGATCCGCCGGAAACTGTGGTGGACATGCGTGTGGCACGACACCCTTACGTCGCTGTCATTCGACCGGTAAGTCCTCCCGTTCCCGTAGGTAGCTAGCCAAGCCCACCGTGGCTGACGGGACCAGCCCCCCGATGACAAACATTCCCTGCTGTCCGATCCCGACGGTGCATCAAACCGTCGCCGGTGAGTACGGCTACCTTGACACGATGTACCACCTTTGCGACATCATCTCGCGGCGCCTAAACCCGGATGCCGCGACGACCGTCACCTACGAGCAGATGGTCGACAACTGCGAGGCCGTCGAGAACCTCCGCAACATGGTCGCCCCCAACATCCGCATCAAGGAACAGTGCAAGCGGGCCATGGACCGCCTCCAGCACTACGCCGTCCGCCTGCATACATCCTTCGTCATCTCCGTCTGCTGCCGGCCGGCCCTGCGCCGGGACTGCACCAAGCTAACCCCCGAGCAAAAGAGCTACCTCTCGGAAAAGTGCCAGCACAACCTTGCCGAGACGGTCCGCATGTTCCTCGCCATGCATCAGCTCTCCGTCATCCCCACCCGCAGCTGGGCCTTCACTTACCACGGACTGTCGTCGGCGCTGCTCCTCGGCATTCTGGGCGAGACCAAGAACAGCCCCGAGGTCCGTCAGCTTCAGGGCGACCTTATCGCCGCGCTGTCCGCGACGGCCGCCAAGGAGGTCAACTCGCCGTCGACGCACGTCCCCAAGACGGATAAAGACATTGAGCTATCCGGCCCGCTGTGGAGGGCGCTGACGGCTCTACGCAACATCTACGAGCACGGCACTATCATGGGCACGTCGCAGATGAAGGGCAGCGACTCGAGTGGCACGGCGAGCGGCGCGAGGACGCCGATGCCGGCGATGCTCATGGGCCCCATGGCCACCACCAATGGCAACAACCTCAACGGCGGAAACGACGGCGTGAGTAAGGGTTTCGGCCTCGACCCCCACCAGGACGCCGCCCTCGCCATGGCTGAGATGCAGAACGGCACCGCCCTCGCCGAGTACGCCCCCAAGTATGGCTTTGATCCCTCCTTGCCGGAGTCGCAGTCGCTAATCAGGCCAAGCATGGCATACCCACCCGTCAGCATGGAAAACATTACGAACCTGGACCCCTCGACATACATGTCGCCAATGGACCTCTACGAATCGATTTGGTGGGGTAAGTCGCCACAAGCCACAAGGCGGTGGGCGTGGCGAATGAGAAGGCTGACCAGTAACCATTGCAGAGTCCCCCGACCCTTGGAATAGCGGCGTCGATACTATGAACTTTGACTTTGTCGCGCAGCCCCCGCCGGGCCAGCCTCAGCAGCAGTACTACTTCTGAAGGAAAGCGCAATGTAAAAAAGAAAGAAAAAAACACAGACAAAGGAAAAGTAGAGTACGTGAAAAGCAGAAGGCAAAAACATAAGAACCATCAGATCCGTGAACCGGGATGTAAACCCAGAATCTTGGGGGAAGGGTCTGCTTACTACTTACGAGGAGTACTTACGGATCTGGGGCATGAGAACGGCGCTCTATTTTATTTTATTATTTTACTTTTATAATCTTTTACCCTTTTTTTGGGGGGGGGGGGTCCGAAAGGGTTCTGATTTGTCGGCCTATTTTTGTTTCCCGATTTTATTGTTTTGGGAGCAAAATGGAATTGGGCAGCGAAAGTAAAAGGGAAGGCTGGGTCGACTTTTTCTTTATTTTCCTCCTTCCCTGGTGGGAAAGTTTGTCCCCGATGCCGTGGATTCCGGCGTCGTCGCAAGCTTCTTACTCACTTCTTCGATGTGTTGTTTCCTCCTCATCCTCTTCTTGTTCGTCTTTTGGAGAGAGAGGGAGGGGGAGAGAGGGAGAGAGCGCGCTGTTTGTATTTTCACATGCACGGCGACCGTCTACGATTTTGAGGTTGTCACGGTGGAGGAGCCATCCCTCCTTATGGTCGCGTGTACGTACTTGTGTTACTGTTCGGTTAACACTGATGAGTGGAGGCGAATGGATGGTTTGGTCCGTGCTTGCGGCTAGGTGTCGATGGCCCAGGTGTGTTGTCGAGTTGAGCTAGATCTGAAGTTCGATATTCCGCCGACTTGCTGCGATGATGTCTTGTATGGTCTGTGAAGTCAGGGTTTTAATGACCAGTGACGCGCCACACCATTAGCACTGGCTCGGAGAAGTCGCCTCTTGAGCCAGTCATTCTCAACAACCGGGTAGGAGGCTGCAGAGAGAGCTCTGGCGCTGCGCTCCTCTCCTCGTACAAGCCCCCTTGCCGATTGTCTCTTGTCTGCGCATGGATGACGGGTTCGTTTCCTTGCAAAAACCTTCCGTGATGTGATTGATGATCGTTCGTGCCGCAAGGCGCAAGGCGGAGTCCAGGTCCGGTACTGGCGCTGACGATCGGCATCACCGCGGACCCTCCCCTCCCCCCCCCCCTTTGTACGGCGCCGCCGGTGCGAGATCACGGTCCTCCGGCGAGACGGGTGGGGAGTCCGGTGGTTGCAGCAAGCGACGGGAGGGAGGGGTTCGGGATCGGAACCGTGGCTGGGCGGGATGCTTTGCTGGAAAAAGACTACTCATAAAAACTGAACAGAAAGAGAACGGACACAACAAGATCATGCTAGGCCCTCCCCCAGGCATTCCGATACCCAGATCAGAGCGTAATCGACCTCAGATCTAGCGGCGCGAGGAGCCGGGGTGAGCCCTCCAGGGCCAAACGCAGTCCCGACATTGTCTGGGCCAGGCGAAGAGTAGCCAGGCGGATGTCGAAACCGCATTGAGAGCCATGCATCGGATCAGGGGTGGGACCGGCCGGGAGGGCTTTCGGCCCAGCGGTGACATATTGACCATGACTCGATTGCCGACGACTATCCGTACCTACACCATGTTCTCACCGGCGTTTCTGCAAAGGGCGAAGCAGCTCGTAGCAGTTGATCACTTGCCCAGGGTGCGAGAGAGATACGAAGGAGTTTGGAATTGGCTCAGTACCTGCTTGGCACGGTACTTGCCCCTTACCATGTCGCCAACCAAGGGTTGCTGCATATTATATGCCCGAAGAAAAACAAAAACAAAAAAAAAAACAAAAAAAGCCCCGAGGCCCCCGTCTGAGTGCAAGAAGGCCGAGCCGGCAGCTAAACCCAGGAGGTCGGTCAGCGGTGCAGGCTTTGCGTTGCAGCCACGTTCCAAGGAGGCGGACTCAATCCGGGGGTCGAGAGGTTCCTCGCGTAATATCTCGGCACTGCGGCTTGCTCGGCGTCGATGTTTTCTCGCTAACCAGACCACGAAACCGACCTTCCGCCCATCCGTGTATCCTTGAGTGACGACGAGGCGAGACCCTTCGGCCTTCGGCAATGCGGAGGGACGGCGGGAAGGCTGCGTGTTGGTGTTCGCAGCTTTGTATCCGTACGCGTCAAACTTTTCTAGGGTCCACAATTCCGTCTCTGGCATCGGTGAATTGCGGACGCCGTGCTGAAGAGTCCTCAGAGCGAGCACCAACGGCCACGAGTAATAATCCACGCTTTGCTACCTACCTAGGTCCTGCGGGAGTCCGCGGACGAAGAGCGTAACTTGGGTCCACTTGGGTTCAATGCGTAGGCCCGCTCACGTCTGGAAAGGGCGCATTTCTCAAAGCCAAGATGAATGAGCGCTGCGGCAGAAACAACTGCATCTGTCACCAGAAAGATTATTTGGCTGCGCCTCTCGATACAGTTTGTTTGGGGAGTCGAAGGAGATGAGCCTGGAAGTTGGGACGGCAAGTCTAACATCTCCGAGAAAAATAGCACACGCCCCCCCTCACCCCCCCTTTCCAAAGTCCTGTAGCAAAGTACACGGACCAGTAGCTTAGAGACGGTTCTCTGAGCGGCAAGTGACCTCGTGTGCCCGGTGCGAATCTTTCGGGGGGTTTTCCAAGAGGCCGCGTGCCGTTTGGTAGGATTTGAATCCTGCGCGGCTCACTTGTCTGGTTGGTCGAAACGGTACCAGCATCGATGCCACTCTACTCCGTACGGATACCAGAATACCTGTTCGACTGAAAACGGATCGATGCGACGACACGACTGACGGCGCAAGACATGCCGACGCCCGCGCCACACAGGGGCCGAACTCGAGGCTGTTAACGAGATGACATGACGGCTTGGCGCCGTTTTACAGCGTACGGTCTCTTTGGGTTGGCAAGAACGGGACACGAGAAATTGACGAGGGTAGCAAATGCTTGTCCCATCTTATCTTGTAACTTGTACGAAACTGCGAAGCCACGGCCATGGGTTCGGTGTGGTGCTGCCATCTGTGTACTCTTCGTCGTCGCCGCCTTCTTCAAGCTTGACTTTAAGGCACCTTTGCCTCACACCACTGGCTCATGGATCTCGGTTGACTTTGCCGATCCATGGTTGCAGTGATATGTGGACTTTTCAGGTCAAGCTTTCGAGGTAGGCGTGCCCACTCTCCAGCCATCACGGCTGAAGAGTGGGACTTTGTCAGCTCTTGTTGGCCAATGACTTCATCTCATCTCCTATCGACGCTTCTCACTTGCCAACAAGGGCTGATTCGATGGAATCGTGAAGTCCGGAGACTGCGTTATCTGTCTGTTGTGTCCTCGTTCCCTGGGCAACGCGTATCGAGGGCTGAGAGGGAGGCTTGCAGCCAGGATGCCATAAAAAGTGTGTTCTTGGAGCTGACGGCAACAGCTTCAAAATTTTGTTGCTGCCAAGACGACTAGCTGTCACGTTGAGGCGGGATCTCTCGAAGGCTCCTTGTGGTCTTAGGCAGTAGCGTGCTGTTTTCCGCTGGAGCTAGGCGGTTGGCGGCGGCGGCGCCGGTGCCGCTGCTGCAAATGCATACTGGTACTACTAGTAGGCTGTAGCGTTGTTTATCGAGGCAGGGGCCCTCGAAATTGGACGGGCAGGCCTGCCATGCAAGGTGATATCATACATGCCCGAAGGAGCCAAGCGGATTGGCGGTGTAGTGTATTCGTATGCATTTAGTTAATGGAAAGCTTTCGGGCAACTGCTACTGCGAGGACTCAGGGCAGAACCTAGAAGAGAGTCTACTACTGCGTAGTGTAGTGTAGTAGGTAAGCAGGTAGGTAGGTCCTGGGAACAAGTACCGTACATTACCTAGTCGACTGCGGCATTTGGCATGTTGAGCGTGTGCTGATGAAATGTTTCAGAACGGTGATTCGGGGGTCGGACTTTTTTGATCGGAGAACGACCGAGAGTTGGCAACCGATATGAAGGGAATGGCAGGCCAAAAACGTGATAGTATCGGGTACATTTGCTATGTCGATGCGAAGGGATGGGGCTGGGAATGGGATTGACGGGGTTTGTCGATGGAGCTGGACGCAACAGACGGGCGACAAGGAGAAGCGCCAAGACGCGTGTCCCTCGTCTCCGCAAGGTACCTACCAAGTTTAAGTAGGTACGTATGGGCCAACGCAGACCAATGAGGCGCATGGCAGAAGAGGGTCTGATTCATAACGGGGCAAGTGTAAGCAAGGTTATCGGATCCTTCTTTTCTTTCTTGTCAGCCGGTGTCATGTGAAAGGATGGACGGATAGGTACGGAGTATAGCAAGCAGTCAGGACTCAGAAGGAAGGGTCATTTCGTGATGACACCTTCCAGGAAAGTCAATTCCAGATCCGAGGCAGGAAGACACGACTGGACTGAGACGGCGACGGGGACGGTGAGTACCGTACTCTGGACACATACGGAGTAGTACGTATACACAACACTAGTGCATCGTGCCCTACCTTTGGAAGGAAGTGGTACGTAAGGCAGGCAGGCCCCTTACCAAGTGGGTATGGTAATGTACGCGTAAGGTCAAGATTTACGGATACGCCCATCGCGAACCGTCTTCTCCACACGACAACTGTGCCAATCAGCAAAGAAGGCATGTGCCCCACATCTCACACAAGCTGCAGCCGAGTCCGAACCTCAGCGTCCTTCCTTAGCCCAGGCGCTAGCAAAGCGAACCTGCGGGCCCAAGTAACATGAGCACTCGCCCGACTTTGCACCCTCTCCAGAGGTATCTACCTAGGTAATGTTGCCGTGGCAGGGATGCTGTGCAAAAGAGAAGAAACCAAAAAGTCTTGGCAAAGCATCCCATTGGCGCCGAGTGTTCCCACCTTTCTCCTGCCTTGCTTCCTTCCTTCCTGCGACTCACTCACTGAATAGCAGTGCCCGTCTTGCTGCTGTTTCGTCGGCAAGTGGCATGGTTGATAGCCCAGTCCGGCTTGCCTTTTCTCTCTCTCTCTCTCTCTTCTACCTCCAGCAACAGAAAAAAAGGGAAACTGGGCCATTCGTTAAAACCAACGGCGGAGCCCACTCTTTCTGCTTTAATGCCCATCTCCTTCCCCGTGGGCCGCTCCTGATCTCCATGTTAATAGCTAGGTATTACGAATACTGTGTACCTACCTTCCACCACCCTGTTGGCCGACTCCGGTCTAACTGACCTTTCGTCTCCCGTCCTTTTTTACTTTTGGTATAGGAGCGCTCTTATCCTCCTCATCTCCCCCGTCTTCTGTCGATTCCTCGTGCCGCATCGCCAGCTTCCTTGACGCCGTGTACCAAGTATTCTCTCTCGCTCCGCGACCCTGTCCGAGTATCTTTTTCTTCATCACGGCCCACCCTGCGTTTCGCTTGCATTTCTTTCCTATACGACGGCTGGCCAATCCCGAGGGGTTTCCGGTGACTTGCAAGGAATCTAGATAACGATTAACGGATACTCGGCCACGACGACACACGAAACTCGACGACTTCTGCGCGTAACAGGACACGCCACGTTCCCTCGGTCTATTTATCGTCAAATCAGACACCTGCCAGTGCCGGAACCGACTTGGCACCATATAATCCGACTGAGCTGCACCGGACTGCGCTGTACCTGAGGACTACCGACGACGCTGTGGAGAACAACCGAGGGTCGCCCGAGAAGGCTTTACCTCTTGCGAGCGTTGCAACATAAAAGACGCGAGACCACACAGACCGACATCATGGCCGACGTGAAGCCTCCCAGCGGCAAACTGCCTTACGGCACTCCAGAGGGTGGATGGAAAGCCGTCCACACATGGAGAACCCCGGACTGGGTAGAACCGATCGTAAGAAACCAGACTGAATTACATACGGCCGCCGCCGCCGCCGCCGCCGCCGCCGCGTACCAGATCTTATGGCTAACAACGGCACTAGCTTATTGTTTCCATCATGCTCATCGGCTTGTACGCCAGCCGCCGCAAGAACTACTCGATCCTTCGCCGAGACAAGGCGACATACGAGCCCCTCTTCGAAGAACGTGACGACTCTCCTCGCTTCTCAGACGACTCGTACGAACCCATCCGCACCGATCCCTACCCGCCCAAATATCGCACAATCTTTGGTTGCTTCCGCGTCAAGACTCCTAACTCGAGCCGCTTCGCGAGACACATCCATTCGAGGATCCTGCAAAAGTTTCCCTTCCTCATTGAAATGTTCTACTGGGCCATCACCTTCTTCTTCTACCGCATGACCGCCACATTGGCCCAGAGCTACTACGGGAGCCGAAAGGCCGTCTGGGACGTCGCTCAGGAGCACGGGCTATTCTTGCTAGAGACCGAGGCCAAGTTCTTTGGTGAGGGCACCAGGACCGGTCCTGAGCGCTGGGTTGAATGGCGCGTCTCGCACTGGTTTCTCGAGGGCGCTCAAATCGACGACTTTCGCGGTATCTGGCTGACTGTTTTGAACCGCGGCTACTCCCTCATTCACATCCCCGGCACCGTCGGCTTCATCGCCTACTACTACGCCATGGCGCCAACGCATGCTCGCTTCTGTACCGTTCGCCGCACCATGACATTGCTCAACATGTGTGCCTTCATCATCTTCATCTTCTACCCCTGTGCGCCCCCGCGCTTGATGCCCTCCGAGTACGGCTTCGTCGACACGGTCAATCTCGAGAATGCCGAGAGTGTCTGGATGAGTGGAAAGTTTGTCAACAAGCTCGCTGCCATGCCGAGTATGCACTTTGGCTATGCGTTTGCCATCGGCTGCGTCTTCATTGTTGACTCGGCCGTTCTTAACCATCTTTTCGGTCGCCTGCGCAACTACCTGCTCAAGGATGACTTGGATAAGTCGCTGGATATCGATGATGTCGAGGTGAAGGAAGCCCAGGAGAACCGCGAGCCCTGGAAGAGCTGGGCCATGTTCGCTTTTGGCGTCTTTTACCCGAGTTGGATTCTCTTGACCATCGTCGGGACAGCCAACCACTATCTCATGGACGCTTTCGTCGCTACCTTTTGCGCATTGGCGGCCTACCTCTGCAACCGCGCCCTGCTGGTTTTCCTGCCCGCAGAGGACATGCTGCTTTGGGCCTGGAGACTGGAGAAACCGGTGCCGACTACCGGCCGCATGAAGAACATTGCGGTGCGTTAGGTGCTACAGGAGAGAAAGTGGCGCGCCAGGCCATGCTTGAAAGAAAGAATTGCCTGGCTTTTTGTTATGTTCAAAGCATTATAGAGGCGTTGGGAAACCACATCGGCCTCATTATCAATCTTGTTCCAGAGACAGGATCTGTGCTTTGTTAGCCCTTTTAATTAAGAAATTTCGCCGTTTGACCGAGGACACTCGCTTGTTAAGCTCTGCCGCCGCGCACTTGGAAGTAACGTTGTATATTTAGACGTTTCGGTGTCCCGTTCCCGCTCGTGTTCGGCGCGCCCGGGGCCGAGTTCAATTATCGTGAGGTCATCTCGGCATATCGTCTGGCTTCCTTCTGTTGATGGCATGCGGGAGGGGAGTCATATTTATACCCTACCAGGTTACCATGCTCGCTTTCTTTTGTTCAAGCCGAGAAAGCCGTGACCGCTCAAGCCCTCTCTTATTTACTTCGGAAGCTCCGGGATCTGCGGGAGCTGCGGGAGCTGCGGGATCTTCGGAAGGGCGGCGGCCGAAGGTGCCGTGGGGCGATCTTGTCGATCCACCGCGCTTCGTCTGTTTAGGAACCAATCGAGATAGTTTCCTGGATCGCGGCCCGAGGGTGACTGTTTCAATTACTGTTGGCTACGATGGACCTGGATCTGCTGCTCGCAGGCGGCCTCGGCAGAGAAGTACGTCCCTCCCCCTTGACCCGGATCTCTGTCCCAGTTCGTCAGGGAGAAGGGCTGGCTTTCTGCGGCTACCTAGTACAAATCTTGTCCGGTACGGAGTACTCGGTACTGATACCTGTATTCGAATGTACGTTTAGCAAAGCGGGCCAATCCAGCAACTTGATGCGCTTTTGGGGATTTTGATTTTGGCTTGACCGGGCTTGGACTTTAGAGGGACCAGGATGATGGACAAAAGCGGCGCACCGTTGGCTGTTACTGACAGCCGTACTCGGTAATCCGACGGGGTAGGCTGTTGGTGATCCTCGCCGTGTAGTCTATTTTTTGCCGGACGGAGATGCATGATTTGTCGTGACTATGCTCCAGGACTCTAACGCGCAGGCACTGGGCACATGAGAATGGGTGATATCTTTACAGAACTTGTGGAAGGTGTCGCCTGCTCAGTTTGACGCGGGTCCCGCTCTGTCCATAAGTAATAGGGGAATATTGATAATCAGCATGCCGTTGTGGGTGAGTGCATGATTTCTGGGCGAGGATGCGACCTATCGCGTCTACGCCCAACACCACGTGTGCTTCTACTCGCTGGTGGTTTGGCGTGGTCCTCTCAACGCCCAGATCCAACCATGTGAACGACAAAGCCCTTGGACTTTGTTCAAAAACAAGAGAGACAAGGAAGAAAAAAGGACGGCCCGAGCCTTGTGTTTCCCCATGTCGCACCCAGAGATATTCTCTTCTGTAAGGGAACAACGCCTTTGCTGATGGCTTTTGTTCCGTCCCCTGCCAGTTGTTGTCTACGAACAATGTCTTTGTATTGATTGCATCAATGTTCTCAGATCAATAGGTTGAACGATGCGGACTTTTGAGTATATAGTACCCTCGCAATCTCGGGTTTCCAAATCACTCTTGAAGGTCATCCGACTACATCAAACCGCATCCCATCTCACCTCACCACCAAAAGACACGTACATAGACGCATGATGGCCGGCACCACCTCACCCAATCCCGTGTTTTCCAGCCCATGGGACTATAACGAACAACCGCAGAACTACCTGCGCATCCCGGGTCTTATTTTTGACGCTGTTCCAGCACTGATTCCGCGAGAGCACTCCGCGGCCCTCAGATTCCTCCAGCCCTCCGACTTCGAACTCGACATGTCGTTCGGCGAGTACTACACCCTCCTAGAGCCCCTCGACCGCGTAGCCAACAAGCTGGTCGACGTGTTCGACTACTGCATCCAGGTCCTCAGACGCTCCACCGGGCCCGTTGCCCAGTGTGCTACCGGCTCATCTACCGGGCAATCAATCTCGGCCCCCTCTGTGCTCTGGGACGGCTTCTTTGACCAAGTGCTCGACATGCTGGGCCATACGGCCGAGAAAGTCGGCATGTGCTCGCTTGACGTGATGTGGATCGTGTACCTCTACACGCGCGCGTGGGAGAACACGAGCAAGTCGTACATGGCCAGCGAGAGGGGGTACTGGCGCAGAGCGAATATCCACCACCTCCATGACCTGCTCGGGGAGTGGTATGTAATGTTGAGACGCAAGGGGCTGGCGGGTAATGTCATTTTTGGTGAGCTGTTTGGGATTGGACGGTAAGTCGTTTCTCCAAAGTAAGGTCACATCGCAAAAGGTCGGTGTTCGCTCGGAAGAAGGTGAGTCGAGCTTGGGTGACAGCAGGTATACATGGTCATGATAAATTGGGGAGGGGGTTACCCGGCGTTTCGTTAAATCCGTAAGTTTTCGACTTAGACTAGTAAGTTGAGATATTCAGCTGGTGAGCACGCAGTGTGGAAGTGAGTGAGTGATGCCGGGTCATAGATGATAGTCCGTTGTCTGTCGAGAGAACAACTGATCGAATCGAACGCGGACTCGGAACCATGGTGAAAATGCCAATATGTCGAATATTTCCTGCAGTATTAATAAACGTGAGACCTCGTCTTCAACTACTACTCATTACCAAAGGTGTCGTTACGGCCTCGTTCCGTACCCGGCCATCCCCCAGACTGGCCAAAGCTGTACAGCAGGCCCATCGAGCACTACTTAGGGAAGGGGAAAATATTATTAAACATAAGAAGAGACAAAGAGAAAAGATTACAACAATACAACGCTGAAACAAAAATTACTGTGACGAAGCTGGTGGGAATTGCGTATGTGCGGCATAGATATGCTCCCTCTCCCGATGGAGCTTAACGATTGCCGGAGATTCCATGACTTTCGGGGACCGAAACCGGGGGCGGACGAGGACCCCACCGCCGCCCCTCTTTTTTCAGCGTGATGTCACGGCGGGTCAGCCCGGGCGACAGTCTTGCGTCTGCCCATCTCGACTCCGAGACCTGCTCCGAACAGTCTCTCAACTCAATTCATCCATCCTTTGGAATTGACTGAGAAATCCGGGCGTGACAATCATTGGAAAACATGGCTCCAAGCAAGTACACGCTGGCCACTCGGCTCACTGTGAGTAACTTGCCAATCTCATAAGACGCACTCTGGTGCCGAACCACAGCCGTCCACCCACTAACACCTTCCAGCTCGCGAACGGCAAGACCATCCCGCAGATCCAGCTGGGTCTGTACATGATGTCCGGCCGCGAGGTCACAAAGGCCGTCCCCTGGGCCCTGGCCGCCGGCTACCGCGGTTTCGACTGCGCGCAGATGTACCGCAACGAGAGGGAGGCGGGCAAGGCGATCCGCGACTTCCTGGCCAGCGGAGAGAACTCCCAGGGCCTGACGCGAGAGGATATCTTCTACACGACCAAGCTGGCCAGCAACAGTACCTCGTACGACGCCGTGCGCAAGTCCATCAAGCAGTCCGTCGACGTCTCCGGCCTCGGCTACGTCGACCTGTTCCTGCTCCACAGCCCGTACGGCGGCAAGGAGGCCCGCCTGACGAGCTGGAGAGCGGTGGAAGATGCGATAGACGCCGGTGAGGTGAAGATGGGCGGCGTCAGCAACTACGGTGTCGCCCACGTAAGTGGCCCGTTGGGCGTGCTGGCTTGAGCGAAGAAGGGTTGGGTCTAACCAGGGACGCAGATTGAGGAGCTGATGGTTTCCAAGCCCCGCGTCGCCCCCGTCATCAACCAGATCGAGGTTCACCCGTTCAACACCCAGACGCACATCAGGGAGACGTGCGCCAAGCACGACATCGCCATCGAGGCCTATGCGCCGCTGGCTCGTGGGATGCGCATGAAGCACCCCAAGATCCTCGAGCTGTCCAAGAAGTACGGCTGTACTCCGGCCCAGCTGTTCGTTCGGTAAGTCCCGTCTCTGGGTTATCCGGTTTATGCGGCCAGCATGGGCGCTGATAATGGTTTGATTAGCTGGTCGCTGGACCACAACATGATCACTCTCCCCAAGAGTGTGCGCCGGGACCGTCTGATTGAAAACGCCGACGTTTCAGGCTTTGATATCTCCAAGGAGGACCTGGCTGCTATGGACGCATTGGATGAGCACTTGGTCACTGACTGGTGAGTCACGGAATTATGCCCTCCTCTTGGCTTTTGCCGCGTGCAGGAAAATTAGGTCACAGCTGACGACAGGACGCACCAGGGACCCGACCGAGACTCCATGAACAGGTTATGAGATGGTGAGAAGGCATGCGAATTTCTATTCAAGAGTCAAGCCGTGTTTAGTCTGTTCTTCCAAGTTTAAATCGTCTGAAATTGATTCGCGATTCGCGGGCGAAGACTCGAGAGTACTCGGATACCTACTTTGATCAAGCAAGATCAAGTGGAAAGGTCTGGATGGTAACCGCTTGCATCCGAGTTCCTTGATGCTGCAAAGCGATCAACAACAGATGAACCGAGCAACTGAAGGAGAACGAGGTTTCAAACAATGCCGCAAAAAACGACATCGCTAATGATTGCGGGCAGAAATGAACATCGTGACAAATAGCGTCTTGTTATCACAGAATGGTTTGAAAATGTACGCAAAACAAGACGATGAAGGCCAGCCTTCTGGTGACCAGTTATACCAACCATATCGACCTCACCAATGACATCTCACTGGTCAATAAACTACTGCTTCTTGCCTTCTGAGCCTTCCGTGTCAATAATCGCGAGCACGGTTCTTCACGCACTATTAACGGCTCTGATGATCCATGTATCCAGCAGAATGGTAGCATAGAGTCCTGCGGTTCCTCCGCTAACGATGACCACCTTCAGTGGGCCGTCTTTTGGGGTTGGCAATTTGCTAGCGTTGGTATAGTAACGACCGTCAACGGTTTTCGGAAAAAGGCTGCGCGGGGATTTTCGGCAGCGAGTTCTCCGTTGGGATTCACAGTGCGCCGATAAAGAAGCCATACTCTATATCGATCGAATGATACAGCAACGTGTGAGCCTGGGTCCAATCAGCCACATGGATTTCCATGACTTGGCCTCGAGTTGTATCAGGGCTCTGGTGGCATTGCCTATTTCAGAATCAGCTACCTTCGCGTGGTTAAAGAACATGAGAAGCTCCGCAAGTTGCACGACTCGAGCCTTATTTATTTGCATGCTTGCCTTCTTACGAAGACAGGATGGCTGAGTCTCACATGCCTCCACGCAGCCACAAACACTGCTATGCTTTCAGCTGAAGACTCCAAATATGTATTTACAGTGAAAAACAACTGGAGAAAGAGAACCGGAAAAGTGCGTCGACATGCAAATACAATCCTTATAGCTTCGAAGGTCAGAATCTATTACCATCTTGGAATGTCAAAAGTGTCTGCAGCAACTCATTGCCTTATCCCACAAACCTGCCACCCGCTCCAGCCCAATTTATCTTGCCCTCTTTGCGCGCTTTTACCGCAGAAAATCTGAACATGACCGTCCAATCCTGATTAGCTTTTAGTTCATTGGACTATGGTGCATAGGCAGTACCTTCAGCGGTGCACTGTTGTTCGAGACGTACTTCAGAAACCACGCACACACTGCTTACACCCCGTTAAAGAAACAAGTAGCACTCATCCCAGAGAGCCATGCCCAGCATGTTGAAACCGATAAACTGTTAAGCACGCACTGCTTGCGATCAGAACACTAGGGCCGTTTGATCTTGTAACACGCATAAGTTGGTTTGATGATGTTCCCGGTAAGCTAAGATAAGCAAGGTCAGTCAAGGCTGAGATAATGAACCGATGTCGTCGTGGAACAAATCCCGCGCAGTACTTTGCCGGTGTTATTGTTATGCCTTTCCCATGTTTTGTCATCTATGGAGTGATTGTCATTCTTTCGATTCTTGTTTGAAAGGATGCATATCTAAATCAAAACTCTATTATGATTGGGACAATTGGTAGCCTCTGCGATTAGTTGCCAAAGGCAGATATAGTGATAAGCATATGGAACCGTTTCTATCACTGTGCATTCTTGGAGCTAAATTAATCCCGAGATGTTGTAGTATAACCAGGTACTTAGGTTAAAGAAGGTGTAGAATCAGGCTAGGTGGCAATGGAAAGGCATAGAAGATGTATTATGTCATTAACAAGGTGTGTGGGTATGTGACATCGCGGGGAAATTTGACCTGGCCCTGATACTTTGTAGAATTCAAGAACACGGACATCAGCCCTAGCAAATGTCCGTTCGCTGAGAGGGGGCGTCGTAAGATAAGAGGCCGATTGATAATGCTGAATACTGCGAGCACGCGTCTTTTTGGGGATTTTGGCGTGCTTCAGAGTACACTTACATCTGTAATTGTGCGATAACTCGAGTTATCGCGTTATGGCGCAACGGTGGAGTCGAGGTGGGGTAAAGGCTGGACTTGTCTTGGCGTCAACAGCGCATATAAACTGCCTGTTTCCCCAAACAAAGGCTATTGCTCAACACAGAACCATTGTGTTGTCGACCCAAGCAATATTAAAGGAACCTATCAAGGACAATTATACTCCAGTTCGATCCATCCCCAGCACCACCTCATCATGTCTGTCAAGAAGGTCGCCGTTGTCGGAGTAAGTTGAGATGCAGAACTATCAGGCCACCCGAATCTCCCAATGCTAACTGTCACAGGGATCCGGGAACCTCGGTCCCAGCATTGTTGACGCCCTGCTGGCTGGTGGATTTGAAGTGACTGCGCTTTCTAGAAAGGAGTCTTCCTCCACATTTCCTCCCGAAGTTACTGTCAAGAAGGTCGACTTCAACTTGGTCGAGGAGGTTACCCAGGCTCTCAAGGGCCAAGACGCTGTTGTCTCCGTGGTTGGCACGGCCGGGTATGCTAGCCAGAAGACTCTCGCCGACGCTGCGGTTGCAGCCAAAGTCCAGCGTTTCATTCCCTCTGAGTTTGGGATCAACACCCGCGTGGTTCGCGGCACAAAGATTGGCAGCATTTTGTCTCCCAAGATTCAGTTGGTCGATTATCTGAGCGAGCTTGCCGAGAAGAACAGCTCATTCACATGGACTGGAATCTCTGTAGGGCCGTTTTTTGACTTTGTAGGACAGCCCCATATGTTCCTCTCTAGTTCCGGGATATGACGTGGAGCTAATACAACCTAGGTCAATGGAGGGCGTCTTGCTGGCTTTGACGTCAAGAACAAGACTGTCAACATTTTCGACTCTGGAAATGAGCCCTTCTCTCCTTCTACCCTTGGGTTTATTGGAAAGTCAGTTGCGGGCGTGCTGAAGAACCTCGAGGCTACCGCCAACAAGTACATCAAAGTCGGCTCGTTCACAACAACACAGCGTGAGCTGCTCAAGATTATTGAGGAGAAGACTGGCTCTACCTTTACCGTAAACAACGTCAAGACCTCCGACTTGGAGAAGACGGCCGACGAAAAGCTAGCCAAGGGCGACTATAGTGCTTTCGTCCAGTTGCTTCAACAACACATTTTCGCCGACGGCAGCGGCAACGCCGCAAAGGATAATGCAGCCGTGAACCTTTTGGGCTTGCAGGAGGAAGATATCAGTGCTGCAACCGACAAGGCTCTAACCGTCTGGACCTGAGCAACGAAAAATGAGTGATAATGACATTTCTATAAACCCAAAATCTGCATTCTACATTTTGCCTGTTAAGACTCAACAGTGCACCTACCCTTCTTCGGGATGACGAATACCCTCTCCAATTGATCTTATAAAGGGGAAACTGCTACCGAGTGCCCCTCTCCAAGCGAAGACATTTGGCCTCACATATTGCCAAAAGGGGTCTCTGTCTACTAGCAATTAAATATCCTTCGATGCCGTTGAATGAGTTATCGTACCGGGTAGGGTCCCTGCGATTTCATGGAACTTTATCTGCAATATAATACACAATTTCTCGCAAGTCTGAAGTCTTCATCTGGCATTATCAATCAAGATTATCTGTGGTCGGTGTACTGATCCGTTCATGTGTCATATTTGTACGATAGTTTCTCTTACTTCGACGTGGCGCAGTTTCCTGATCGAAATTGAGGAAAACTGAACAGACAGAACAGTACAGCACCATGAACTCTGCTCTGGCCAATTGCTTCGAAGTGCAGTGGGTCATTTTGATATAGTCAATGTTTTCTTGCCTGGGAATGTTATCTCCTCCAGCTCCACAACGTAGTATAAAGTATCAATTACCATCGTAAACATGTGAAGATTACCAAGTCTCTGCCAGTAAGAGGAATAGAGCAAGACCACCGGCTTGTATCGACCTCCGCGCCCGTTGAGACGAGAATGAGTCAAGTGAAAGAACAACGCATAAAAAGAGCCCGGTTCGCCAACTCAACGCCTTCGTCTGATCTTGAATACGGCATGACCACCCGAAAGCCATGGTGGGAACTTCACGCAACTCTAATCACTCTAACATCCTGCGGAACAGCGACAGATCGCTGTCGCTACCAGCCCGCCAACTCTGTTACAAACTTTCGGCAAATCTAGATGCTTAATTGGGTCAACCTTAACTTGTCAATGTGGGCGCCACGACACTGTTGCCTCACCGTGGTTGCTCATCTTCCTCATAAAGCTCCAGTCCTCCGCAAATCCATTTACGTCATCGATGTTGGGCTGTCACCTTTATTTCCCATATGCAAACTAATCACACGATACCTGGACGGTACCTGAGCAGACCATTCGTTGGCCTACGAACCTCGCATCTTCACAGCCATGCCCATCGAGATACGGGCTGCCTCGGAGCACGATCTCAGGCGATGTGCCGAGATCGGGCATCAGGCCTTCACCAAAAACCCATTCTCGAAGATCAAGTTTCCTGGTTACGTCCCGGACGATGGATTCCTGGGACTCCGAACCGGTGACCTGGCGAAGCAACTTCGAGAGGACCCGACCTGTCGAATGTTCGTCGCAGTGGACACTGAGCGAAGAGGCAGCAATGCGGTCGTCGGTTTTGCCAAATGGAACGTATACTCAAATGGCATGCCTTACGCGAAGTCAAACCCCGCTTCGTGGGGCCCGGGTGCCAACGTCGAAGCATGCAAGACGATCTTCGCAGGGGTTGAAGCAATGCGGAATTTCTTGATGGGAGGCAGGCCATGCATTTGTGAGTCTACTCTCATACTTTATGGAGAGAAAAATCGACTAACACCTGTGGTCTGTAGACCTCCATGTTCTAGTAACCGACCCGCTGTACCAGCAGCGCGGCGTGGGGCAAAAGCTGATGACCTTCGGCATACAAGAGTCTCTTCATTTGGAGATACCGGTTTATCTTGAGGCGACGGAGGCCGGCCATTCTCTATATCTGAAAATTGGGTTTGATGATATCGAGATTCATCGTTCTGACCTATCCAAGTTTGGGGAGTCTCGGCCTCATATGATATGGGCAATGATTCGGGAACCCTATTGTTGGTTCCCCTGAAGAGTGGAAAGCTGGTATCAAGAAAAGCCTCCCAACACATTCTGTACGGTGTTTTGTTGAACAAGATGTATCTATAAATTCTCATTGCATGGCCTTTTATCTGTTAGATGCTCAATACTACCACTCTACCTTCAACTCCAACCAAGGTAGCCGTTTTCTTCAGCCCGCCAGAGCCTGCGCAATGGTGGAGGCACAGCTGTGAGGTCAATATCGGTACCTACGGCAGTAGTACTGAAGGTGTTTACACCAGCATTGATATTCCCAACCGCCACAATATCTTTAACAATGTTACCAAGAAGTGCGTTGAGGCCTTTCTTGTTGACACTGAGTAACATAGAGCATTCGGCAGTGATCGTGCGGCTTAGGGCCATTGACAAGGAGTGCGTGGCTCAAGGGAATGCACGAGCCATCAGATTTTCCTAATTTGGGTGGAGATTTCTATCCGAAAATTGATGCTGATATACTCCGTACATAGTACAATGGTATCGCCCACAGCCTGTTGACCTGACGCGGGCCCGACCGACCATTGTCATTTCGCCTTTGTTGCCAACACTTCAACAGTAATCTACCTATTTGATGTAATCTTTCTTGAGCGCCCACTTGGACTTATCGTAGCTCTTGGGCCAAACACCACTCTTTCCCGGAGCGAGAATGCCATTAGGATCCAATGCATCCTTTATTGTTTGGTTCAACCTCCCAAGCGCATGGTTGTTGAAATCGTACGTATCTGCGATCTGATCCATTAATGCGACGTGGGTGCGGAACTCTCCCCATCCGTTGTCAGCGCAATCTTGGATCATCGTGCGGACAAGCCACTGCGCTCGGCGGCGCATATCAGGATCCTCCCGGTTATATACAATGCATACAATGTTATCTATATCATTAACCATCAGTACATTCCCCAAATATTGCGTTCCGTGTACTATAAGAGGGGTGGACCGAGCAACTTACGCATTTCACGCATACCAATACTGAGTATACCAAAATAGTCAAGTTTGGCCTCAGCAAAGCGCTTCTTAGCCATAGTGTACTGACTCATCGCCGATTTCCCGTCAACCTTGGAGATCGGGGAAAAGGAAAGAAATGTGCAGTTAGGGATCCAACTAGTCGAAGCATTAGTAATGTACAAAAGCAGCGTGTCAGGCGGATACTTACTGTGTCAACCACCGCAATTCGTCAAAGGTTGGCAGACCCCGCATAGTATCAGCACGGGCATGCAGGCTGCTGAATTCCTCTTTACGGTCTTCGAGTAAGAACCATCTGCTGCCAGGAACCTTGGTCATTTCTCGCTTGATAATCTCAAGATGTGCGTTGCGAATGGGCTCAGGCCCATAGGCAGCTCCCATATACACCCAACGTCCCAAGTCAATCTTCTTTGCAGCTGCATCCCACTGCTCATCTGTAAGAGGTTCGTTGGGATTGTCCGTATACTCTGTACGAGGGTGATAATGCGATGCATCTAGTGAAATATGACGAAGACTAGCGGCATTTTGGAGAATCATATTCTGGTGTTCCTCGTTAGCTATGTCTCTAACCAACCAGATGAAGAAATGACAGTTGACTTACCACACGAAGTGGACGAATGATGTCAACAATAGCTTCGAGATCATCATCATTCTCATATGTCACCATGAAAGGAGTCATGCCAGGGGGAGCAGGCATGAGCTATGTGCCAGTCAGCTCAGATATTCATACTACATGTTTCCCGCAAGTCACTTACCCAAAGGCCCATCTTTGTGACGACTGCATGATTGCTCTGAGAGAAGATTCCGTCGTTAATAGGACCGAATCCGTAGGGGAAGAGCTGCCAGCACTCGTTTTGATGTTGATCCTGAGGAGGAATGCCTTGAGCAGCTTGCTTGCGACCTTCAGGGCTCTGCATAGCGCCCATGCCGGTACGCACCACTTCGCCGTTGGCGAGAACGATCTCCATACCGCACTGCATCATCCAGTGATCGCCATAGGGAGTAAATCCGACTCCATGATCTAGTGCGTTACCGACCATGGAGCCATACCCAAGCTCGGGGGAGTCCAGCCAGACCTTGTCCCGCAGACCGTTGTCGTCTAGATATTTCTGCATCTGAAGATATGTAACGCCAGGCTCAACAAGGCAATAACAATCTTCAGCATTGACCTCGAGGATGCGGTTCATATGGGTTCCCAGGTTCATGACCAAGCTCCCCGATACTCTCGGGGCGGCACCACCGTAGCCAATGTTGTGGCCTTTGCTGTATGTCCACACGGGGACAACAAAATCGTTGCAAAGTTTGAGAATAGCCTGTATATCGGCTACATTCTTGGGGTGGATAAGAGCACTACCGATGAACTCCTCTCGTTCGTACAAGCAGTGCATGTCATGCGTTTGACAGTCGACTGTAAGGTAATCGCCGTCGTCTAGAGGGGTATCTTGGGTGATTACCTGAAGGTTATCCTTCCCTACCGCCTTTTGAAGATTCGATGCAAAATCCTGAAACTTTTCGATGGAGATGCCAGGAGGCAAAACTCGAGGAGAGGGCACCGATCCGCGGGACCCATTCTCCTTAGCGATGCTAACACTTGGTGCCATGTTGCAGTGAATTAATAAATGAACTAATCGGTAACAGCTTCAAAGACAAATTCGAAAAGGGTAAGCTTGACTGGCTCAATGATGGTGGACTTGGGTATAACAAGCCTCAAGCAGTGCAGCTTATCTATCAATATATGTGACTAGTCTACAAAGCCTGAGCGATGCTTAGCGGCTGCATGGTATCCATCCAATGTTTTGATTTATGCCATAGATTGACACGCCTATAAAGGGGGCTGCTCCAAGAGACCTTTTCTCGTCTAATTACCCAAAATAGTAGTAGGGTGGCAAATAAGATTCGTCTAGTCCGGTGGGAATCCCCGAACGAGCAAAGCATAAGATTCGTCTACTCCGGTGGGAATCTCCGACTGAGCATGGCTCTGTTGTTCGTTTCAAGCAGAGCATTTCCAATTGATGCACACCTACTCGGAATGCTGATCATGATGGACGTAGCGGTATAAGCATTCGGCCGCGCATTGACTAACGCAGTGCCGTTTCGTCTGTTATTCACCGTAGCTAGAGAGTTATGTCAGTCTATCCGACGCGAATTTGGCTTCTCTTCGGTGTTTTGACGGATAGCGGGCCGCAGTCACACCACGCATTTCCATGAACCATGGGCCAGAATTGTTTGAAATCCGTCTATACGCACGCATCCACAATGGAGTCACCACAACCACCCGCATTCTTAAACCTGGTCTACTTTGGGCATCTTGAAACATCCGGGTTCGACATGTTTGTTTCAAAGGATGCTTTGCTCCCAAGGTGTAAATATAGAATTTGGTCACGTAAGTTTGGCTTTGGAGAATTGGTCCTTGCAACACCATCAGGGTCTTACGGTAGCCCAGTAACAAGCCATCACATTGTCTATGGATGCGTGAAGATTTCAGCTCTGAAACCATATTCATTGAGGCAGGTTATGGCATTGCTACGAGTCGAATGTTGGTTCTCGTCGTGAGAAATTCGGGGGATTGTATTCCGAGTCTCGCATTGCGATAATTCCAGTCCGACGTGACACAAACTAAGCCGTTGAAATTGAAGATGATTTTATCAGCCTTAAATTCAGGAGAGCCCAACTCTCTTGAGAGTAACTTGTTAACTTCTCAACATTGAAGACATTCCACTTACAAGAGTCATATTCGTCGAAATCAACGTACCGCATCCCAACGACATCTTCCTTTTTCTAGGTTTCCAGAATCTGGGTAGAATCATCGATATCATGACGCCAGAAACCATCTCCAACGACTTCCAAACCAATGTTGATGCCCCGCGGCCTCCCCAGAATTTCAAAGAGTTCAAGTCGCTAGTCAACAATAACGAGGTCCCAATTGACCCCCCTCTCAACCCAGAGCATCGATGGTGGTGGGATAGATGTGCACCGCTCCTGAACAGCCTACTCAACAGTGCAGAGTCGTATACGTCTGAAGAAAAGGCAGATCACCTGCGCGTCTTCCGCGATGTTGTCGTGCCTTCTTTCGGTACTCCAACACCAAGGGCCAAAGTCAGGCCACTCCTTACGTACGATGGCTCGACTTTTGAACCTTCTTGGAACTTTACCAAGGGCAATGATGGCGTTGTTCGCTACACCTTCGAGCCTCTTGGTGATACCGCTGGCTCGGAGGAAGATCCCTTTGCTGGGGAGATTGGTCGCTCTTTGATTCCAATTCTCTCCCAGGTCTCTTCTGATGTCGACCTACAGTGGTACAAGCAGGTCGTGAACGAGTGGTTCGTCACACCTGAAGAAGCAGTCGCCGCTCGTCAGAACATGCCGCCGCATATCAAGCGCATTCCACAGCTTTTCCTTGCCTACGACATGATACGATCTAAGCGAATGCTCAAGGCCTATCTGTTCCCAGTGCTGAAACATTTCGCAACGGGGGCAACGACATCAGACCTTGTATTCGACCTGATTCCCAAGCTGCAGCCATTCGGTGACAAGCTCGCCATGCCAGCCAGAAAGTTGCAGAAATACTTGGCAACCTGCAAAGAACCATGTCTTGTTGAGATGATGGCTATCGACTGCGTCGACCCAAGCAAAGCGCGCGTTAAAGTTTATGCCCGAACCACATCGAACTCCAAGTCCGTGCTGGCGGACGTCTTCACGCTCGGTGGTACTCAGACTGACGAAGCGACGTTGAAGGGAGTCGAGGCTGCGGAGAAGGTTTGGCATCTTTTGCTTGATGAGCCACAGGGCATGGCTCCAGATCAACGTAAGGATGCCCGAGACATGAAAAATTTACATAAAGGCATTTGCTTTGCGTTCGAGTTGAAACAAGGAGTCGAACGGATTGATATCAAAGCGCACTTGCCTTGGGGACAGACTGCGCGTAGTGATTTCCAGACGATTGAAAACTTTGCGCAAGTATTAAGGAACGTAGGCTTGGACTCGGCAGAAAAGTTCCTTAAGGGAGCTTTGGAGACTGCTAAACTGTAAGTTGACACTTTCTCGTCGTTATGATCCTTCAGAGCTAATCAATTACTCACGCAGGCCCGGTCGAGACTACACCAAGCCAGGTGGCTTGTCATACGTCTCCTATAACTATAATCAGAACGGGCCTTATTTGTCATCGTATTTCTCTCCGAAGATCCAGGATAACTAATGGTGACATTTGACGTGGAATCAATGTTAGAAAGATAATCTGGATTATTAGAGTTGTTATATCATAGTATTTAACTGCTGGATTGACCTTCGCGTGATGTCACTGTACATGCCACGGTTCGAACCCTATGTCTCTTCATCTCTTCATCGCCAGGCCCCCCCTGGTATTAATCCCCTACACCCGAATCACTTATCCCCTCGTGTCCCTCCATTAAACACCGTCACTCTAGACAAGGAATGAAACGATACCCATTGCGACAGAAAGGCCGAGAATGGCGCTGGGGAGCAGTTTACTGCCAGAGCTAGTTGAGGCAGGAACTGGCTGGCTTGGGGAGGTGGTGGAGTTATGGTAGAGGCGTCTGTTAATTGTCTAAGTAAATGTAACAGTACGCTGACAATGACGTGCTGCCAGTAGAGTTCTGTCCGCCGCACTCTAACCAATCGAGACACCCGACGGTCAAAAGGTCCACCAATGCTCGAGTTTCCTCACGAGCACTGCTGTCAACGCCACTTGGATCGGAAAGGGGCAGGGTCCAACACCTGCATGCGCCTATTGTTTTTCGCATTTTTCTTAGTCATCCAATATGACAAAGATATAAGAAGGTTAGCAGTAGGAAGAAAGGGATGGGCAGACAGGATCATCATCAACCAGGGAATTAATCATGGACGTACAGATACAGATAGATCGATACACCTATTTTTTTAGTATGAATTTTTTTATCTTTTTTAAATTTTCTAGTACTATTATAGACCTTATCATACCTATCTGAATCTATATATATGTGTTGTTTTGCTAGTTTTGTTGTCCTAGTCACATCCTCTTAATGCATCATGATTACAGACCTCCTCAGCACCCTATAAGATCAACAACGGCCACCTGTAAGTCTGCTAGTCTCCTTGTATCTGTACTTAACAAAAGTATTATAATAGCCCTGAATAGGTTAGAATGATCACTTTTCTTAAGTGTAGAACTCGGATCAGATGTCTGCGTTAGTCACTTCTGGTTCCAGACTTGAACTGCGCCGGGTATACGGTTGTTGTTGTTGCTGGTTAGTTGTGTGGTTGCGCACCCACTCACTACCTAACTACAGCCTCTGCATCCAGCCCAGTTCCACTAGCTGTAGATAGACAAGCTATGGGACTTCTAAAGTGGTCTTTTTTTCTACTTTTACACTCTTGAGTGTCCAGGCTGGGGGCCCTCTTTGGATATTGGTGCTGCATTTGTCTACCAGACCTACTGCTCAACAAGGCTCTGGGGAACGTATTGGAGGAAAATTTCAACAGGCGTTTCTGGTAAGTCCCGTATTTGCTGGTCCTGGGCTGGTAATATTAAAGGGTGTACAAGATGGGCAAGCAAGGCTTAACTGGAGGCTTATAAGGCCGGACTGGGCTATTATTGCACTTCTCTGGCGTACTGTCGGCAGTACAGCTGGATTTAAGGTCTTTGGGAAGGAGCTCAACGAGTATACAGCCCTGTTCGGAGGTATCGGTAGCTACGGAGGCATTAGAAGCATCAGAATCACCAGAAGACGGAACATAGGGATAACTGATGTGTTGTCTTGTACCGATTGAAGTGAGGGGGTAAGTGGGTATCACGGTGGGTCCGACTCCGCTGACATTAAGCAGTCGTCAATCGGATACGTACGTTGGTCGAGGCAGCCTGTCCAGGTAGTCGGATTAAGTGACAGATGTGTTCAAGGCCCCCTCGACGAAAAGCTGCCGGTTAGCTGTCTTGAACGAAAGGCCGTCGCTGAATAAGGCGTATGAATTGTCTTTTGTATATGTCGATGCATGATTGTCTGTCTAAAAACGAGTGTATTGGCCGAAGGTGATAACACTGTCGCTAATCGTCGATGCCATATATCGGCGAGCGGAATTCCGCCCTGGCGTTGTCGCGGTTCTCTGCCACCTATATATAGTGACCAGGTTCCTCATCCTTTTCAAGAAAGCTTTCAATAATCATCTGACAGCTGTTACTCATCAACTTGAGCCGCAGCGCATCATCACTTCAGTCTGACGCTTACGAACGGCCACTGCATCATCATGGCATCTTCAGTCGCACCCGTACAAGCTTGTCTTCATCCTGCTCTATCTCTACAACCTGGGAGGGATAATCCGGGAAGAAATTCGCAACCGCAGAATAGCCAAGGTCAGACTCGCGCGCAGATCTTGCGGCAGCTTCACGGGCAGGACGTTCGCATCCCAGACGTCGGGAAAATGATGGCAGACTGGCCCAGAGTCCAGAACATGCATTTGGAAGACGTCAACTCCCGAATCCTCGAGATTATTGAGACGTAAGCAGCCTGAGTCTTCATGGTAAATGGAGACTGTCGTGATGCCCTCATGTGCATCACGCGCATCCGGCTCCGGTCGGCCGATTTCTCCGGACCGGAGAAATGTTATTCCGAACCGAGCCTCGTCTCCACGCAGCTGACCCACTCGAAGAATACGTATTTCTTCGGGCTGGATCACCTATCTCTACACTGTAGATAGTTAAGCCGTTTTCCCTATGATCTTTCCTACCCGAACAGTGCCTCTACGACAGAGACGAACTTGGCTAACAAAAAATCGTTCAGACATGCTATTAATGACACTGTTCGCATGCGCCTTACCAAGGCCATGCTCTCATCTCAGCTGGCCGGCTGGTACCCGTACGCCTCATGCGAACGCATCAAGGCTCTCACGTCGTTCCAGGCCTGGATGTTCATCATCGACGACATGCTCGACCAGTATTCGATCGTGGAGAAGTTTGACTTTGAGTCCTTGCACGTCTTGTTGGCGGACTGTCGCGACTTTGTTGAGCGTAGCCTCGACGTTGCCAACACCATGGAGAAGGCCCCGTTGCGATACAAAGAGCACGACGCGGTTGTGTCGTTTTACGAATACGCCCAAGCCGTTTGCAAGTCTTACAGCGACAACCGCCCGTACCGCGCGCGCATTGCGAAGGAAGCAGTCGCGACTCTGGACGGGTACCAGCAGGAGGCCCTCAACCGCTACGCGGGCCGCATTCCCACCCTTGAAGAATATCTCGGTTACCGCCAAGCGTCCTCCTGCATCATGCAGGTTGCGGTGAACCTCGAGTTCGCCAACGGCATCAGCCTGCCCGAAGAGGTAATGGAGTCGGAGGAGATGCGGGAGCTTTACCGTGCGGCTGTTGCCGTCGTCTGGATTGTCAACGACATCGTGAGCCTGCGCAAGGAAATCAGAGAGGGCTTTGTGGAGAACCTCGTCGTGCTGCTCTCGCAAGGCGATATTCAAAAGGGAATTGATGGGGCCGTTGCTAGGCTGGAACGAGAGGTTGCCGCGGTTAACGAGGCGTCTGAAGCTGCCGAGAGACGCTTCGCTGACACGCCACACAAGCATCACGTCTCAACACTTTCTAGGAACTGCAAGAACATGTGTATGGCCAACTGGCTTTGGAGGTAAGTTTGGACATTTCTTCTTGCTGAGAAAGAGTCGGCACTAACCCAGCTTGCCACTACAGCATGAGGACACCGCGATACTGCCTGTGGGATATCAAGCCAGACGCCGCTGGAGGGTATAACTGGACCGTCGACCTCGAAGTTTAGACCACCGCTGGACAATACTGTGCTGATGACCTGTTGCTGCAGCAACTGTGCAACTTTGGCGCCCATGGTCGACTGGACGAGATCTAGAGCCTGTTTACTATTACAACACGGAAGAAACTTGGGGCATAGAAGCCATTGGTCACAAGGACATGCACGTCAAGTACGACAAGCGCGGAAGAGACCGCCTTTGAGGATTGGCCATGGTCACCGACGGCAAGAGTGACTTTGCCCAAACGGACGATGTGAGTAACCAGGAACATTTCAGGACAAAGAAGGGATAGTTTGTTCGTGGCTCTGGTTCATCAAGTCAGTCTAGCTAGTCTCTGCGAGAATGGAACCGTGCCCGAAAGGTGTTTAAAATGCATGATGTCAGAGACGACCCGATCGCCGCTAGAGGCAGGCATTCCTCGTATTGGGAACGACAGGGGGAGTCGGCTTGGTTCAAATAGCAGCGAGTCCCAGGAAACTCGCGTTATTGCTTTTTTAAACTCCAAACTATCGGATCGATACGAGAGTGAGGAAAATCGACCTGATTACCTCTTCCAGACAGCAAATCGAACAAGCCGTCAACCGCAAAGATGAGTGGTCAACTAATTGGGCTGACGACGGTCCCTAGGCTGCTGCGTAAGTGTTCGTCCTATGTAGCGAGATGACACTAGGCTGACCTCTTTTTTCTCCGTGGACAGCCGTGACAGGGGCGTTTGCGCTCCCGTTCACGGTGTATTACGCGTTCCTCAGCCTGCGGGTGGTGGGCGAGCGGCTCAAGGACAAGCACTACCTTGGGGAGAACTCGTCCAAGGCCAGCACGGACAGCAAGACGCGCAACGCCAACAAGCTGTACCTCGCGTCGCGGTCGCATGCCAACTTTGTCGAGAACGTGCCGCTGGCATTCGTGCTCGCGACGGCGGTGGAGCTCAACGGGGGCGACCGCAGGACGCTCGGGTGGCTTCTCGGGAGCTTACTGGTGCTGCGCGTGTTGCACGCGGAGCTGGGTATCATGCGGCCGGAGGGTATGGGCCGCGGTAGGCCGGTGGGCTACTTTGGCAGCATCGGGGTGATCGGGACGCTGGCGGCCTACGGGGCATACCTGGTCAAGGGCTACTGGGGGTACTGAGACAAGGCAAGGCGCGAGAGGCCACTGTGAAGCAGTGTATGAGTAGCTGTGCATGACGTGTTGCAACGTGTGTGTGTAGTTGGTACGAGCATGAAAGATGAGGAAGAATTGGAGGATGTGTGAGTGGAAGCAAAGACGACCCATTAGGATTGGATACAGGAAACCGTTACTTACCGGTAATCGCCCCATTAACCAAAGCTTATTTATTGATTCGTGTCCGGTAGGTATTACCTCCGGGGCCTCCTTCCTTCCCACCGGACATATGCATGCTTTCCACCCCCAGGAAGCCACCGCCCGCCCCCCCCCCCCCCCTGCCTCTTTTGGCAAGCCACCGCTCACTCCACTTGAGACATAACTCTTCACTTGCCTCCGTCCGGGGCTGAACCCAGCCCCGATAGAGCATCCCGGCCGCTGCGGGGCCAACCAACCGCGCAGAATCGTATAGGCCAATGCCATCAACTTGCGAGGCCGACTACAATCCCCAAAGAACGACCTGGACGGCCACCTTGTCCAATGCCATATTCTTGTTCTTTGATACATATCAATATCTGTGTTCGAGAGACCGATGCAAGCTTGCCTCGAACTATTATACCATCCAAAGAAGTTGCGGTCGCTGCTTGTCATAGCCCCCCCCCAATGTCAGCATAATTGCGGCGCAGCAGCCAGCTGAATACGGCGTGGCTCCAACACACGGAATCTCTCAAGAACATAAACAGTCGCGGGGACCGCCGCCTCGCTCATCTGACCACTTCCCCCACGACCCAACTAACGTCCTGCGAAGAACTCACAAAACAAAATAAACCACGGCGCCGGCCAAGCACCACACTCATCGAGGGCTCCCCGAGCCAAGTCTCCTTCCAAACCAACACCTCTGGTCCCAACAACCCCCCCCCCCCCCCCCCTCCGCTACCCGCCGCACCACAATCTGCTCCATATGGGTTCATGGCAAGTCATTCTTAAGGAAAGCGGAGTGGCGCGAGCTCGTTCTACTCCCTCTAAGGTCTAGCTAAATACATGTTGACGTGGCACAAGTGGACAGCAGGAGCATGCAATTCCAATTACTGACCATAGTTATGGGTCCAGCGAGCTCTGACAACCCTACTAGATAAGGAGCGAAACCACCATGGCATTATGACTACATACCACGTAATTCGCCGTCTTATCGTATAAGGTTGCCGTAGAGTACTGTAAGCTATGTAGATTGCTCATTCTTATCGGCAGACGAAGATAGCCTAAACGTTCTCCATCTATAAATTCCCCTGAATGCAGCTCTTCAAGCTAGAAGCCTGTAGGCGGAAAACATGGGGAGGGTTTGGGGTTAGATCCGTGTCGCAACATGGGGCAATTTCAGAAGCCTGCTGAGTTATCATACGCCACGACTAGGGGTTTTACCCGCCGCACCACAATGCGAAACCCGTTCAAGCCTAGGAAGGCGCCCGCGCAAACCTGGACTGCCAAGAGGTCGGCCGTCCTCTCGGCCGACGACCCGGTTTTCCGAGGCCTCGACGAGGCAGGACGCAGGAGCCTGCAAGCGACCCCGCCCATCCAGCATCAGCCGAGGCCTTCCCAGGACCTCGCCAGGGGGCCTCCCGAGCAGGCCGCGGGCGACAGCGCGTGTGCGCCAAGCGCGGGGGCCGGCTCCCACGACAGCATCGCCGTCGACTCTGGACACGGGTACGCTGCGGTCGCCGGCTCTTTCGCCGGTGCCGATCATTCTGGCCACTGATGGCAAGGACATGGTAGCCCGGTCGTCGTTGCCGGAGCGATGAGACATTTGAAGGAGCGCGAGCAGACGGGGGCCGGCGATATGGAGTTGAGTTGATGCGCTTATGAGTGAATCCTTGAGAGTATGCGCGGACGAACCGCCTGGATTGAAGTATCGGGGTTATCAGTAGAGAAAGCAGGGTACGGAGTATTACCGAGTTAGACGCGATATAGAGAACTCCAGGGAGCGAGCGTTCTAGTAATCGGAGTGAGTATGCATTAGTATTATTGTTACATTGACCTTTAAGAACTGCAGCCCAAGTCTCGTACAGAATCTGCGCCTTTTATTGGCGCGCAAAGAAACGTCGATACATTATGCACGTAATTGGACCTCTGACTGGCTGGATGGGTGGGTATAAACGATGAGACTGACAGGGAACATTCGGCTGATGCAATGCACCTTGGTGCACGGCTCTATGAAGCAGACTATCTCAAAGTCTAGAGCGAAGGGCTTCATCGGCGTCCTCGTAGATGCCCGGATACGCTGCTGGGCTGGCACGGCAGTCAGCTGCTGTTGCCCTGGTTGCTCTGTGAATCTCGCTGGTCGCGTGGCTGCGACCTCCCACGCCGAATCGACCGAGGTAGATATACGTCCAATCCCTCCAAGACAGTGTTGTAGGTCTACATAATGCCGGAAAGGCCGCTCTATCTGATGGTACAGAGAATTGAACCTTGCCCACCTCCCCAACACAATCAAATAACTAGGTGAAGAGTGGCTTGAGCGGGAAAGAGACGCTCGGCCAGACGATGGTCGTGTCGAGGGCCGGACCTTTGAAGCCACTGGATCACAAGGAGACTCTGCAAGGCGAAAGGAGGGATTAGAGCATCGATGTTCAAGGGGGGAGACGCGGCCTCCGAAGATCGGAGCGACCCCAGTCCCCCCTCGCTGCGTCATATCCGCGTCCGCGCCCGTGCCTCTAGTATCTGCGCTCGTTGCTCGGTTCTCGAGATGCAATTCTTCATCGGCAAGAATATATTATTTCCAAATGGTACAGGATTGCGCTGTTGTTGGGCTTACAGTAGAGCACTGGTCAGGGGATCCACTGTGAAGCCCAACGGAGGTGGTCGCCTCGCCGATCACCAATATCACCATGGCATATCTAGATATGGGGGTATGGGGTTACAATTTACAATTCGCTGTGTGGCCCGGCGTTCTAGAAGATGGCCAACCCTGTTCCAGAAGACAGCTTCACCTGCACCATCCTCCTCGATCCACCGATGAGCAAGATGCAGAGTTCGCGTGGCAATCTGCTCGGATGAGACATCCGAAGGACGGCACGGCCCGCGGCGATAGGCCCTGGACGTTTGCGAAGCCTAATTGTCTTGCCTGCCCGTGCCCGCAGACACTAGACAGGGGATTATGCAGCAGGTTATCTGGATGACTGCAATGATGAGAGAATGCCATACCTACCTAGGAGGGAAACGGCATGGTGGGAGAGAGCGAGCGCGGAGATGGAGCGTCTGTTATCAAGTTTGGCCTGTTATCAGGACACCTTCCGGATCGAATGGGTTTGCGGGGGCGTTCCCGCCATTCTTATCTGGGCCCCCTGCTGTTTTTGCCCCGGAGTGCAATGGACGGCCATCAAGGACCCTCTCCGTCGTCGGACTCCCGGTATCCAGGCGTCAACGACAGGCTTCATTTCTGCGTATGTTGAGCCTCGTCCTTGGCGTGAGCACAGTCGACAGTTGACAGCTATCCGTTTCTTTGGGGTTCATCTTCTGTTGGAGAGTTGAGAGGTGGTATTGCGTGCTTGTAAGCCACACTTTCGTCAGCCACAACACTTGTCGGAGACGGAGGGGGGACGTGTTCCAAAATGGAGAAGAAGAAAAGCAAAAAGAAAAAGCCTCCTTGTGACAACGCGCAAGGTGCCCCTATCCCTGTCGCTGGCATCGCTTGCCGGCGGCTCACTGGCGCGGCATCACGCGATGTTGGCTGGAATGGCTTCATGATGCCGAGACTTTGCCAGAGGTCGCACGAGGAAGGAGCCCAAGAAGCGAGAGCAGCCTACTTTCCCGTATCATCTCTTGCCCCGAGACAAGGCCTTGGCTGAAGGCCAGCAAGGTGATTGATTTGTTGGGGGAGCTCGTCACGCTGGCAGAGTTTTCCTTCGTCTGAATGCGACATCAAGGCCCTGCGCGGGATGAGGATCGGCTTCCTTGTCATAGACGCGGGCTGGACGTCGGCTCCAGCCGGTCAGTGGCACTCAAAGGGCCTTGTCGGCGTTGCAACATCGGGCGTCGAATCTTGGGCGGCAGACGGTGAGAAGTGTGGTGGAGGTGTGCAGGTGCCCTTGGGGGTTGTGGCGATGCTGTGTAACTTTCCCGCCCGGCTACCGAGGTATGTAGGTGTGCTCTTGCTCCTGCTCATCGTGTCGAGGAAAGAGCGGTTGATGCTGCCTGCAATTTCCATCAAGGGAAAGAGAGAAAGACCTAGTCACGGGAAAGAGCAAAGCAAGTCCTTCACGTCGAGGCAGAGGCATCGTCCAGCCGAGACGGAAGGTCGGGCAGGCAGGTAGGTCCCGAAGTGCCTTACCAACAAGTCCCCTGTTGGAAGAAGAAGGCAAGCGCCGAAAGAGTCAAATCTCGTTTACCCAGCTTGAACACGACTACGGAAGTATTGTTGCCATCGGTCCTATCTCATCAACGTCCGTATACACATACACAATGTACAGCATTCAAGATGACTGTGCAGCCGACATGTTGTCTAACTGGGCATGTGAAGATGTCTCGGCCGTCGCGCAGCACCAAGACAAACTTGACATCAATGCGGTGATTCTGAGCCAAGACAGAAGTCGCTGTTGTCCTTCTCCAAAGCTTGCCGCCAATGGAGGGTTTGTAGCTGCTCCATGGAAGTGGAAGCATGTAGGTACGTATATACGTATATTACTATGCAGCGTACATATGTACGTACCCGCACATCGCATCGTCCTTCTTTCCCCCCCCCCCCCCCACGGATTTTCGATGAGCCCCGCCGCCAAAATTTTCCCACTTCGACATCTTCACCTCAGATCGCGTCATCGGGGGAGTGGACCTCAAAGAGGAAACTATGACACAGAAGTTTTCCTTCCAGACCACAGGGGTGGTTCCGTCAGAACAACCCTTGCCGTCATCCCCTGACGGCCTCTCAAGAATAAGCTGGGGTGGGAGGGCCCTTGGGGGTCCTGCGCATCCCAAGAGGCTCTGTATGTCCACCCATGGCATCCCGCATATACGCTCGCATACACCATGGACGGTTAGTCCTTGACTGTCCCTTGGGTTCTTTGCTGCTAATTCTGCGGTGTTTTTTTTCCCACGTCTCCTTTTCCAATTACGAACGGGCCGAGTCCAGAGTCTCTAATGGCCCTCTTGACCATTTCCCATGTACGGCTCGGTTCCAGTCTTGTACATACATGCCTGCCTACCTAGGTACCTAAGTAGGTAAGTAATTCACTTTGTACATGACATGGGTTCGCCGCGCAACTTTTTCGTTCCCCAAGACGGTCATCCACGCTCCACGCAACCCAGTTTATGTCCTCTCGAATGTCTCGCCACATGGCGCCAACTCGGTCTCTCTAAGACGTGATCTGCTTGGCGGGGCCCCAAGCCCAGAGACATAAAGTCTTCTGGACGCCTTCTATTCTATCCGACCTTCTGCTTGCCGCTCCGTCTTCCCTTCTCCAGTCTAATCCTCCTTGCCTGGTGTCACTTCCTGGTCACTGGTCGTTTTTCTTTTACATCCACGAGGACCATAAGGATCAGTCGCAACGACCGCCAACATGTCTAAGCTCCTCGACAAGCTCAACGGCGTCTCGTCCTCTCCCGCTGCCACCACTGACAGCGAAGTCGGTATGTCACTGTTGCCCATTCCTTATGCGCCGCATCGTCTGGAACGCACCACTGACTCCTGCATCTAGGTCGCATCGAGAATGCCCGTGAGGCCAAGCGGCAAATCGGCGTCACCACAGCCATCTTCCTGGTTGTAAACCGCGTTATCGGCACCGGTATCTTCGCCACCCCCGGAACCATCTTCGCCCTCTCTGGCAGTGTCGGTCTCTCCCTCTTCATCTGGGTCGCCGGTATGATTATTGCTCTCGCCGGAACCGCCGTCTACCTCGAATGGGGAACCGCCATCCCCAAGAACGGTGGCGAGAAGAACTACCTCGAATACGTCTTCCGCAAGCCCAAGTTCCTGACCACCGGTCTCTACACCGGCTACGTCGTCCTGCTCGGCTGGGCCAGTGGTAACTCTGTCGTCTTCGGCGAGTACATCCTGCACGCCGCCAATGTCGAGGTCGACCGCTGGAACCAGCGTGCCATCGGCCTGGCTTGCATCACGTCCGCCTTTTTGATTCACGGTCTTGCCCTCAACTGGGGTCTTCGTCTGCAGAACCTCCTTGGATCCATCAAGCTGATCATCATCCTCATCATCATCCTCTGCGGCTTCATCGCCCTTGGAGGCCACGTCAAGCTGCCCGAGGACCAGAAGCCCAAAAACTTCACCAACGCCTTTGAGGGCACCACCGGCAGCCCCTACGGTGTCGTCACCGCCCTGTACAACGTCATCTGGAGCTACATCGGTTACAGCAACGCCAACTACGCCCTCTCCGAGACCAAGAACCCCGTTCGCACGCTCAAGATTGCCGCCCCAGCCGCCATCGTCACCATTTCCATCCTCTACATGCTCGTCAACGTCGCCTACTTCGCCGCCGTCCCCAGGGAGGAGATCCTCGAGGGCGGTCGCCTTGTTGCTGCCTCCCTCTTTCGCAACGTTATGGGCGGCACCGCCGAGCGCGCCCTCTCCGTCTTCGTTGCCCTTTCCGCTTTCGGCAACGTTCTGAGTGTCATCTTCTCCCAGGGCCGTCTCGTTCAGGAGCTCGGCCGTGAGGGTATCTTGCCTTGGTCCCGCTTCTTCGCCAGCAACAAGCCATTCAACGCCCCCTTGGCTGGTCTTTTCGAGCACTGGCTGATCTGTGTCATCACTATGCTTGCTCCTCCTCCCGGTAAGGTCTCCCCAGTCACCGTCGCTTCTTCTGAGACATTGCCACTGACCTTTTCCCATCACAGGTGACGCATACAACTTCATTCTCAACCTCATCAGCTACCCCCTCGCCATCATCAACGTCTTCGTTGCTGCCGGCCTGGCTCATCTCTACCTCAACCGCAGCAAGTGGAACTGGAACCCTCCCATCAGCGCCTCTCTGCCCGTCGTCATCTTCTTCATGCTCAGCAACATCTACCTCGTCATCGCTCCCTTCGTGCCCCCCGAGGAAGGCCAGAACGTCTACGAGAACCTCCCTTACTATCTCCACTGCGTTGTCGGTATCGCCATCATCGTTGCCGGGGGTCTCTACTGGGTTGTCTGGGCCAAGATCCTCCCCAAGATCGGCAAGTACGAGCTGGTCCGCGAGACCGTGGTCGACGAGATCGACGGCTGGGAACGCAACGTATTCTTCCGCAGGCCATATGGCGAGTCTGTTGCTTCGGAACATCGCCCTGGTTCTCCCGAAGTGTCCAAGTAACCCACGGGCGTCCGGCCACCTCTTTGCTTGGTGCACCCAGGTGCCGCGATGGTGTTGATGCCTCGTGGATGAGCACCGAAATTACGTCGTTTAATATACCCTAGAAGCGTACATACTTAATGATAAAACACCCAGTAATGTTCTATTGAGACTGATTGTTTTTTAATACCTTGCACTCGGAGGGAAACGTGTGGGAGCTACCGTGTAATTCAATCCGCTCCGGTCTAGAGCTCAACGCGAGCTTGGAAGCAGGTTATCAAAGGCTCGGCGTTTTGCGGCCCCCCCACCCTTCTTCAAAGGCTACGCCAATGCCTCGAGTACAGGGCGGACAGTGTAAGCACGTGTCATCACAACAATGAGGCATGTGTGCATTCAAGCTAAATTGAGATACGTATCAAGGCGGCCTCTCAAGATCACACAGGTACACAGTAACACTCTCACACAGTATCAATCTATAACCTGGCCAATAGTGTCAGTATCTTCCAGTGCACCCACATATTGAGATCCGATTTATCAAAGGTCTCGGAGCCCGATAGAAAACGTTGGCTTCGGAAAGTAATTGGCCAGGCATCGCCAGCTATCACCGACAGTAGGGCTTATCTCCGATGCTGCCCATCACCACCCACGTGATCGATCCACTTGGGCGATGGATATCTCACCTCTCGACAAGGCAACCCGCATAGCGCGACATTTCTTCCTTACGCATACATAACTGAAAAGCATATTTCGGAGACTTCCGATCAACGCAACAAATCACAATCAAGCGTAGTCAACCAGCACCAAGAAGACGGTGGTCCCGGACCCCTTTTTGAGCCATGTTATGTTGAGCTATTTGTTACTAATAACGGCCCCATAGTTTATAGTGCCGTAAGTCCGAGATCGAAACGGAGTTGCCCTCCGAGGTCCGTAGAGGATCCTCTACTGTTGGCCTAGGGGGGGCGTAACACGCATGATATTAGGACTTGTCAATTTATTACAGTGTCAAAGTGATTAGGTTGCTTGAGATACATTGAGTGTCTGCTAAAAAGTCATGTAAAGACGTAGTTATCCTATCCCAAAACAGCGTACGATTTAACGTCGGGTACAGTACCCAGATGGGGTGGTCTGTGCACGTGATTAGCTTTAGCGGCCAGAACTGGTATCATCCACACGAAGCTATTCCCAGCTTCATGACAGATGGTTGAACGATTCGTGATACGCTCCGATGTCGACTGATCCAGCCCCTATACCGCCTTTCCCCCAGTTGCCGCTTGTAAAGACGTCAGAGATCGCCGTAACGCAGGATGAAACTGACACCCTCGCGGCCATCAATAGAGCCCAGACTCCGATAATATGTAGATTACCGACTTAAAACTGATTTCTACCTTCTCGGCCTTACCAATAAATGATATGCTCGTCCTCCAACGGTTTACGCTGTCAATCTTGGAAGCTTGGCCAGTATCACGAGCCGCTTCCCTCTCGCTCAGCATGCGGCCCCATCTCGTCCAACATCAGCTCCGCGAGCTGCTCCACCAGGTTCTGTCCTTGTGCGGCCTCGGGGTCAGTCAAGGCCAGGTCCAAGTCAACAATGCACCGCGTCTCTGCCTTATCGGCCATGCCCTGGCTCGCGTTGTGCTGCTTTTCTATCTTGCCGAGCTGCCTCAGCACCCGCGCCGCCTTCTCGGCTGGGATCGCCGCGTTCCGCAGCGCCATGCTCATGATACCCTGGGCGATGGGGCCGAACACCCGAAAGGATACGTACAGGTCCTCGAGCCCGACCAGGCAGAGGTCCAGGTAGAAGCCCCACTCCTGCTCGCTGGGCGGCGCCGCGTCGGGGTCCTGCGCCGCCACGCCGGCCTCGCGTATCATGGCGTTGGCGACGTATATGATGGCCGTTTGCCAGAGTACCGAGAAGCTGGCGTGTCTGTAACGCAGCCGGTAGAGGAGGAGGAGACGTTTGAGCTGTTCCACGGAAGCCGTGTACACTGCTTCTGGAGTGGCCAGTTCTGTTGAAAAGGAGGACAGCCGCTCGCTTCCCAGCGAAGAGTCGAGAAAAGGGCGAAAGAGATCGGTTATAATGGCGTGGAAGTAGATGCTGCGTTTATATCATAAGTTTCAGTCCAGGCGGCACCTATCCATCATCTCGGTTGCAAGATGCATTGCTAGAACACAAGAAAGTAGGGTGGGAGTTGGCTCACTGCATCATCATGACATTATGACCCATCTCCTCTGCCCTAGCCAACTGGGTAGGAAGCCCGCTAGTCCATTGAAGCAGCCGATGGTAGGTCTCTTCTGCCAACTTCAACGGTGCCTCCTGTGATGGAGTATGGTCCCGGGCGCTGTATAAACTTCGCACCACGACGTTGAAGGTGACCCACATGTCGCTCGATGCGCTAACCACCTCTGCGTGCAGCGCCGTGGAACTGTTCGCAGGGAGGGCGGAGACCAGATCTCGAGGCTTGGGAAGCAGCGGCGGCGTTGTGATCTCGAAGATGTGGTAATGGAGGGAGTACACTCTAATAAAAGACCATCAACACGCGTCCACATGGCTTGCCGCCCGAGCTAATATCACCGCCAAACTCACGAGACCCAGTTGTACACCCCCCAGGCCGTATAGGACGCCGTCCTCGCCCAGTCTTCGTGGTTGCCCAGCCACATCTCGGCAGACTCGGACTGGCGTGTCACATCGAACAGGCCCATCAGCCTACACAGCCTGGCGCTTTCCTGCAGGAGCTGCAGGCTCATATCGTCTTTTCCATAAGTGGCGGCGCACATGCCAAGTATCTGGAGGGCGGCAATGGTCGTGAGGCTGTTCGCTTGGGGCTGTTCTAAGAAATGCTGTTGCGCCTGCGTAAAGAACGCCACGCTGTAGGCAGCGGCATCGGGGTGTAGCGGTGTAAACGCTTGCTGTTTCCGTCAGCGCAGGTCCAGCATACGTACAGGACAAAGAGGAAAACATACACAGGCCCAGCATAGAATGGCCGTGATGAGGAAGGGGGAGCAAAAGGAACATTGGACGTTGACGAGGTCTTGTATAAACAGGTCGGCGCTGAACAGGGGAATAGTCGCGTAGTCGTTCTCGAAGTAATGTGATATCGTATGAATGGCAAGGTCATTCGGGATAGCAACCGGCGTCCACTTGGAAATGTCTACAAGACGAAGGCGTTCGTCGAACAAGGTGCTAGGTGGGTCGTCGTCATCATCCAGGGCCGGAGAAGCTGCCTCGGGCCCGGACTCCTCGTCTTCTCGGTCCGGGATCATGTAGGGATATTTGGGTTGAAGGTCTTGACCTGGAGATCTATGTCCTGTCAGTGTACAGCCGCGTCGGGCCGAGCACAGAGTCCTGGTTAAACGAAGGCGAGCGTGCCGAAGCACGCTTGTCACGGTTCAATGATAGGCGTCTGGGAAAGGCCATTCAAGTGGATTCTCCTACAAAATCTGCTCCCCGAGCAGCCAGGGAGTCGATATGGATTTGAGCATCTCCCCACGGGGCAGGTCCTTGTACGAAACTGGGAACAAGGTCGGATAAGCAATAGGGTACCGCAGGTTGAGCTCAAAGCTCAAGCTTTTCTGGGAGGGCGGAAGCAGTCTTCGGGGATAACTCTTCTCGGATAAGGCCGAGACGAGAAGGGATGGGCTGCTGGGTTCATTGCGAAGTTTGGAAAATAGTTCGAGGGCCTGCTCGTGAGGAAGCGTCCGTAGGGAGTCGAGCATCTCGCTCGAGCCACGGCCCCTAGAGTCTTCCCCTTCGGTGACGGTGACACGATGCCGAATGCTGTACGTGTAAGCGCAAGCCTCGGCCCTATGCTCGCACATGAGGCATCGGGGCAGTTTCCCATCGCACTGACGGCGACGTTAGCTGGGCCTCGTAATTTGTGCGAGGCAACAAAAAAAAGGCTCAAGGGTTGGCCAGGCTTTGGACGCAATGTGCGGGGGTATCAAGGCCAGAAACCCACCTTGGTCTTGCGCTTTCGACAAGGATCGCAGGCGCTGTTCGTCTTGCGCTGTCTCGGGGCACGATGGACACCCAGGCGACTTACGTCGGCACTCTGGTCGTTGATGGGCGATCCGGCGGCCGGGACTGGCCGCGGACGCAGCGGTCGGAGAGGATTCATGATGGGAAGATGGAGGAACAAGGACACATTGTTGGCAGTCGAGTCATTTATGAGATAAAATCCGATTAAAAATGATGCCAATGCCAACAGTATGGCCAACAAAACCCATGCGGTAAAAGGGGGGGGGGGGGGGGGGCGGCAAAAGACAGCACCTTGCCCGCCTACTTGACCTCAGAAATAATTCAACCCCCGGCGCATATCCGGAGGGTACCTCCGGCAAGATGTCGACCGATGATTGGACGGACAGCTACCTCTAGTCAGAAGAGATCGGTGGTACCTCCTATTGGGCGGTGGCAAATCGTCATTTGGTACAGGATCGAGATCGAAGCAACGCGTTAACAATCAGATCAGTGCGGTCTATGTGTATCTCTGTACAAGAGAAGAATTCTGGAACGACCCATAAATAGAGAAAAGCCCGAACCCAGCCAAGCCAGGAACTGTGGCTTTTATCACGTTAAGCACCCACTGATGTCTCGATGCCGTGAACTCCCTATTGCGAGAAGAGCAGAGTGCAGTCACTCGCTAAGCCCCCCAAACATCTCAGCAGTTCGAGTCCAGGGCTATATTGCTGCTTACTCAAGTAGTATCCCTGAGCTCAGTGTAAGCCGCGATCTAGCTCAAAGAACAAACGTGACCGACCAGCTTACTGTAAACAATGGTCAATAGTGGCCTCTTTCAGGTTCTTGGACCGGCATACTGGGCGCCGATTGTCTGCTTCCGTTTGCGCCAATGTGAGCTTCAAAAACAGATCAGCCTGGACTTTCAAGAGGACTCAACACACTCCCAGCGGCTGATACTCTCAGGTCTCATCAGTCATTCCGTAAAGTGAAGCTATTCAGGACGCAAATTGTCCACAACAGACGGGGGGGGGGGGGGCAGGGACATGAAACATTCACCAACAGAAGAGCTAGGCACTCTGCGTCTTACCGGTTTACACCTGGTCGGGGGGGGGGGGGGGGGGGGGGCATTCGTAGGTACACTTTGGGAACTCGGGGGACGATGCACGTCAAGGAATGCGCTTAGTCTAGGGGAGGACGTCAATTCTTGGGTTTTGCGTCCAGGGGTCATCCTATTGCCAATATGTATCCCAGGATGGAGGTTTCTGCTCTTGGTCCCCTCCCTTTCATCCGCAGCCCGCTCGCTCGCGGGGCAAGACAGCAGCAAACAAGGGGTCGCGCCCCTTTCCAATAAAAGGGTGGCGAGCGGGGGATTCTCCCGCCACATCCTGTGGTAACCTTTTTGCCGTCAACGTTGGCCTGCTTCAAGGCAGAAAGGCTGACTGTTCATCATCGTATGATATCCGCAAAGAACCAACGATACGGGCCGTTCTTCCCGGCAGGCAACCTACCGGTATTCGTAGGCTTTCTCTCCATAAGATATTGCGCATGGATCTTACAAGTTACCAGTAAGCAAAAGAAGTGCCAACGTGGCGCTCATTGGTCTCTTTGGAAATCCCTCCCTGTCTGATGGTTCTCAGACAAACTCAAACCAAAGGGGGCTCTCTCTCCACACGGATCTTTCGAAACACCCACCCCGATGAACCCAGAACGCGACACACCACCCCTCGTCAGCCGGGTCCAAGAGATCACCACGAACGTTCATCCGAGTTGTATGTGGTCGTAATGGTCTTGAAGGCCCTTTGTTATCCTTCCTGCCCCGTCCCCCCTGTCTGACACTTGCATGATAGTAGGCTATGCCGGTCCTCCCGGTGCACCGGGTGTTTAACGTTTGGTGACCTGTCGGGTGATAGATATACGCCACTCCTTTTTCTCCTTCTTGCCGCGGCGCGCCAGACTCTGCTTTTTACCCCGTAAATGCGCGCGCCTTCGAGTCTTCGGGACTTCGAGCCAGAGTTATGAAACTGCCTCGGGCATTGCTTCTCAGTTTCCCCCTGTCTACCTACGGTTACACCACGTAGAGGATGGCGCGGCGCGGCGTTATTATGGTGAAGAATGGTTGTGCAACTTGCAAAAATGTCTTTAAATCATCCATCCGGAGCCCCACCCCCTTCCCTTCTAGCATATCACCGCCAACGGCATACAAAACTATTCCTCCGTCTTGTGGGTTGACGAGCTTAGAACACGCCGCATAAGGTGCGACGAGAAGCGCCCGTCCTGCTCGCGATGTCTCTCCACGTGTCGCCGATGCGACGACTGCAGCTCCCCGCCCTCGAACGCATACTCATGGTCCCAAACGCCCCGCTCCCGTCATCGGTCAATGAACACCACGACGCTCCCGAACGCTGACAACCCCGCCGCCGCCGGCCGCGCAATGCACTTTTACCACACCGTCGCCGCGCCGGTCCTGACCGGGTCGCTGAGCAAGACGTTCTGGCGTGCCATGGTCGTGTAGGTGTCGAGCCTGGTGCTCTTCGTCTGCGTGCTCTTCATCTGCATCGAGCTCCTCCGAAACAGCCCCCAGAACGCCATTGCCCACTGCCGGCGCGGCATCAACATCCTCAACGAGGTGCAGGCCGACTCCGACTTCCTCCGACATCATGTTGTGCCTGCCATGCACCAGTTAAGCCTCGTGCCCTACTGTTATGACGCCGACCCCAAGACATTCCCGACGATTCAACAGGCCAGCCCCGTCCGCTGGCGCACGCCTCGAAAGCGTCGCAGAGGCATACATGCAACAGATAACTATACAGACCCGAACGGCGCGCTTTTTGCGCACCGGCGAAGAGAGGCGCTTGGCGAGAGGTTACGAGGGGCCCGAACCAGACAGGCTACGGACTCGAAAGTCCATACTGATGGATCCGGACAGCTAAAACAGAGTAATCCAAGCTCTGAAGGCTACCTATCAGCCCGACGACAAAGAGCACTCTGCGCTGTGCCTGCCGGAGATCCGCTACACCATAAAAAGAACCCTAATTCTGCTGTCAGAAGCGACATCGGAGAACGAATACGACGCCTATCTGGGCGACTATCGCGCCGTTGTTGACTTGACAGCCAGAGCGGCAGTATCTACCGGCGACGACCGCTCATCATGGACGACACCATTCTACACGGATGATTCGGCCATCGAGTTGGGCTTGAGTCTCCTCCTGTACTTGGTCGCCTCCAAGTGTCGTTTTCTGATCGTACGGACCGTGGTCTTGAATTTGATGGAGCAGCTGGCGCAGCCGAGGGTTAACAGCTGGGTCAAGCCTATCACGGTAGCGGTAGCCGGGCGGATCATCGAGGTTGAGCACCAAGTCTCTTTGGACGACTTGGATATGGGCAACTTGGTCGATGACGGAGAACTTCTACCGGAAGAGAGACGGGTTATAAGCGTCGACTTCCGTTGGGCGAGCGACACGAAGTGCGGCGGCTCGTTGAGGCAAGTCGCTTTCCTCTTCAGAGATCCTAGCAGTGGCAACGTTATCCCAAGAGACGAATGGATCAACGTAGAGCAATAGTCAGAGACGTCTAGACACTTGACAAAGGTCGAAGCAGTCGAAAAAATGTCAGCTGCGTATGAGGCTTGTGGGCGCTGTCAACCCCGCCTGTTGATAACGGAGAGAACATTACTCAATTGGGAAACGAAAATCCTCTGGACCTAGTATCCTTCACCTAGTCTCGGCACAATCAATATTTTCACAATCCAGCCCAACCGAGTTTTCAGCCCTACAGTATAGCCATGGCGACGATAGCCGCCAAGCACCGACTTAAGATCTCCCTTGACACGTCCTACAAGATCTCCTTCAATACCAAATCCGTTAAAGACGTTCCGATATTGTGACGCCATTTCGCGAAGCCTCGTTGCCGTCGAGTGCTGCTGCAGTGTCCCCATGGCCTCTGTGGCGTCTTCCATTCGCCATGCCCCCAGTCAGTTGCCTCCTTTGGTGTCATCAAAAGGTTCCCCAAACATCTCAGCCCAGAGCTTCTTGTCGTCTTCATTGAATCGTTGTCCGCAAAGGCGCATATTGAACAGGAAGAGCCTCTGGATGTACCTGAAGCAAGGGGCGTCTGTGATAATGTTCATGGCGATCTTAAAAGGAGACTCGGCGTTCTCGCGCTGGTATCGGACGATGAATTCCACGTTGACGATGGCTTCCTGGAGGCTGCTCTCCACACTGTGTATGGCATCTTTGCACTCAGAAAGGCTTCCACTGGCGTCAAGTCCCAGAAGCTCGCAGCACGGCCTGACGAGATTGTTCATAAAGTCGTCAACATCCCAGCCCCCGGTGCGGACGGAGCTACTGTAGTCAAGAACCCTGTTCATTGCTTTCAGTATGGACTCAACGGCAGCCATAAACGTGGTCTTTACGCGTCGCTTGCTCAGATTTGCGTCGTTCACGTCAATCATCTTAATCGTCCGAAGACAATCGGCCACGTGCTTGCCGCTGGCCAGGTCTTCCTCGAGAATCGTCCGGAGAATGACGAGGTCCCGTCCGGAAATGCGGTCCTTGGCCGCGGTGGCATCGTCAGCGATCAGCTTCTTGATATTGATCTCGCATGGCAGTGCAGGGGTCTCCCTAGGGCGCTTTGGCTGGTTGGGCCATGTTAGGTGCCCGTCTGGGCCCAGTGTCACCTCCTTCGAGATGAAGCCCGCCTTTTTCGCCATACGAAGGTCAGCGACGTGCAAGCTGAAGTAATCTGTAAAGGCGCGCAACACGGAATCGTGTGCATTTGGCTTTCTGGCGGCAGGGCTATTCAGGCTGGAGTTGACTATGGCGGCAGTGGTAGCTGCTGTTGATGACAGAGCCTCTCTTAGTAGATGAGTGGGATGAGGCGTGTCGACGGTGTTTATATCAGGCCAGGGAAGCCGGACTACCGTCTGGGGTGCAGTCCAGAGCTGCCGTGGTTCCTGGTCATGGTAGGGTTCCAAGGAATTGGCATCAAGGTGCTCTTCACCAAGGGGTTTCCAGCAAGTGGAAGCGAGAACATGTTTCGGAACCCAACTCCCGTGCATCATGATATCCCGTGTCACACCGCCATGGTCAGGTCTCACCTCATTGGTATAGCCTGAAAAACCGAGAGTATAGATGTGGGGCATCATCAGAGACGAAGTCAGTTCTTGAGAAGGCGGCTCTCTGGTGCCATAGTTCTTGGGCATGGGGATACGAGATCCTTCGAACGAAGGAGGGACAATCTCGGCCCAGTCCTCATCCTTGATTTTCATTGCGGAAACATAGAGCAAGACGAGTTTGTGGTCAATGTCTTCGATGTTGATCTCGAAGGCGGCATCAAAGCTCTTGTCCTTTTTGTACATGCAGGAGATGATCCGAAAGATGTGAGCGTAAGCAGAAAGCTCGTGCTCCTCGTGAATTCGGAAGTAGTGAGTGGAGTACAAGATGAAAACGGCCAGCTCAACGGGGGGGACAGGTCGGTCCTTCCTTGCAGTTGTCTCGCCTTCCTGCCAGTACTTGGATACCGCAAGCTCGGGCTGGTACTGGGGGGAATTGTAGTAGGCCGACCAAACAATGGCTACCGAAACAGCGAGGTTGATGGGGACGATGTCCTGGGGGTACTTGACGAGAAAAGATTTGATCTCATCGACAAGGCCATTGGGTATCTTCATATTGACAAGCTTAGGCATCTTCAAGTGAAAAAGCTCCCAGTTGTCCTCCGTCATGTGCTTGAAGACGTTGTAGTCCGGCCCTGACATGGTGTCTTCGACGAGGACTGTACATCTCTGGCCACTGAGGAAGTTTTCTTGTTGATCCGTGTGGAATTTATTTCTCTCGCCCTCGGAGACCTGTCGAAAGGCGGGTTCGTTGCTGGGGTGGTAGTCAGTGCCGAGGGACAGGACCTTGAGGAAGGTCAATTGCCTTGGTCGAAGCATGTCGACTGGTGGGATGATGAGGCGGGCTGTCTGGTTCGTCGAGCCCATGCCCAGAAGAACACCGCAGTATGCGTTGTTCATGTCGGGGGAGGATCTCCTTCCACGTCCACGTATGAAGACAGGAGTGAACAGTCCGCCCTCGATGCCGACATAGTACGAATCGTCAGACAGCTCATCGTCAGACCTGTATCGTCGATGACCTCGCTTCAGGGGGGACAAGATGACGAAATTGTGGGGATCGGTTGGAAGCACGACTCGTTCGAGGGGCTCTGTGCCAAAGACATAGTTCCCTGGGATCTCGGACGCGTTGTAGAGTTCACCTCTCCACTTCCAGCGAAACTCGATGAGATTGACGAGGGATGGTAGCGCAGGCGTATCCTGTCTTTGGGGAGCGTTTTCGTCCATGTTGGATCAACCTCAGGTAACGCCGAGGCTGCGTTGACAACGTAGTGGGATTGCTGTCGATGGGAATTGTCGAGGAAAGCACAGGTGCAGAAGCCGAAGCGGTATCAAGTATGAGTGCTGGGAGACAGCGTGACGCCTCAGGGGAGAACTAGCGATGGGCTTGGGGACGTAAGAACAGCCAACCGTAGGGAATTGGAGGAAGATAAGAAATAGAATAAATGATCAGCCTCGACCGTGAGTCGAGTCTAGTCGAGTAGAGCTGAGCCTAGCCAAACCAATATGGTGACCGAGGACTCGACGAAAGTCTGTGAGTTATGAGAGGAGATGAGGCCGCCTAGAGCTCGAAGAGTGTTTTGGAAGGAGTAAGGTCAAAAAGGGGGGGAAGGAATGAGGGGGGACGGAGACATCTGGGGGAAAGATATAGACTTCACTTCTGGAAAGAAGCGGTCCCCATGACCACTTTCCCGATGGAAGGCGGACAGTGGAAAAGTTGGGCGAGGGAAGGAAGGACCGCATAGGGCGAAGAAGGAAGGAAAGGTGGAGAACGAAGACCGCAGTGACGAGGTGAGGGAAAGATGATCTACGTAATCCTCATCTGGACACTTGAACTCCTATCTTTTCTGTGGTCTTTGGTAGATAGATGCCTATCGATTTGACCCGTTCACCTTTTTTTGTGTCAACTAACAGGCAACACAGACAACACTGACAACCGACTTATCAAAGAGATATCACTTACACTGAGAAACTTTGCTCAAACCCTGCGTTCGCACCAGAAGGCGGCTCCAGCAAACTCACCACATCAGACCTAAATTGAATCGACCTCAGCATCGTCAACCACCAGATCCTCCTCTTCAACATCTTCATCCCCTCCCGCCCGATCCTCGCTAGCCCCCGCAGCGTCGCCATCTTCCTCCTCCGCTGGCGGCTCCTCCCCATCCGCCCACGCCTCGGGCCCGAGGTACCGCCTCGGCCAGATGTTCATCGATATCTTGACTCCGGACGCCACCGGCAGCCCCGCGTGCACCACCCTCTCGTCGCCCGTCCCGTTCGCGTGCAGGTTCACCCAGAATACCGCATTGCCCCGAACCGGCCGGAACGCCAGCCCGCCGTCCTTGTGCCGCCTCCAGTGCCGCGCCCCCTCCGCCCCCTCCGCCAGGTGGTGCTGCGGCGTCGCTGCCCGCACCCGCGGGAACCACGTCTCGCCCCCCGCGCACCCGTCCTCCAGCACGGTCAGGAAGCTCGCGACGCGGTTCCACCGCCGGTCCCGCCCCGTCCGCGCGTCCGGCAGGAACGTGTCGTACCAGTCGCGGTGCACGTTGAACCGCTGCCCCGCCGTGTACCGCACCAGCTGCGGCGAGCCGACCTCGTCGCGCCCCGGCGCCAGCGCCGTGCCCATGAACTCCTCGGCCCGCCGCGTCACGCACCGCACCGCCGCGTCCTCGATCGGCAGCCCCGCCGACCACGACGTCCGGTCCGGCGTGCCCTGCGCGACGCCGTCCTTGAAGACGTAGCTCGGGCGGAACCCGCCCTCGCCCGCCGCCAGAAGGCCAACGATGTCGGCCTCGTTGAGGAAGTCGCGGATGTAAATAACGAGTGGGTCGAGCGAGACGATCTGCGTCGTGTAGTTCTGGGCGGCGCAGACAAAGGGCTCCACTGGGCCGTCCTGGACGAAGGTGTCGTCTGGCGGGGGCGAGAGGAGGGCATTGAGTGACGCCAGGAGGCGCGAGGGGGTATCGCACCGCTGGATGTAGGGTAGGGTGATGGCGACGAGCCCAGTGTAGGCCGAAAGGCCCAGGAACTTGGTGAGAAGGCCAGCCATGATCGGATAGTTCGTCGGCGGCCTCAAAGAACAGTCATTGCGTCACTCACAAAACCCGAAGAAAAAGAGACACCAAGCAGGAAGAGGGAGCGGTTGCCCAAGTACCGCCGCTTATAAGAATCATCACCGTCGGCCCACCGCCAACTCACACGTGTGCCTCGTTTTCTTCACTGTCCAGTTCCCCGACGCCCCTTTCCTCCGAAAGACGCATCAGATAGATCGATGGAGCGTCCTCCTCCGGCTGGGCGGACAATCTCATGCGTGCCATGGCTGATTGGACGGCACGCCAACCCCAGAACCGCACCACCCACCCGTCTCCCCCCGCGTCCTCCGCTTATGCGGTGGGACTTCGCGGAGGGAGAGCTAATTAGCTACCCTCGGTGGCGGATGCTCGATCTGACCAGCTAGCTAGCTCAGAGCTATCGCGCTTGATTGGGTCCCAGTTGGATGCCGTTATTATGTCCCATCTTCCCTTCCATGCTTGTCAACGCTCCTCAAAGTCTAGGATGCCATTGCCCCCCGCCCCAATTTTACCGTGCCGCCTGCAGGGGAAGACGAGGCATATTGTCACATGAATGTTCTTCCAATCGCCCAGAAATCAACTTCGGCGTCCAAAGTGACAAAGGAACAAATCATGTATTGAGTTCACCCGTGTAACGGCCGGGCAGCCGGCACGACGTACGTTCGAACGATGCTCATCTCTCCCGAATTCAATGTCTCCTCTGTCCAAGCTGTCCTGGCCCTGCGTCTGATTTTCTCCCGAATGGTCGGGTATGTACTTTGATCAAAACAACAGCTATGGACCCTTATTGGCGGATGTACGTGTTGATTCTATTCTCTTTCAAGTATGAAAGGATGTGGCGAGACATGCCAAAACAACTCCAGTAGCCCATTCCCATAACACTCTTGACCCAGTACAGCGAACACCGCCAAGATGACGGGTCGACGTGATTGCTACACGCCCTAGACCTGGCTGTGGCGCGCGCGCTTGCGGGCGCTTCCAGTGGACGAGGTGGAGGGGTGGAGCTTGTCGTTGCGCTCTCTCTTGAGCTTCTCGTCGAGAACACGAGCTATTCACAGTCAGCAATGTCTCTGTACACGGGCAATGGCGCGATAGCGTACTGAGCACGTCGTATCCGAACTGGGGGTGCTCCAAGCACAGGGAACGGAACTCCTCCTCGGCCTCGGAGCGCAGGGTGTGCGACCGGGTAGCCCAGAAGCTCGCGACGGGGGCGCGAATGGTGGTGTCATCCTTGCTGGTGTAGGCGTAGACGTAGCGGGCGTAGGCGATCTCGCCCTTGGCCGTCGAGTTGACGCAGTGGATCTTGGAGCTGGCGAGCGACCGTAGGTTCGGCATGCCGAACTTGTCAGCCAGCGTGTAGACGCGCGCGTGTTTCAGCAGCTGAGTGCCGTCCGTGTCGACTTCGGGTACGGCAGGGTCCGATTCAAGGGTGCGCGTGCCAGCAACCTTGCGGGGGAAGTACTCTCCCGTATAGAGAAACTCGAGGAAGCAGCCGACAGCGTCAATTTCTTCGCCAGCGAGCTCAATCTGACGCGGCTGTCGTGGGTTGGGTTAGTGAGGCCTTGGTTGAGCCGGCGCCAGGGTCGATGGGCGGTGGTGTCCGGGGGGGGGGGGGGGGGGGCTACTCACGCTGCCATCGTCGCTGAACTGGGCGCATGCCTCCTTGAAGTAGGGGCTCTGTGTAAGGAGGGCCTGGTGTGCCGTGACAATTGTTTCCGTCTCGCCCTGGCCAACGAGCAGAGTTACGACAGGGCTGGAGAGGTAGTCGACAAAGGTGGTGCGCGGCTCGACGGGGTCGCTCTCGCCGCCCTCAGCAAAGGGAAGGTTCTCGACATCGACATTGTCGGCAGTCTCGACAGCCTCGGCCGCCTCGGCGCCTTCCATCTCGACATCGACAGCAGGGTTCGCTGGGGCGTCGCTGGAGACCTCGGCGTCGTTGGCGAAGTCGGCCATTGCGACGGTTTGCGACGGGGCGATACGGTGTCTTGGGTGGTGGTGTGCGGTGCTTTGAATCGCGTGGATTGGCTGGCTTGACTGCCTATGTCATAAAGAGCGTACGGCGGGAACTAGAGAATGACCAATTGATCGCGTGTACTAGGTTAAGAAAAACGAGCGCCTGAAAAGAGACCCCAAAGAGTGTGTCGACCGCCAATGCCGGGTTATTGTAAAATCAATCACGAGTTGGAAATGCACGCAGCGCGTATGTGGTGTTTTCTGCCGGAATTGGGGGAAGGTGCTTCAAGCTCAGCTCAGGAGGGCTCCTCCCAGCAACGCCAACGGCAACGGCGACTGGACTCTGCACAGACCACTTGTGCACGGTACTCTCGGGCTAACTAGATATTATGTGAGGATAGGACATAATCAGCTTATGTGTATACCCATATATTGCTTACCTACTTATCGATAGACACCGTTGGTGGCGCAGAGTCCACTCAGTTCAAGCAACCCAAGCTATCTAGGTACTGTTTATGTATGTTTGTAGACTTGGAAGCTCATTATGTTTTTTTTGGATTCTCCAACACTAACGCCGGGTATCGTCGACTTGCGAGATGCAATTATAGCAAAAAAAAAAAAAAAAAGAAGAAGAAACCGTCCAATCAAGCCAAAGCAGAAGTCCGCCCAACGCAGTGCCATGGAATCAACGGTATGAATTGTGCATCAAACATCGCTGTGGAGTGCAATCTCATCATATTGCGCTCTCTCGGTTTCCTCCAAAAAATCACAAATATGCTTGTTGCAAAGACACAGGGACCTCCAGCTCCTGTTTCCTTGTGTACATTGCCCCTCATCTTACTTCTACTGGCTCTCTTCTCGAGATGACTCCATTCCTCCGGTCTTCTTATTCGGGGATAGATTCGGTAAGCCGGGGTGCCCCAGCTTCAACGGTTGCTCTTGCTTCAATACCTCCCAGTGCTTCTTCAACGTGTTTTCCCGCACCACCAGCTCAAAGTTTGTGAGAAAGCAGAAACTGATCTCCAAACGCGCAAGCTCCAGGTCGCTGACACCCCCGACCTTGGCCATCTTGCTGTGCGGATAGCTGAGGTCTTCGAGCGCCTTCATTGCCACCCGCAAGCCCGCGAGCACCAGCCGATGCGCATTCCGCCTCGTCACCGGTATCGTTTGCTCGTCAACCGCCAAGCGGTGGATGTATAGGCTCGTTGCGAGATAGACGGCGGTGCTCATAGGACAGAAGCGGTGTATGCGTGCGAGATATTCCTCGATGCCGATAGGCGGGGGCTTTTTGGAGTAGAACTTGCGTGTGATGGCGCTGTGTTGAAGATTGAGCGGCTGAGAGTTCTCGCCAATGATTATGTACGGCTCGGGCGGCCTCGTAGGCGGTGTGGGTGCGGGACTTGGCGTCTGTCGCAGATGGACGCCGTCTATGAGTTGCGACGACGAGCCGCCGGAGCCGCTCGTTCGGGACGCCGTCGTGGGTCGGCGGGGGGAGGGGTGGGAATGGCTCATCGCGGCCTCGGCCTCTTGGAGCATCCTCGCCAGGTTCTTTTCCGAGTTGGAGCGGATGAGTGCCTTCTCGGCTGCCATGCCTCGCATGTTGGGCAGTGTCGGGCTCGTTGGGGGTGGTGTGGGAGGGATGTCGCCGGTTATTCGCACGAGAGCTTCGATGCCGCCACTCAGCAGTTTCATTGCCGACCGCGGGGACAACTTGAAGACGTCGTCATTCTCGGTGACATTTGGTGGGCTTTCGCAGTCGGCAACGCCGAGTCGTGGGTCGGACGAAGGATTCGGCGGCGGGGGTAGGTCGGGCACATTGCTCGTGTTCGACTCTGTATGCTGTAGAGGGGCACCCTCTTCGGGTTTGGGAGACATTACAATCTCTGGTTCGCAACGCTCCCGAGGGAGGCACCGGGGCTGGGTATCGGGCGCCAATGACGCCGGGTTGGAGCGGGAGAACAGAGTCTCGGCGGGTTCGACGTGGGTGATGGAGAGCATCTGAGCCCTGAAGGAGGCTGTTTAATTCGTGTACACTTGAGCTGTTTGGGACAACTATCATGATCCAAATCCTATTCTTGCAAAGATGCAATATCTCTCGGCCTTGTTCGGCTTCCGGGAACCGGGTACCTGGCTCGTCGTGCCGCAGATAGCGCTCGGCGGCGGGGCGAGCCGTTCGAGAACAGACGAACTCGGCCGTCTCGAAGGACGAAACGTTGGGGTAGCGGAAGTCAGATATGGTTTTATTAAAGGGGAATGCGGTCGTTCTGGTGAGGATGATAAAGGGCGGGAATAGGGCAAAGCACGAGGTGTTGGGCAATGGCGCTCCCAAGCTGGTTCTGGCTTATGACTGGCGACCGAGGGAGGGTTCTTGGATTCTAATAAGCAGCACCTTGGGTGATTCGGCAGGAAATGTCGTCTCGGTCAGGGCAAGGCCGTTGCTGGTAACTGTGGTGGTTCGTTCTGGTTTGGAACTTTTCGAGTCTGGCGAGCTTTTGTCGGTCGAATTCCTGGCAAAGGTGCTTTGGTGGGCAGAGGACAATCCGGGTGCTGATGTCGAAGCTATTAGTGCGGGGAGCTGCAAGCATGCAGCAATCGAGGAAATAGCAAAGGACACGGCATCCCGGGTGCAGTAGAGGGATCGGCGATCGTCTCAAGTTTCGAGCTGCAAGGTGTAGTAGTAGGTAATGAAGGGACGGCGCAGATGGTTCGGCAGGATTGGAGTCGGGGAAGGCGGCTGACGGCTGGCGGCTGGCTGCTGGCTGCTAGGCAAGAGGGGAGGAGAAGCCTAGAAGTGCTGAACGCAGATGCAGGATGCACGATAAAGAAGAAGAAAAAAAAGAAAACAAAAAAAGAAAAAAGCAATGGCGGGACTTTTGGTGGCGTTTGTTTGCCTGGTGTTCCCTGTCGCCTGGCCCAGCACACTGCAGCGGAGGTTGCGGTTCCAAGGGCAGAAGCAGGGAAGAGCGAGGTAGCGTCGTGCAGGGGTCGGAGCAGGAGGCCGTTTCGATGAAGATGATGATGATGATGATGATGATGGCAACTCGATCGAGAACGAGCTACCTGAACCGCAGCGTGTGAGCGAACGGACGAGAAGACGGATACGCAGCAGTAGTAGCGGCAACGGGGCAAGGCCACGACGCAAAGAGAATATGATCTCGATGGATGATTTCGAATATGCAGGAACGACGGCGACGACGACGACGACGACGATAACAACGGACGCGAGGTGGCAAATGACTAGCAGGAATGGCGGATACAAATGGGCAGATTGGCAGGGCAGATAAGAGGTGGGTAGCTGGATATTGTCGAATTTGCCGATCCCGGATCGTCCTCGCAGTACTCCGTAATATTCGTTTACATGCGAAAGTGTCGTCTCTCCCCCACGGTTGGGTCGGGATTGAAGTCTGAGAGAGTTGAAACTAAACAGCGAGCAGCCGGTGATTGGTTTTCTCTAGTGAAATTTCATCCACTACTACTAAATGTGTGAAGCATTTGTGAGGAGATACCGGGGCTCTGGGGATTTGAAAATCTTTCTAAACTACGGAGTATTAGTTTAGGAATAGGTAGACGGAAGGTGAGGCTACGGTTGAGTGGGGACTAGATTGGGGGGGGAGGGGTTTGCATGCTGCATGGAATGGATGGACGGCGCATGGGAAGGGCGCTCGGAAGGATCCAAGCCGTTCTTCGTCTACAAACAAGTTGAGTGAAAAATGGAAGACAAGAAGAAAGGAAAGAAAGAAGGGTGGAGGAAAAGGCGCCCATGTCTGTCTCTCCTGCCTCCTGCAGCGTCCGTTCAGCTGAAGAACTGGTGAGGTAGGTCCGGTCTCGTTCTCCCTGCTGGCTCCTACCAATTTCTTTTCTCTTGTTGCCCTTGGCGGTCTCGATCACCTGGTCTTGCCGTCGGCCCATCTCCATGCGATGAGGTCTCTTGTCTCTGTTATTGTCACTTTTAATGCGAGGTACTATCCGAGAGACCTATAGTAATCCGAGCCGCTCTTTCCCGTTCCCCACTATGCGTACATACTAGGTACTGTGCTGGGAAGGACCACGCAAGAGTGCCTGCTGACCATGAATGGTTTTGTTCTACCCATGATGGCTGCAACCTCCGGGAGCGGATTGGGTTTGTTGTTAGGTGGGTAGTGTACGGATAGACAGTACGGATAGACTATCTAGACCTCGCTCGCTGGCGGTGGTGCCTACCTACATCGTACATAGATACGTACCTCAGTCCAACCATCGTGCCATCCCAAGGTCGATGAAGGGGCAGTATCCGTAATGCAACCAGATGAGATGCCCACCGCTCAGAGGTGACATCCGCCCGCCCTTCGTTCCTTCTACTCCCACACTAAATCGGCAAGCACCTTCCCTACCTGCGCTAGGTACAGATACTAGTGCAAGGTGCATTCCTACTACCTCTTTACCTTGCATCCATGTGGTGGTGGTGGTGCTGAACAGGGATCTTCTCTCGTTGGCGTTGGCGTCGAGCACAGACAGCGACATGGCCGATGCGTAAACCCCACCACCCCGTTTTATTTCGGAGGCAGGCGCGAAAGGGGGGGGGCAGAAGGTGGGGTTTTAAGGGTCTTTGCTTGTCAAATGACCAAAGTAGTTGATGCACCATCACCAGAGGCAGGTAGGCCTCGACCTAATACCTGCCTGCCATAACCGCACACCACATAGAGGACAACTCATCCATCCTTTGGAAACGGCGACATTCTGACGGTCAGGCCCTGTGTTGACGTGCTCGGGGCCGGGTAAAAGCTCGGAACTCGTCCGCTAGCTAGCATCACCCAAGCGCCATCGTACGGCTTTACGCATGCCTTCGTATCCCAATACATCAGATCTCCGGTGACTCGATTCTGCCGGGCCGGGTCCCCGTTAGTTTGTCTACGTTTTACCGCGCTTTAGCCATCTTGATGGATCACCCCCGATTGGATACAGCCTCTCTTCTACCATGGATCCAGCCTCGCTTCTACCATGGACCCAGCCTCGCTTCTGCAATGTATACCGCCCTACCTTTGGTCTCATTCTTACGAACCCATGGCCACCTTGATATCCAGCACCGCCGGTTGTCCGCCCTGAACCGTCTCGATCGCTTTCTTGAGCATTCCCTCAAGTTCTTCCAACTTGTCCACGCGAGCAGCGAACAGATCCCCCCCCGCTGCCGCCTTGGCGATACCCGAGTAATCAGGCGCCGGATCGAACGAGATGTTGATTTCTTCATTCGTCGCCCTGGAGCCTTCACCGTCGGGGTGTACCAGCAGCAGTGACCGCCGGGGCGCATTCCATCCTGTCAGAACGTCAGTCAGGCCTGGATACACGGTCGGGGCTACTCATCCATTCCTATCACTCACCTTTGTTGTTCAAGATAATGGTCAGTACGGGAATGTTATAACGCTTCGCGATCCAGTACACGCTACCTGGCACCGAGAACAGGAACGTTCCGTCGCCGACAATTTGAACCACAAACTTGCCCTTGCCGCCGTTCTCGAAGTCGGTAGCCAACTTGATGCCAAGAGCGCCGCCGCCCGACCAGCCGAGCCCGCCGCCGCCGCAGTTGATCCATGACCCAGGCAGCGTCGGCTGGAGGTTGTCGTGGACAAATACCGTGTTGGTCACGGCCTCGATCGCCCAGATCGTGTCCTCGGGGCAGAGCTTCTTCAGCGCCCGCGTGAGGTGGCCCGTTCCAAACTCACCATCCGCTTTGGGCTGTGCTTTCTCCTCGATCGTGGCCAAGAGCTTCTTGTGTGACTCCTTCACCTTGGCTTCGCGCTGCTTGGCCTCTGCCGATTCCAGCTGCGCAGCGAACTGGCCCTTGAGGTGGGCAGTGATCTGCTCGATCGATTCGAGGCTGCTCGCGCGGTATCTCGACTCCGCGGCAATGTAAAACACGGGCATCTGCTGCTTCAATGGATCGACATCGATGTGGAAAATCTTGGCGTCCGTCTTGGGGTGGCACAGGGTGTTGATCCACGGCACATCGCAGTCGAGAACGAGGATGACGTCGGCCGTCTTGATAGCTTCTTCGATGCCAAACCGAAGACCCAGCCAGCCGGGATGGTCTGCCGGGAAGCACATATCGCTCCCGCCAGTGTCGACGACGCGCAGGCCCTTGACCGTGTTGGCGAGCTCGACGAGCGCAGCCGGAAACTTGTGGTTTCTGCCGCCAAACCCGGTGATGACGAGGGGCTCCTTGGCGCCAGCCAGTGCCTCGGCCATCTTGTTCACGGCGCCCTTGGCAAGGCCACCGAGCTCGACCGGATCCCAATCTGCTTGGCGGATGCTGTACGGCTCGATCTCGGCCTCCATGACCTCTCTTGCGCCGCAAAGGTACACGGGTCCTTGGGGATCGGATTTGGAGAACTGCAGGGCACGGTTGACCATTTGTTTGACATTGGTCGCCGTCTTGAGCTCGCCGGAATAACGGCAGTACTGGGAGACAATTTGCTTTTGGTCCGGGACGTCCTGAATCCAGTGGATGTACTCGGTACGGCTACCTCGCAGCTCACCCTCCAGTGTGAAGGGGGAGAGGCCGGCGAAGACCAGGATAGGCGCGCGGCCGCATGAAGCGTTGTGCACTGCGGCACCAAGACCCTGCGTTCCCACATCGACGTGGACAATGACACACTGCGGCTTCCCGGTCAGGCGAGCATAGCCGTCGGCCATGGACATGGCCACCATCTGGCGTCTATTATCAGTACGGAGTCGGCGTTGATGTGGATGGAAAAGGCTATGCCAGTTACCTCATTGGGACATGTGATGATTCGGGGAAAGCTTCCTTTCTTCTCTCTGAGACCCTTGACCATAGCTTCGATGATGCTGGGGTGGTCGGAACCCAGGTTGACGAAGCAGTGCGAGACGCCAGCATCCCATAGTGCCTCAAAGAAGGCGAACGACGCGGTGTACATCTCGGCGGACTTTGACGAAAGGCCACGAGCTTGCTTGATGGTGGCTTTGAACTCATCTTCAACGACGGGCCGAGCCGATGATTTTATAGAAGCATTGAAAGTTGCCGGCAATGTTGATCCCCCGCTTCGATGGAGTGGGGTCGCCGATGAGAAGCCGGCAAGTTGGCGACCAGGGCCGGCAACGGCTGCGCCGACGGCAATTGTCTGCTTCAACCTGACCAAACGCCCTGCTCTACCACCTGGAGGCCCGGCAATGCGCAAGCAGCGTGCGGCCATCAACCCCGGCATTTGTCTGAGAGGCATGGCGAAGGGCGGCAATACCGACTGACAACAGCTGGAGGAGAGTGGTGTGGGAGGGAGGGGGGGGGGGGGGGGACGGCAATCGAATGACAAGACGGGATTGTCCTTGACTGTACTTCACAGTGTTAACAAACACACTCAGGCTCAACCAGGCCTTGGCAGGTTGTGTTAGTGTCTTTGGGGGTGATATGGAATGCCACAACGACGCCTCGGATTCGACCAATGGAGGAGTACGAGGGGGTTTGGTTTTTTATCTCCCTCGGACCTAAAAGGGAAGGTTTTGTTTGACTGAAGTCGGATTGAGTTATCCGTGACGGGCGACAAAGACACTTATACATCCGGGAGTAGGATCATTCCACAGACCGACGGCCGGTCCATGCACACTGTTCCCCAGAATAGGGAGCATCACGCCCTTTGGGGTTAACCCCGCAATCGGCTAAGGGAGTGGTTTCATAGGGCGCTTGGAGTCGGCTCATTGCAGGCTTTCACCCTAGAGCAAGGTGTCATTTATTACTCCCAAGCTTTGTTGACCTCCCCAAACCCGCCACAGATAAGGATATACAGCTCCGCAATACAGTTCAAGGTTGTGCATGGCCCCATACCGTGTGAGACGAGAGAGCACTCGGCCACATCAATGACGGACGGGTGCCCGTATAAGATAGGGTTGAGTAACTGATCCTTGTTTCCAGCACGAGGCTCTTGTCAACGAGCTGGGTTTCATTCGCTGCCAACTCCCTGTTTCTCCCGATATGGAAATTACAAAATTACAAAGGCCGAGGCATTGGGACTGTCGTTGGACAGCATCTCTTTGGGCCGAGTGTTACCGCCGCCGCAAGAAGCCGTAAGTTTGGAGCTGGATAGATGGGCCTTGGAAGCAAACCGTGTCTCATGCCGGTTCCCCGCAGCCAAGCGTGTCCGGGCGTTTCTGGAGGAGAGGAGGGGGGAGGGGGGACGCTAGGTCGGTGCGCCGAGGTCGTGCGGGGTGGGAGGTGTTGCTGTCACATCTCTGGAGCTTTCGAGTTCCAGGGATCCAATGTGCAGTGCAATGATTGCTACAGTATGCAAAAAAAAGGGCCTTCATCCCGTAATCATCTCTATAATGTCCCTGACAAGGACGGTAAGCCTGCACCGCATTCGGAGCCGGAAGCCCTTGGTCACCATGCTTTTTTGTAACCCGGGTGCACATTAAGTGCAACCTACTGGTCGGAGCTAATCAAACCTAGAAGAGGGTGGGGGGAAGACCCAACCCGACTTACCTTTGGCTTTACAGTGCCCCTCCGGATGGGGTGAGCCACCAAGCCATGCGCTCGTTACCTTTTGGACCTCAGTTCATCGGGCCAGATCCAGCCCAGGATCGACCCAATGCCGAAGGCGACGAGACAACATCGGACCCGTCATCCCGACGACACCGGCGCGAGCCTTCCGACGTGCGAACCGCGCCGGGGATCCTTATCGACAGCGCCGCCGCCGCCGGCTCGTCGTAGTTTGTCGATCCCGCCGCCCAGGCGATGACGCCGGCGTCGTCGACCGCGAATGCCGCGGACTTCACGAAGCCGTGCCGGTGGTGGGATGCATGATCGGTGGTGTTGAGCCCCGCCGCGGCGATGGAGATATGGGAACAAGGGAAGCCATTGCGGGCGTAGAGAGACGGCCTGAAGGCTGTCTGTCTGTTGGTGATGACGATGAATTAGGATGTTGGACCTTGGCTAGGGGAAGAATGCTTGGCACATGCCTCTTTCAGTGTGCTTGAAATGAGTACAAAAAGAATAAGAAATAAAAAAGAAATCGTTAAAAGAATAATAAAGCGCCACACTCCCTCCGAGGCGGGGCTCCACCTTCGGTGACGGCCCCGATGTGGATACCGCCGATGCCCGAGTGGGTCCGATAGCTCGGCATCCGGTCATCGCATTGCAACTCCTCGTTCATGTTCGGTGTTTACTCCTTAAACTTGCTGGAAAGGGGGAAAAAAAAGAGTTCCCTTCCTTTCATGCTTACTATGTTGATGCGGATACAGATACCATTGCTGCCTCAATGCGACCCCGCTCGCATTGGAGTGATAAGCGAAACATGCTTTCGGGCTCGAGTCCTCGACGAAGCCCGCATGATGGGACTTTGTCGCAATGTTCAGATGAACGCTTTGCGTCATGAAATACATAAACGTCTCCTCCCTCTTCATCTCTCGAGCTCCAGCCTTCCTGAACTCGACCGACCGCACTTGTTCGTCACTGATATTTCTTGTTACGTCCCCTCCCTGAGAGAGAGTAAGATTACATTGCCGTCACCTCGGGAGTCACGAATTCAAAACACAACAGAAAGCGCGTGCGAGAGATCAACCCTAGCTCATACCTTTCCCTCCCCAAGCAACCTCCGAGGCCCCCGCTATGTCTCTCAACTTGGCGTCCCCGTTCTCCCCCTTCCCGAGCTTCGTCCTCGGCACGGGCCTCACCTTCATCGGCCTGCTCGGCTTCGCCCGCCCGCTCGCCATGTACGATTCCTTCGGCATCACCCGGCCCCCGGCCGGCGTCGAGCCCGATCCCTTCAGCTACGCCAAGTCGGCCCGGGACCTGGCGACGGGCGCGCTCTTCATCCTCCTCGAGACGTACCAGGAGGGCAGCGGGAACGAGGACGCCGTGACGGCGCTGTTCGCGGTGACGGCGTGCGTGGGCGTCGCCGACTGGTGGACCGTGAGGCGGAGGGGCGGAAAAGAGCCGATGGGGCTGCTGCATTTGGGGAGCGGGGTCGCGTTGGGCGCCTTCGCCATATGGAGGTTCTTCTACTAGCAGTGGGCTGTGTAGGTCGAGGAATGAGGTCTTGTGCAGTATGTATGTTTGGTGTTTCGGCGGGCGATAAAGACTTGAGGAGACGACTTGCCTATTCGCGGGGTACAATCGGTTTGTGCCGAGCGCATCTCCTGAAAGACTTGTTAACGACTGATACGAGGCAACAAAGTAGCAGACGACGTTTTGTTTTCCCCCAACAAAGCAATTTTATCTCTTGAAACATGTTGACCTCTGATGCAAATGAGGAACAAACACCTTATTCTTGCCTGAAAGCTGGTTACTTGTAGTTGACCCGCCAGTCCTTTGCTAGTGACCCGGTGAGATTTTCCTTCATGGCTGAGAACAAATTCATTGTCTTGACAAACTTGTGGAATTATGGACTTGCAGCATCGCAAGTCTATATAACCGTGATGGTTGCGTTCCGTAACATTCTGCATTCCAAACAGCAACAATCGACCAACGTTACCAACCACGCACCAAATCATTTACCTTGTACGTTTTGATAGCCGATCAAGTAAACTCCAACCATCAACTTTCAGCGACAAATTTTCCGTATCCGATTTCTATCCAGACATCCCTGCTTCTGAGCAACACCCACTTTACCCACGCTTCCTGAGCTTACTACTACTGCAGAGATGCCTTCTAACAACACCAAACGTTCGGCAGTTCGGTGTCACCCCATGAGTACCCGATCTACCGCCGCCTGGCGGGAAACGAGTAGCTCCTCGGATAGCGACTCATCGGAGAACAGCGTCCCCGATAGCAGCCCCAACACCTCTCCCGCACGAGTAAGCGACATGCCTAACCCCAGCAGAAAGCGTAGGCGTGGCGCTTCGGGGTCCGAAGAGCCGGAGGCTTCATCATCCGTCACAAGGCCCATGAAGAAGCTCAAGGTTTCCGGGGGACGTGCCTCATCTCCCGTCGATAGTGAAGATGCCGAAGGCTCATTGCCCGTTAGGCGGCCGATGAAGAAGCTCAGAATTTCCAAGAGACACTCACCCCCAACTGACATTGATAGTGACGATGACGCTGACGAGACAGTGAGCCCCTCTGAACCAGCGGACGAACTGGATGGCGGCGATTCTGCTCCCAACACCCCATCTCCAGCCTTGCACGTGCGCTCCGACGGGTTCTGGCCCACGATCCGCAACGATTACCTCCGATCGCTGGAAGACGAGAGCATCAGGGTCGACATTCCCTGCGTCATCTGCGGCGACGATTGCCTCGTCGACGGGCACTTGCGCTGGCAGCTGCGGAGGCCGGAGGGCGTGGGCAGGGAGGTTCCCGCGATCCTCTGCTGTGGCCACATGATAGGCGATGAGTGCCTGGAGAAATGGAGACGGACGAGGCGAGAGGAAGGAGAACCGCCCAGCTGCCCCATCTGCCGCATGCCTCTCCAGTGCTCCGACTGCGGGGTCGCCATGCCCGGCTGGCCGCTCACGCGTGACATCCCGGTCGGGGGGACCAGGACCCTCCAGCAGGGCGGCCACCGCGTCACGCGCTGCAACGCCTGCGAGGCGGAGGTCATCCTCGGGGACGGGATGCGGCTGAGCTACTACGCCGAGGGGGCCCGTCCGGACGAGTCCCTCCTGTTGAAGGCTTGGTTCGACGCGGTGAGGAACCGCGTCGCGGCCGAGGTGCGGGCGGGCCGGCACGGGCACGTCGCGTCGGTGGACGTCACCGATCTCGTCCTGTCCGAGACGTTCGAGGCCATGATGCGGCGTCTGGACGACTTTGAGGAAGGGGTGCACGGCCGTGTGGAGGAGACGCTGGACTTGATGGAGCGCGATCTGGACCTTCGCTTGCCGTGGAACCACCCCGTGCCTTCGGAGGACGAGGAAGAGGAGGAGGGCGACAACGACTACGACTTGTGGCCGGGGACCGTTTTCCGTTGGAGCCCCTAGGCCTTATGAAGTCATGTTTCGAGAGTTGAAAGCTCTTTTCTGTATATGCAAACTCCACCGGGCTCTCCTTGGTTCACTACCGAGGCACGTATAGTAGTAAAAGGTTTTCTCCTTTTCAAGGGGCATAAGCTTACGTATCAAACATAAAAGTTCTGCCTGGCCGGCAAGTGATATCGCGCTTTCAACTTGCGCCAGAAGCGCATATTGATGTCCAAGAGACTCTGGTCGGCGTTCTTTCATTTTTAAACAGGCGGCTTTCCACTTGGAACAGTGATGGTGACGTTTTCAGCGCGGATGTTGCTGCAGCGCTATTGACTTGAGAACGGCTGTTAGCAATCTGCATTTGAAGGTCTTGGCACAAGGTGGACGGCGTACGTCTGGGGCACTACGGACCAGCATGCCGGCCTGAGGGGTCAAGTTCTTATATGTGCGTCGGCTCACAGTTGCCCGGAAATCCACGTCGCCGATGACCACATCAGCGCTATTGACGATCAAGTTGAACCACTGCGTTCGTACGTCTTTTGCTCGATTTGTTGAACATAGTGACTCACGTTGGGCGGGTTGCGCATGCGAAGGTGGGACATGGTCGCTGTCTCAACACCCTCGAAGGAGAGCAACATTGATCTCAGGAGCTGATGTCGCTGCATTAGACGGCCAGCGCTGGAGTCCATCCGGGACGGCTTACGCTCTTTTTCGTTTGAATCTCCTCCCAGTACACTTGGCCGTGGCCCGTCCATGATGGACCTGTCATTGCCGAGATCCCCGTAGATGTTGACGTCTTTGCTGCCGAGCTTCCAGAAGACCGACTGGTTCTGGAAAACAAACTTGAAGCTGTGCTAGGCCCAGTAGTAAGGATCGGCGGCGAAATGGACCTCGCCCGTAATGACCGCGTCAATGTGCTCCAGAAAGGTGAGGTTCAGCGAGGAGCTGACGAGGTACTTCTAGTCCAACACTACTGTGCCGCCACCGTTACATCCCGTAAACGCCCCGAGAATCTTGGGAGCGTCGTCGCGGCCCTTAGTGCAGCTGGGCTTCACATAGCAGTATCGGCCCTTGTCTCGTGGAGGCGAGTGTGGCATGGCCCTTCCGGCCTCGAAGGGGGCCGGTTCAACTACCGGCCGCGTTGAGATGTTGTTTTAGGCCGTAACGGATGATGAGAGGCCAATAGCCACAGCTAAGACGCTCAGGGGGGGGTTATCTGCATGGCTGGCAAGTCTGGAACGCACACGTAATAGGGCACGCCAATTACGGTCTACTGGATGAGCACCGTTTCGATTTTACTATCTGTGGACTGTCTGTCTTCCAGTAACTGCACCCCGGAGACGGAGAGCTCGGGAGCACCAAGTCGGATGAGACAACACCGACGGCGGAACGAATTACCGTCGCCAGTGGCTCGGCGCAATACGTGGAAGATTTCAAGAGCCCACGTAAGATTGCTTGGCCGCTCGGTGCAAGATTAGGCTGACCGGGGTCTACAATGACATGCTCGAGTGGCCATCCATCTCACCTTGTTGACCGACTGGTCCAGTAAGATTAGTCCTAGTATATACATGCGTCCCGCCCCCGCATGTTCTTCCCGTCCACGCACAAGGGTCTGGGCTCTTCCGGTCCCTTGGTTCCCGGGGCATCATGCCGCTTTGCCGTTCGCTCGGGGTAGGATCTTGGCCCGGATGCCTTTGCTCTCCAAATCGGCGACTGCGACGAAGAAGTCGCGCTTGCAGACGACGTCGTCGGTCGTGGTCTCGAACATTTCCCACTCGAAGCGCCGGACAATGGTGGCAATTGTGATGTACAGCTCCGCGTATGCCAAGCTAATGTCGCGTCAGACGATGCCAAAACATTCAACCGGAACTGGCATTTTCTTACTTGATTCCAAGGCATTGCCGGCTGCCTTTGCCAAAAGACACGAGGTATCTATCGAGCCGCTTGTTCTGCTCCTCCGCCTCGATCCAGCGTTCTGGTCGGAACGTTTGAGGCTCGGGGAACACGGACGGGTCCATAAGAACGAAGTAGCAAGACTGGGAAACCGGCGTCTAAACCCGAGTCAGTATTCTTCCAAAACCTCAAAGCACATCGTCGGTCGACTGCCTACCCCAGCAGGTATCCTATATCCCTTGTACTCGATATCATGGTGAGCGACCCGGGGCAGTCGAGTTGTGACCCCATATGAGAGCCTCAAGCCCTCTCGGATAACGGCAGTCTGATGGCATGATCGGTTAGAAAACAAGGCAAGCTTGGCAAGGGGCGGCAGGACGTCGATCCCGGGGCTTAACGCACAAGATACGGGAGATTCTGCAGCTCGGTCCAGGGGAGGATGTCGACGGCGCTTGGCATCGCCGCATCCAGTTCCGCTTGGAGTTTTTGCAGCACTTCGGGGACATGCTTCAGATAAAAGAATATTCTCGAGAGCGCCTGCGCCGTTGTGTCGGAACCCGCGCCCGTCAAAATTTCGGCTTCGTCGCAAAGCCGCTCGAGCGACTTTTCTTCCGGAGGCAGGTCGCTGTCGCGCAGCGTATGAAAGATGGTTCTTCGCGATGACCTCGACATCGAGATATCGTCTGTGCGCTCCAAGATAGGCTTGACTTGTTGCTTGACCCCTTCATGCCACCCAAAGAGATGGCCGACGGAGGGCTTTATCGCCGACACCCAGGAAAGCGGGAGCTGCCTCATAAGCGGGAGCATCCATGGGAACTGCCGACTAGCTGCGCCGCCCTCAAAGGCCCCAATGACCGTCTCCTTCCACAGAAGCTTGAAGTCCGGCTCGTCCAAGTACTTGCGGTCGTGGGCGAAAGAGTAGTCGCATATGATGTCCATCGTCAACGCCATGAATGCCGCGTCCAACCGCACGATTTCCCCCGTCTTGGCGAGCCCGTCGAACCGCGCCGAGAGCTTCTCCGCCTTTTCCTTGATCAGCGGCTCCAGCTGGACCACGGAGCGTACCGAAAAGAAGGGATTCAGGGCCCCGCGGCGCAGCCGATGCAGGTTGTGCGACACAGTCGAAAAAGAGCTTTCATCCGAGCCCGCAGTTTTGACCCACCACAGATACTTGTCCGACTTCCTGCTGGAAGAGTAAAGGTCTTCGTAAAAGTCCGGGTCTTTGATGTGCAGTTCGTACGGGTTGATCCGGACGATGGGGCCTAGGGTTCACAAACTTGCGTCAGTGAAGGCAATGCGATATTCGCTCCAAGGCGTGATGATGGTGGCTTCAACGGTGGCTTCGAACGCTGGGCTATTGAGGTCTGACCATATTCCCGGTGCATCTCTTCGATTCGCCACATGAAGGTTCCGCGCTTGACGATGTCCCAGTAAACCTCGTTCCATAATGTCAATGCCGCAAGTTTAGACCCCGGGAATTTGGCCAAAGGGCTGAAGTAGAGTCTGTAAACGGCGACGGTGATGGTATAGAGCAGCGAAGCTCCTACGAGCAGCAGCAAGGCCAAGGTCCATTCCATGATGAGCAGCACGTATCTGTCTCACTTTCTTTAAGCCTCATCGAATGTCCCAATGACGAAGTTAAGTAGATGCGTTTATTAATGGATGAAATGGGCAAATGACTACATGGTCGATGAATGGCAGAAACTCTCTGCCCACGACTCCTGAGCAAGGGGCCCATTATTGAAGGTCCGTTCCGGATCCTACTCTCCAATATCGTTAACAGGGGTGACACCACTAGCAGGGTTCCACGGGGGGATCTGCAGCATGCAGCAAAACGAAACTCCATGCAATAACATCGTTGCTGCTGGGCTCGATGCCAGACGGGGCTCGACTTGCCGTCAAAGTGACATGGCCATTTCCAGAGATAAATGAGAACGGAGAAGCTCAGAAAAGAAAACATGCCACGATCCCTCCGCTTTCGGTTAGTGTTATGTCACCGGCCCCCAGACATTGCTTGTTAGGTCGTTCCCCGACGACGCTATGTGACGAGATCCCTACCGGCCCCTCCCCAAGTTCACAGGAAACCCCGTCAAAGTCACATTTCACATTCTCTTGTCTGTATTTTCCTTCAGTATAAGTTATTGGTAGTCTCAGCCTCCGCTCAGACCTCCTCGCTTCGTTGTGCATGATACGCTCTTATGAAGCTACCCATATATCGTGGCCCTTGCCGTAGACATTTCTGGCTGATAGAGTTGCGGATCCGCCAAGTTACGAACCCGCGTGGGCCGCTGCTATTAATGCGCCATACGCCATCGAGTTCGTCAACCCTAACATGATCGCTGGTCCGTCCGCCGTCCCGATCAGTCCCGGAAGAAAATCACCCCCACAAGAAGCCCATATTTATCGACGTTGTTGTTGGTCACAATGCCATGTTCATAGAACGATGTAAGCGCCGAGCAACCCCCAGCAGACCTTTTTGCACCACCCGCATGCGAGCCCGATCTAGTGAGTACTTAACAAGCGGGTGGGCAGGTTTATTAGAGGCGTCGGTTGAATATCGCCTGGCCAGGGGCAATGTTACCTCTCATTTGTTTCTCACAAGGTCAACATCAACGCCAAAGATTCGCTTTGATGGACTCCCCCTTTCTGGGCAACCCTAATTGGCGACACGATAACAGTCAAACTTTTGCTCCACAATGGAGCGAACCGATTTGAACGCGACATTCACGACTGGACGGCCCTGAGATGGGCAGTGGCAAGTGTCCAGACGGATGTCGTCAAGCTTTTGCTCAATCACCATACCAACACATTATCAAACTTGCAGAAGAGACGCTTTCGAGCTCTGAAAGAACTTGGTTTTGATGAAGCAAGCCGCTACCTTGGGCCAAAAAAGCGCCGAAAGAGGCCTCATAGACGAACTAGAAGGTACTTCGGAGTGGCTCATGGAGTACGGAAACGATTACGAAGACCTTCTTGCTGCCTTCAAGGAAAGGTCTTTTAATCTCTGATACCTGTGGAGCAGTGTATATTTCGATCCTCCAGTTGGAAACACGGGGAGAGCCATGAGCAAAGCAAAAAAATCCTCGCAAGGTCGGGATAATATAGGCCCTTAGGAACCAAGGACACTGCAATTGGCTATCAGGGATGGCAAGCTCCTTGCTGTGCGGCTACTGCTGGAAGCCGGCGCGGATGTTAATCTTGCAAATAAGCAAGCATCCTTACATACCACATACCACAAACTTTAGAAGGGATGTTCGCTTCGCCGAGATTCTTGTCAAGCACGGGGCTCACATGGAAACCCACAACCTCCACAGAATGAGACCATTGCAGCAGGCCATTGCAGCAGGCGGGTTTCAACGCTTCGAATATGCCTCAAGACTTCTTCTTGAAAGTGTTGCCAACGTAAACGTCATTATCTCAAAAGTCCAATCAATAAACAAACTGGCTGGAGTGATGGCTGGAGTGATAGCAGTGCTGGAAGAAAGACTACTTTGATGCTCGCATGTAGCCTAAACCCAGGGAAGGGTGATACCGACCCCCCAGTCCGTATGGCCCAGATGCTTCTCGAATACGGAGCCGATACCAAGATCAAATGCACTGGAGACGACGGGATATTTGCCTTTCACTATGTAGCCAGGGAAAGAAGCCCGAAGATATTGAGAACCTTTTCCGACGCCTGTATCGACCTTGGAGAGCTCGACAGATTGGGAAGCACAGCAATGCACCAATTCGCCCTTGGTTACGAATCGTACAGCAGTTCCATATCATTTGATTCAAAGAGGAACTGTATCCCCGGAACAGCTACAGAATATCTGGCCATTTTGATTCAAAATTGCGGGTAGTGCATCCTCAACAAAAAGTTCGAATGGGAGGCATATTAATACTGCTAGGTGGAGCACACTTCTTTTAAAACCCATGAATTTCATCCACACTCCGCTATCTCTTGCTTGCAGTCATCTGCGGGCTCCAAGCACTTTATGATGTTGGAGCAAACTTTGAGACGAATGTTCTGCTCGATCATTATTTGGATGGGACATTTCTTCAATCACAGCTATCGGCAGCCGAGGTCCTCATCAAAAACGACGCCAGCTCCATATTCGGTAAAAAGTTTGGAGAGATTGATAGCATATGCCCTTTCTCTTAAGACCACGTGATATCATTTGACCAAAATTGAAATTTGCAGAAAGATACTGGAGATGCTTATTCCACGAGGGTTTGATATCAATGAAACTGACTAGCTTGGGTCCATATTTCTACACATTGCGTCCAAGCAAGGGGTTCACGAGCTTATCAAGTGTCTCGTCGATCTTGGAGCGGACCCCTGCCTAGAAAGTAAGGTTGGTTTAGACGCCTTTCTGGTGGCTTGTTTGGATCAAAAACTTGTTCTTTTGAGACGCCTACTTGACTGCAATGGAGAAAGCAGTTCTCAAAAGACGTTGGAGGTGGTGATGAGGAGGGGCAACAGCCACTTCACGTTGCGACTCAGCAAGGTAGGATGACTGTCAGTGGACACCTCTTCATCTCGCTGCACTCGAAGGAAAACAGGGAGTGGTCGACATACTGTTATCGAACGGTCCGCTCCAATTCGCAGCCATGGCCGGCAATGCTGAGATCGCTCGGCTTATATTGTAAGAAAACGTGGACGAGGAGGCAAGGAAACTCTTTTGAAACTGGACCTGAAGATGCACGCTGTCATGTGTCGACTCACCGAGGTGGCTTTACGGTGTTGCATATTGCTCTTGCCACGGGGCCATTCCATGATAAGATAGGGAACAACTCGGACAAGGAACGCTTGGAGATCGCTTCGATGTTGGTCGAGGGCGGTGTAAGTGGTGAGAGGGTAGCGAACTACTTTAGGCTCCAAGACGTTATAGAATTTGGGACCTTTCCGGGGCTGTGGAACAAGTTGAGAGTAGGCATCACGGTTTAAGCCCCTGGCGGAAGTTCATATGATGAATAGACATATCTGGCATCTCGTCTAATGACAATACAGTGGAAGAGGAGTGTCGCGGAATGCCAAGTGACAAATCTGGAATCTGCTGTTGTGGAAATAGATTGTTTGCCACTACAAACTTTGTGCTTTAGCTAGGTGGGTATCAGGATTATAAATGCTGTTATTCTCAAGCTCTCTCTTGGTCATTCTTCTTGTTCATCCTTGGAATCTTGTGGTCTCACTAAGAGCGTGCCCTATCTTTCAGGACCAGACTTCCATATTAAATGCCATCCGTCCGGCTCCATACTACGGCCAACTCGCCGTTTGACTGAACAAATCAACGTGATACCGGTGTAATACCGACGATGCATCCGTGATGCAGTTGCCATATAGCGTGATACAGCCGATGGAAACGACTACGATCGAGGGAACCTTGATCGATATCGATGAGGCTCCGGTGGCTGCTGTCGACGGGGCAGACCACTGAATTTAACATCCCAGTGTCTGTAATGATTAACATTGAAGGCCGGCGGCGGGGGCTGCGGCATGGGGGGTTGGAACCTGCGGAATCGCGGATCTCTTGGGTGAGGTCTTGTAGACGGCGGCCTCACTATAGTTGGCGCAGCGGAGCTTTCGGTGAATGAATCGTACTCATGCCAGCCAGGGGGGTACTGCGGTTCTGGTCTTTTCTGCGAGACGCAGAACCAGGCGATGAGAGCTATCGTCACGACTGCAACGATGCCTCCTAAGATGGCTCCAATTTGGACACTTGACAGTGAACCACTCGACCGATCCGGGGGTGGCGAGGCTACTGTCGGAGAAGCCACCGGCGGTGGTTCGTCCGAATGCCCGTCGGTGTATGATGTTGGCGGGCCGCCGCCTAGAGTAACGTATGTGACGAATGTAGTGGTTGGACGATAAATTGTCTGAGTTATGACATGAATCTCTGCATCCGCATCCTCCTGCCGGGCAGCGACGGAAAGAGGGGTTTCGAGGGGGGGTAGCGAGATCGGAGTTTGATAAGTATGCATCGCTGACGGAACCGCATCGGTTTGATTGGTGAACTCGCTGCTTTCTAGACTAGCTTGGCTTCGAGAGAAGGACGGAACGAAGAACAATGTGAACGAAGGTGTGTTGGTGTTGAAGACCGAAATAACATGGATGAACAACAGACATGAAAAGTCACAAAAAGGAATGAATGAGCAAAATGTGTTAGTTTTATCCAAGAGATAGAAAGCAGGCTGTGACCGGCGAACCGACCTGCGTGCTATCCTGCACTTCCATCTTACCCGCCAAGGGACACCCAACGCATACTCCTCATCGCCAGCCCAAGGGACACATATGAACGGCAACGCCACTCTCTCAGAAGGGGCTCGGCAGCGAGGACGGACAACGCAAGCCCCAAGCCATATTGGACAAGACTTCCAAGACGCGACTAACCTTGTTTTGACACCTCTGGCTCACATCGTGGTTGTTGTACGGCCGCGCCTGACACCTCCGAAGGCATGCAAAACAAATGCAAGCCATCGCAGCTGACCAGTAGGGGCATGACAGCATGGTGTTATGAACATGCACACTGCCCACATGATTATGCCAGTCAACACGGAGACGGCTGGACTGATGAGGTCAGATCGGCCAATCGAGCGAGTTGGTTGGGCTGAGTTGCAGGTGTGTTGGCCTGTCGAGCCAATGCCCTCGAGTTGCGGACAACCCTCAGCAAGTACCGCGCAGTAAGACATCGTACACCCACCCGCACAGGGGTCGGCCCGTAGTGTTGGATCCAGGATGGAACATCCATGGGCCGAGTTGTTCATGTGGGTAAACGCGGATGATAAGGGGTATATCAAGCCTGAAGACGTCTTGGTTGATGACCCTCCTTCGCATGCGCGAACCTGGCCCCCGAGTATTCCGAACTGTTATTACTTCCAGACATGGACACTAATGCACATGCCGCATCGACGGCTTCATCGCGACCATCATCACACTCGAGAGAGCAGCGAGACAGAACAAAAGGATGGATCGTTCACAGAATCTTGAGTAAATGCCGACGAAGTTAATTGCCATATGAACGGGCGACGCGATGCCGGCTACATCGCTGCTATTTCCAGGTGTCGTCACGTACTTGATCGTGCTCGATCAATCCTTTGCGCCCGCGAACCCAAAGCGTCAGATTTTTCCCTCTCCATCCCCCAGAGTTACGCCCAGCCTAGTAAGAATTACATGTGCCCCCATAAAAAGTACTCGAACGAAAAATGACAAAAAAGGAAAAGAATTATCATGCCGACGTGCCGCGAAGGTTGCGCGTGCGCGGATTGCCGGAGAGTCCGCGAAAGAGATTTTCGTCGCAAAAGAATGAGGGCGTAATCGCGTTCGATCAATGGGGGCCAGGCGGGCCAAATTCAAACTTTTTCTGACAGAGTATCAATGGCAACGTCTGGATCCAGTCTAGTCAGCCGTCTTGTTCAGCTTCCTCTGCGTCTGCCTGTACCAGAGCCGGGAGGGTGAACCCCAACCTGGGTTAAGAGGCGTGAAGAGAAAACTCACATATACTTCGATCGGACTTTGGAAACGTTATGCGACGGCTCTCCCCGCGGGAAATATTTCCCACTATTCCCTTCCTGCCGCACCACCTGCCGCACCGCCGGCAGCGGGCTTAGGGTTGTTGTCGATCTTGATACCAACGCCGGCACCGCCCTCTCCGGTTCCGAGCTCGATGTCGGGACCCTTCGTGAGAGCGGCCTCGGCGAACGTCAGGGCACGATCAAACCCACTCTGTCTCTTCTCAACCTTCTTGTCGCCAGCGTCTTGACGTCTAGCAAGTTGGCGTTGAGCACCTCCCTCAGCGCCTGCGGCCGGTGCCGCTTCCTCGCCTCCGAACGTGAGCGCACCATCACCAACCACCAAGGCAGGGGAGTATGCGCCCATGTTGATGTTCAGAGGTGCGGCGTTGATGCCCATAGCCAGAAGGGCCAGGGTCATGAGGGTGTTGGTAATCTGCATGGCGAAGGATTTGGATGACGGAAGAAGAATTGAAAAGATTAGGTATCGTGTGTCGGCGCAGCCGGTAAGTCTTTTCTCGGCAGGATTATTAAGAGTGTACTGAGTTGAAGTGGGTGTTCCTTCTAGAGGAGAAGCCAAAAAGACAGAACAGCACAGCTGAAGTCGAGAAGAATAGTAGATAGAAAGAAGGTAGAGCACACGGGTCAACGAGTGGCAAAGCAAGGTGGGAAGAGAGAGCCTAATGAATGAAATCCCCACGGCGTGCCAGGAAGAGGTTCAAATACTCTACGCCGAGAATCAAGGAAAGACGAATCGTGGGGTTGAACGTGAAGGATAATAAGGAGACGGGGCCAAGAGACGGCAGCATTCGAAGCTACGACTGCGACGCCATCATGCGTGTCAAGACAGGCCCTGCCAGTGCCAAGGCCAAGCGGCTCTGTCAAAAATAGAAGCTCTCTGCAGCAGCCGAAGACAAGAGGTGATAGGCTGGGGCGGCATCTGCCATCAGGGAAGGGCAAAGAGCCGCCATGTGGTGATTCGGCCGTTTCTGGGGGGGGGGGGGGGGGGCAGGGCCAATTGTGGTGGAGAAACGAAGATTGGGTGTCCGAGCGGAGGTGAAACGATGCAAGTCCCAAGACTGCCATCGACGAGGTTTCCCGAAACCATATAGAGGCTTGGCAAAGACCTCGATGCGCCTCTTGCTCGCCAGAGACGCTGTCCATTCTGCGCACTCAATATGTTGTATTCCGCCTCGGGGATCTGGACGTTGGTGCGAGGCAAAGATGGATGGATGAAGCCCACGTTTGACGTCGGGCCACGAGGAGGGGCATCAGTCAAGGGTACGATCTACGACTTGCCACAGGCTAACGACTAGTTGTAGGCAATCCTGCGGCTCACAAGTCCAGGAGGCGAAGAGAATCACAAGCCAGCCACCGTGTAAGTTGCATCGTCTGCATATTGCTCTGGCTTGGCATAGATCCGAAGGGGGCCAAGAAGATAGCCGTTTTCCAAGACCAAATAAGCCGGCCGGCGATCGAGATACCAAGACCGCCCCCCAAGACTTTCCAAGAGATCTCTAGCTATCACTGACGGCTCTTTCTTGCCGCCTTACGTAGCGCAGCCTGTTCGTATGAGTTTCTTGTGCCGCCTTCGTGACGAGAATTGTTTCTCCAGGCTTGGAAGCTGATTGGGCCAGACAATGGATGTTTCCTCGAGGCCCATGTCGACAAAAAACGCACGTACGTGCCGACGCGGCCCAGCGGAGTCAGTTCACGTACCCATTCCACACATTAAAGAATTGTGTGAAAAGGCTATTCGCGAGTAAGGGGTAGTTGACGCAGCAGGCCGATAAACAAAACCCCGGGGCAATAACTGGCAAGGGCGATCTTCGTCTAATGGAGGCATGCGCCGTAGATGATGCCCCGGCCAAGTAGCGTTGTTGAGCCCATGTCGAAACTGACACTCTGGTGCATTGATATCCGCCGGGAGGATGAGGAATGGGCGTCTGTGCTGCTACTCAGGGTGAGGTCGAGGACGTTCCGTGGTTCCTCCTTGTACGAGGCATACCGCCGGTTGGAACATCATTCAAGGTGTGCAACCCCGAATCAGAAACACCTCGCAACAAAACGTTTGTCTCTTTGGCTCACCACATCCTACCCGACTCGGAGATGCCCGCAGCAAACCTCGGCTGGAGGAAGAAAAGGTTTGCCTTGGGCCCGCCAGAGGCCGCATTCCAAATTGAAGTAGAGTCAGTCGTACACTGGGAGATGAATGACTTGTGTGTTTCCAGAATAAGAATGTTCGTGTTACCATCATATCGAGGCCACATATAGCGGCGCAATGAATCGCGTTAGTGGATTCACAGAATACAACCTACGAGGTTGCATTTTTCGACATGAGAGGAAAATACAGATGTAACCTAAGCAACAAAGTCCCGCCTCACTCGGTCTGGACCGAATCTCTTTTGGATGGATGATATTGACTACGGAGCGCTAATTAGCGGACGAAATCAGCCTAGTCATCCGAACGCTTTGGTTTGCCCGCATTCCGTGTCAAAGTAGGTAGGGTAGTATTATCCAGGGGACTCTATCAGCAAATAGACCAGGGATTAACACATTTTCCCCTTGTCATTCCCCCCCAGAATCTCCCTTTCTCAGGTAACTGATAAAACAATTCAGGGCGGGTCAAAACCACTCTAAGTATAGAACATTAGATTTCGTGCGGGAGTACGGATACAGAGTAGCTTAAGACCATGCAGTAAGCACTGACCACTTTTTATTTTCTGTTAAGTTGGGACTGGCAGGACGATATCGGCGTTGTGCGGTAAGTGGCAATCTACATGGTGGTTTTAGCGAGGATAATAGATCCAAACTGTTTTAAAGCTGGCTTATGAGGAAAATGGCAGGCCTCCCAAATTGTCGAGCGCATGAGAGCATCCTCTGATGTTTTCCGAATCAGAGATTACTGCTCTAGAAAAGCTTGGCAACGTTGTCATCAGATCTATACTGGAAGTCTCGTTGTATTGCCAAGACACCGGAGCAGTTGGTTGCTCAAACACTCTGAGACATGCTGTTCCCACCGGATGGGAACATCAAACGGTCGCTCTGTGCATTCAGACGGTAGCAATTCTGGTGACTGAAGCCTTGAAGGCCACAGATCTTTTCATTCGCTGGTTTATCTAGCTACATAACCTGGTGGCCTACTGTGCCTTGGCACGCCTCGAGAGCCTCTCAGCCGTGACCCGGGCGAGGGCGGGTGTAGTCGCGCTTCTCGGCCCAGACTTGCGCGTAGTTGTTGCGGTGGTCCGGCTGCAGCCATGTGTAGTGCCTATGAATCTCGGTACTGTGAGTCGTGTCTCTAAGGATCGCCAGGAAGCGGTCCAGCTCGGGAACCCTGACATAGTCACTGTAATCTTTGTTGTCGAGCTTGTGATCGTTTGACGGGTTCCACACGGACCGGGCTCTGGCGTCGTTGAGGATGTGGCGGACCAGCTTCCTGGTGTCCCTCTCGATGCGCAGGATGCGGCACTTGGGACAGCAACCGGGCAGCGAGGCCCCCTCGGAGATGGTGCGCGGGAACCTCCTGAGCTCGTCCATGGTGCTAGGCAGACCAAGGCCCATCATCCCGGGGTTCTTGCAGCTCCCGGCGCAGTCCATGTACTTGCCCACAGGCACCGCGCAGAACGGGCACTGTCTCTCGTTGGCCGCGATGCCGGTGACGCAGCCCTCGCACAGCATATGACCGCAGCAGAGGATCATGGCGCGGTGCTGAGTGCCGGGCTCCGCGGCGCTCATCGCAATGGAACAACGGGGACACGGAAGAGTGTATTCGTCAAGGACCGCCTCGGAAGTGAGAAGGTGCTTGATTGCGGGCCAGAATGCCTTGGTTTGGCTCCCCCCATTGGCGGGCAAGGTGTACGAGCTGCTTGGCTTCTTGGGATGCGAGCTTCCGTTAGGGGCCGTTGGGTCTCCGTATCCAGAAAGAATAGGGTGTCTGCTCGACACACCGCTGGTGACACTTTCAGTCACGCTGCCGACCACGCTGCTTCCGTAGTGGGGACGGGCATGGCCTCCGGCTACACTGCGGCTTCCACTCCGCGGATCGGGGTAGCTGGCCGGCACGTCATTCGCCCAGCTCGCGGTCGAGCCGGCAGCGGAGCCCGGAGTCCTACCCCACTGGGCAGCGAAGGCCTCGGGTCCGAGCCTGAGTTGCTCTTGGACATGGGCTTCCGCAATTCTAGCCCGTGCCACTCTTTCGGGGCCGAACTCCTCCAGTTCTGCCCTCCGAAGTCTCTCGAGCGCGGGCGGCCCGTCGCTGATGACGGTGCAGTCCGAGCTGGCCTCGGAAGGGCTTCGTGGTCGGCTGCTCCCCCAGCTGCTGCCACCGCTACGATCGCGGAGACTCAGGTTTCGAAGTGCGTCCTGGTTAAGTCGATCCATTTTTCTTGGGGAGTTTGGGGGTGTGCTATTGGCAGCTTGCCTGTGCAGTTCCTTTTTATGGTGGGTTGACGAAGTCAGTGTTATCAGTGGTCGGGGTTCTGGTGCTGGCTGTGAGTACATTCGAGTCAATCTATAGAAGACAATAGCTGACTTAAGTATCAATCTTGTTGAATCGAGTAAACTCAAGACCTTTCTCCTCACGGTCTCGCCTCCCTCGACTTTGATTCTTTGTTCGCAGAGCTTCATTGTGTACCATTATATGCCTGGGAGCACCAGGTATCAGCCTACAGTAGCATGCAACATCGTGGGCAAGTCGCTTGGCCTCCAGCTTTTTTTTTTCTTTTCTTTTTTCTGTTTTTTCTAGGTTCCGTTTCCAAATTCAGGCACCAGTAACGACCCGATTTGTTGTCTCTGGAACGGAACAATGTCAAGTGTACTACTCTCCATATTGATATTCCGATTGACCTCCGTAACTCGTATTACCATGAATTCGTATGTTCCTTTGTTGCAACTGCAAAGGCAGCTTGTTTTTAATACAAACTGACCAAGCCATACAGCTAGAGTCGATCTCTTTCGTGTTTTTCCGTTTCTCGTTTTCTTTTGCCTTGTATCGATCAGATTCGACTGTTTGAAATGTACAATGGGTCTCTGCGATCCGTTAATGGGATTTTGGGGCGTTCTCCATTATGCCAAGCCCAGGGGCAAGAATCAGCTAGGATCGTCTTCCCGATCCGGCTTCCAAGACATTCATTCTCCTTTGGTGTTTTCCTGTCAGCACAATGTCTCCCTTGCCTTCGAGATGCCAGCGGCAAGTTGCGGGCAACTACCCAACTTGCCAATTGTCTTAGTCTCTCAACCAAGAGTTCAGACATCCGACTTTGCCAGCACAACATTACTACGCGTAAGCCTCAAGCTTGGGGCGTAAGCCGAGAGGCAACACATCGCCCCAATTAACGGATTTACACCACCCAGCGGCCCACGTCCCCCGCCAGTGGAACCTGCCGAGCCGTTGGCGCGGTGGACTAAAACCGGAATTATGTTATGAAAACTCAAAATCCAGGACGCCTACCGTCATCCAAGATTCGTTTCAGCTCAGCCCTACGGCGGTTCAGGAACTGACGTCAACATAGAGCTCCGATAAGCCGGATGCACCGCTTGGAATGCTGCAAAATATTTTCCCTTGGCCCACGTTGGCTTATGTGCAAGTCTAGCCTCAATGCGTCACCATACTAAAAAGCCTTGGGGAAAACACACCTTTAAGTAGTACCCTTCTCCTGTGCCTGTCAATCAAACGCGACCCTGCAACTTCTCACTTTATCGATACCCCTTACTGATACCTAGGTATATCCTCAGTCAGCATGTATAACGTCCAGAAATATCCCACGCCCAACTCGCCGGTTGTACGTATAATCGTGCTGGAAACGGATGAGCCTCATCCCGATACACACGCAACCAAGGGTAGCTTCGGAGAGATCCTACACAGCCACTTCCAACATGCCGGCGCCGAACACGATCCTCCACTAGGAATCGACACTGACATGAGGTTCGTAGTGGAGGAGAAGGGAGGCAAGGTCCCTCAGTTTGAGGAGTTTGACGGTTATCAGGGTGTCTTGATCACCGGAAGCATGTATGACGCTCACGGGGACAACCCTTGGGTTCTCAAGCTTCTTGATGTTCTCAAAGGTGCGTGAATGTTAGCTCGATTTTGCTACTCTTTGCTTGTGTCTGACCCGAAGAAACCCCAGAATTGTGGCAGCGCCGGCCGGATCTCCATCTTAGCGGCGTGTGTTTCGGGCACCAGCTCCTCAACCGGATGCTTGGCGCCGAGATCGCGCAAGCCCCATCCCAAGACTGGGAACTCGGCCACTGCCGACTCGACCTCTCACCGGTGGGCAAGGAACTCTTCCGCACAGAGGACCATCACATTTTCCTGCATCAGATGCATCAAGACCAGGTGGTCGCGCCGCCTACGCCAGAAGCCTCTAAGGGGCTGCTCGAGCCAGGCACGAGGGTGGATATATGGGGCCACAGCGAGCACACCAACGTACAGGGCATCTACATCAAGGGGAGGCTCTTCACAACGCAGGCTCACTTGGCATTTGACGAGGAAATGGTCAAGAGACAGATCCAGATGAGAATCGACAGCGGAGGTATCCAGGATTTGAAGCATGCAGATCGGGCATCGGAGACGGCGCACCTCGAGCACGATGGAGACAGCGTAGCGGCTGCCATCTTGAGGTTCTTCCACGGCGATGACGATGAGATTGAATGATTTCCGGCAAATGATATTACCGGCATTGATCCCAATATATATTTTGCGACAAGAGTACAATGGAAGACAATGAATGGAACAACCTCTTAATTGACGTAAATAGGTAGCCACGGAGATCCTCAAAGTTGGGAGTTCCGGCTCGATCTTAATCTCCTCTTATAAGTTAGGCTGTCGGAACCAAAGACGTCCCAGTGCTTCATGCGCAGTGGTTCTTCCTGCTGAATCCAGATTCTTCATCTGTACAACTAGATCCCTGAGCTCCGCGTTGAAACAATTGCCATCTTAAAAGGCTTTCTCGGTCTGCTTGCATAGAAACCAGATGCGGTTTCAATAAGACGCCAGAAGAACTGGTTCTCTTTCCGACAGGCTGGAAGCAACCCTTGAAAGAACTTCCTGGAAGTCGGATGTGGTTGCATATCGATAGGCTCATATCCAATTATTTATCGCGAAGCTGGGAACAGCTTCATGTGGCCAGTACTAGTTGTAGCCGCTACAGATGTGGCTTACCATGCGTTCAGACGACATCGTATAGACATTTCTACCCGACATTGCTTCACACATGTGTCTCTATGTAAATAATATGGCAAACTACTTTACAGTCTTTTATCAAAGGCTGCGATTCATCATATTATCATTCCTAATAGCAATCTAAGTCTATCGTTATTTGAAGTTATCTTCCTACCTACAGCTGACTAGATCTTTTTCTGAGCTTGCTCGGATCCGTCCAAAGCCTTCCTTGAACTTTACCCATACCAAGGGCATTAAGCCCGGCCGGGATATCTGCAAAAGGAATTTCCTCCATGTGCGGCTCGATTTCCTTCTTTGAGAGCAGCTCTAATACATTCTTCAAATCAGCTTCGCTAGCACCTAATGACCCAACCAGTGTGATGCTACGTGCGACCAAGTCGGTGCTCGAGATGGTCACGTTTCCCGCAGCCAGTCCAACAAGTACGACCTTGCCTCCTTCTTTGACACGTTCAAGGGCCAATCTCGTTGTCTCTTTGGCGCCAACAAAGTCGACTATTATATCGAAAGCAATATCCCCGGCCTCCTTCAAAGTCTTGAAACACCCGCGAGCGCCGAATTGTTTGGCACGCGCGAACTTGGAGTCCACGATGTCGATGCCGTAGACCGTGGCGCCTTTGAGTGCTGCAAAACGAAGACCTTGCATCCCGAGGCCGCCAATGCCGACAACCCCGATCGTTGCGCCGGGATATACGCCAGCTTCAACCACTACGGCATGGTACGCTGTGGCCATCGCATCCGTCGCAACCGCGGCCTGGGAGAAAGGAACACCATCAGGGATCCGTACGAGTCGGATCACTGGTGCGACGACGTACTCGGCGTAGCCGCCGTCAAATCCGAATCCTATGGCCATCGCCCAACCCCTGACGTCCATGTTGAGCGGATACGCGAGAAGTGACACGGCGACGCGGTCGCCAGGGCGGTATTCGACCACATTGGCACCGATGGCGGTTATGATGCCTGATGCCTCGTGGCCTAGCGTGATTGGCTTCTTGACAAGCATACCGTCGTGTCCATTGATGACATGACAGTCCGAGTGGCATAATCCTGCCGCCTTCACACGGATCTGCACTGAACCGGGGCCAGGCTCGGGTATTGGGATTCTGCAAAGCTTTAGGCCCTCTTTGGGAGATTCGTACTGAAATGCCAGCATAATGGCGAAAGTTTGGGGATATTTTGAGAGGAAGCCAGTCGCCTATGAATCTGGGTCTCCGTAACTACCAAAACAAAACATTCCGCTGACACCCCGCATCTCAAATATTACTTTCAGTCCATTCCTCCTTGGCACAGGATTCAAACCACGTGATTATGACATCCTGCTTACATGTTCGGGTCCTATTTAATAGAGTAGCACTGGCAGACTTCGAGATGTCAATATCATCCCGTTAATGCTCAGCCAGGTTCCGCACGTTCTAGATAACAAGGTCAATGTCAATGTATCCTGCTCAAAACCACAACATTGGCCCTCAAGTCTAGCTCATGCTGCAGTTCGCGCAGATTAAATTACTTCGTCTATCAGTGTGGCTCCTACAATTAAACTTAACATTCATCCGATAGACGGCCAAGTTGCGAAACCCCGCATATATGACGGGCAATCGCCCTTCCGTGCCATGAGAAAGGGAATGGAGATAAACAATTATCTTTTCTAAAAGACAATCAACTTATGTGTCACGGTCTAGGTTCAAAAAGCCCCAATCCTAAAAGAAATTAGCTTATAAATCGCGAGTTTCACGTCCTAGGGACAGACAAACTCACCCAATTATAATGTAGCAAGCGCACATCGACACCCCTTTCAGTCTGCTCGCCCGTAAAACGCTATTTGCATCGCCGAGAAAAAAGGAGATGATTAGAGCGGTTGCTCCTATCAACGTAGCTGCATCAAATAAGCTGAAGCTCAGAGTCAGCTCTCGCGCCATGATCCATGATGCGATGATGGTCAAGGGAGTAACGCAGAATGCAATCTGCACAGCCGAGCCCACTGCAACAGCGGCTGCCAGATCTAGTTTCTCCTTATATGCCATGGTCACCACAACAACGAACTCAGGCACATTCCCGACAATGGGGAGCAGGACGAGGCCGATGAAGGATTCCGACAAATGTCCTTGACGTGTAATCTCGTCGATCGTGCCGACAAGAAACTCGGCACACATCGACATCAAGACCGAGCTGATCATCAACAACAAGACAGAAAGCGCTTTTTCGCCATTCGATCTCTAATGAAATTTTTTCTCGGGCTCCGCACCGCTGGCCCCAGGACGCCGTGGGATTCGCGGACATGCCAGATCATGCCTTATCAGACTTTGACGGCTGTTGCTTGCGGCAGAGTGGCGCCAACCGCTGCAACCTCGCGTGGAAGAGGCAGTCTTCCAGGCAAGGGAACAGTCGCGTAAACATGCCACGTTGCCGTCGCACGAACTTGAACGGCTGCTACAGTTTCCGAGCTTCTGAAAGTTACGACCGCGCAATACTTCTAAAGTTTCAGTATCAGAAGAGATATCCGAGTTAGGAGTGTCGATGTTCCCGAGCTCAATATCGGATTCTCCGTCTCCAGTCACATCTTGGTTTTGTCCCTGATTACCTCGACCCACGAAGCGAGTCGTGCGAGAGGAACTATCCGAGATATCTGACGACATGGTCGGTGGAAGAGGTGCAGGATACCGCTCAATATCAGACGCTTGTGACAGTGGTGAGATGAATGGGGTTGCCGGGGCGTGGGCCCTTATCTCGTGGATGATATAGAAGATGTATATCACCAAAACCACGAGGGACGATGCTCTACTCATCCGCAGCCTGGCATCACCTGCTCCGGCAGTCTCATCAAGTGTGAAATTAAAAGCGGCCTTCGATTGGTGAGCTCCAACCCTCGGCCATCAAGGGCCGAACCACACTCACAGGTATCAAAAGCACAAAAGTTGAGACAATCAGGAGCCAAGTCAAAAGCTGTGTCTCGACGAGATTCGACACCGGGTCGCCGTGACAGATTTCATTGACGCAAAGAGCAACACCCAGGATTGGGAGCAGGTTGACGAGCATCGAGCCGAGAATTGAGGCCTGAACAACACGGAGTCGGTTGTGCTTGAGAGCAACACTGAACTCGTCAGCCCTCCTCTTGACTTGACGGTTACTTACGGACGTACATGCTTCAAGCGAATGAAGTCAGCCATCGCACCCAACGTCCAGGTAAAAGTCCGGCGACTTACAACAGAATTAGCTCTACCAGGTTACCCAGTGTGATATTCAGAAGTGCTCCAACCGCGTCTCCGGCATCCTCGGCGATATTCTCAGTAGCGCCAGTGGGTAGCGATGACAAAGGCACAATGGCGATACCATTCGTTACGAAGACGACTAGAGGCGCGCTGTCGGACAAGAAAGCCCAGATGCCGACTGGGACGAATATGAGGAGGCCATGCAGCCAAGAAGACATTATTGCTCGTGTAGTTTTTTGAGCCTATAACCAAACTCCGTGGTGTAGTGGATTTCGACATTTGCCGGTTGATGGGGGTCTTTGTAAGTAGACAAGTAGCTTCAGCACCGGCAGCGCCGGAGAAGCTTTTGTGTCGCCTAACCCCGTGATGGGTCCGAGAAGATATGCATTGACATTACGCAAAGACAATCTCTTATTAGGCGAACTGGACCGCTACCCCAAAATCAACTTGGGTTGTTGATGGCACTTTGGATGTGATGTCGGGAGACCTGCTTGCACGAGTCTCGCCGACGTGGAGTCCTTAACATGGTCGCCGACAGGAACTCTTTCGGCGAGCTGCGCGCTAGTCAGTCCATCTTCGTTCTCAAACTCATATGCCAATCATATCACAATCACCTCTTAGACTTTAAGGCATTTCATTCTTCGCACGCACTGGTTCTATGGCCGAGCGTGCAAAAGCGGGAAAAGAGCGATATTTTTTGGGGAGATATCCAGAGCTTCTTCGGGTCGTCACCCTCTAGCTAAGGGGGCGATTTGGGTAAGCTTTACCGATTTATTTTCATTTGTTGTTCACCTGTTTTGCTCATCATGCTGCACTGCTTTTCTGTGTTGCTTCAGTTCCTTACGGAGCCAGTTCGCGACGCTGCTGTGTTGATATTCTCCAGGTATTACCTATCAATACGGCTCATCCTTCCCGTCAGATCCGGAACGGCATCCGAGGACTGCCCCAATATCCCGGACTATTCTTAGCCTGCTTTAAGTGCACCGTTCAGTATTGCAACTTTATTTGTCTTCCCGCATTCCACTGAGCTTTCCTTGTATACTAACAGTAATCCTAGAATCGCATGCCTCTGATGGTATAATCGTTTTGGCGTCCGGCGCCTACGCCGATCGACCTTGGAGCAGTGCGACCTATCGAGTGCTCGGTAATTGCCAGGTCTTACCAGGCGGTGCAGAGAAACAGAACACCGGAGCTCCGAGCTGTTTCTGCGCAATCTAGCATTGGCACAAAAAGTAGCGGATGAAGTGGGATCATTCTAGCAGGTTCCGGCCTCAATGTTAACCCTTGGCCAGAATATGACGCTGGAGATCCCGGCCCCTTCAACACGCACTTGGACCATAAGTTAGGGTTGTTATCTACGTTGACACGATGCTCATGTTTGCTCATTGAGCAGATAATCCGGCGCCGTGGACAGACCAATTCCCCTTCAATGACGCGTCTTTAGGCTTAGTAGGATCGCAGCCCATCCTTGTAGCGCTAAACTACTGCCCATGGTGTTGTTGTCCAAACACACACACACACACACACACACACACACACGCCGCGACGCTGTATCACACCATGCGCCCCCACTGACCTCATTCCGCAACGTCGGTAATTCGCCATGTAATAGACACCGCACCGTTGAGGACAGTTGTCATTGATCCAAACCAACAAGCAGGATCTCGCCGAAACTGGGGTAGACAAGCGGTGTGTCAGCGGCTGAGACCAGAGCCCCGCGCGGGCAGCAGGGATAAACACCCAATGGCAGACCTCAAGGAAACAAGCTTGCACGACATATGGTACATCTCCGCAGTCTAATGGGTGACGTCAACCCACTTTCGTGTCAACCTGCCAAGGAACACGAATGACAGGGCCACCACGAAGTCTGGGCATCAAAAGCGCGCACCTGTCGTTTACTATTTGCATATATTGGGCTCTTTGGGTGTTTGCAAGATACCCCCTGATAGATCTACCTCTGTAGCAAACCGGCCCACTATTGTTGCACCTCGACTGATATATCAACATCTTTCCTTGAAGCTTCGTGTCGAGTCTTCGCTACATCTTGCTTCATTCTCTTCGTTGACGGCCAAGTGACACTTCAAACATCATGGCAGGACTCGTCGATAAACTGACTGCGTCCGGCGGCACCGAGTCCGCAGGTAAGAAGAGGACACCACAACCAGCCATAGTCGAGGACAACCGAAAGCTGGGGGTGGGGTAATAGCTAACCATCTCTCAGGATTCCTCAACGACATCATCGAGCAGCTATGGCCCAACATCAACGTCGCCGGGTGCCGGATGGTGAAGGACATTGTTGAACCCATGTTCGCCACCATGCTCCCAGGCCCTCTGGCTTCCCTCAAGTTTGTGAAGCTCGATCTTGGCCCTGTACCCATGCGCGTATCCGAGGTAGACGTCCACAAGGTCGACAACGGCGGAATCAAGCTCGACATGGATGTGAACTGGGATGGAAAGAGCGACATTGAGCTCGATGGAAATTTGGTTCCGAAAATTGTAAGTCCAAGGCAACAAGAGGCACCTGTGGTGCTCACTTACACCTGGCGCTAATTTGCATGGCAGGGGATTGGACATGTTCATATGAAGGGCAGACTCTCAATCTTGCTAGCTCCCTTGACCAACGTCATTCCTCTGGTATGAATCCTTCCATGAACGCGGTCTCGTGCGTCACACGCTCACAAGTATAAAGATCGGTGCTGCGCAAGTCGCCTTTATCAACCCCCCTGAGCTGAAGCTCGACTTCACCGACGCAGCCAACATCGCCGACTGGGTCCTGGTTGACAAGGCCGTCCGCAAGGTCATCATAAACATCATCTCCTCCATGGCGGTCTTGCCCAACCGCTACCTCGTCAAGCTCGACAACAACAACGACTACTTCAGGACCTACCTCCCCCAGCTGGGTGCTCTGCGACTGACCATCGAGAGAGCGGTAGGCATTAGCGGGCCCAAGAAGAGCGGTGCCAAGAGGCTGCTGGCCAAGATTGTGAAGGACATACCCGATTGCTACTGCAAAGTCAATGTCGGCGCGGAGGAGGAATGGCGTACGACGATCAAGAAGAACGACCACGACCCGGAGTGGAACGAGACGCACGATTTCCTCGTCGCGGACTACGACCAGAAGATCTTTATCGACGTCCAGGACGACGATCTCGGCGGGGACGATGACATTGGCATCGCCACCACCACTGTCAAGGACATTCTGCTCAACGGCGGTTCTCAGGAGTTGGAACTCACTCATGAGGGACAACCCACCGACGCCAAGGTCGTCGTGCGCGCCAAGTTCTTCAACTTTGTCGATGATGCCGGTGCCATCACCTCCACGCAGAGCCAGAGCGAGGGGCAGATCGTCGGTATCGCTACGGTTCTCATCGCCAGCGCTCTCGGGCTCGAGGGCAAGCGCGACGAGCTTAACCCCAGCATCAAGGTGACCTGGGGCGCCAAGGAGTTCCTCACCGCGGCCAAGTCCTACAGTCCCGGGACTGACATCTTCAACCCGTCTTTCGACCAGGCGTTCCGCATCCCCGTGACGGCGGATCTGATCGCCAACCCGGCAAACTTTAAGATTTCCCTTATGAACAAGACCAGCGAGACCGGATCTGTTGAGATCCCCTTCGAAGACGTGCTGCAGGCCCCCGGTCTGGTCAGAGAGGATAGTTTCGATGTCGGCTCCGGCGCTACCGTCAGAGCCAGCATCTCTCTCCGCGGATTGCAGTCGGCTCACTGAACAAGCTGGCAGTGTCGACCACCGTTAGGTTCCAGTCTTCATGTAACATTATACGATTATATATGATTGAATGAGATTTGTGATTACCGTGTCTCAAACAGCCCAGACAATGTTGTTTTTTGAGGATGAAGTCAACACTATCGCTTTCATAACGAGATATAGACCATGAGAGTTTGCGGTATTTCATTGGCTCGGGTCGATTCGCGTCTGACACCATGCCAGCTGGGTATTGTTGCGCCGAGGTAATTGTTGCCATTACTACCCGCATGCTACCCCTTCCAATCCATCCAAGACAGCTCGCTCCATGGTCAAAGAGTTGCATGCAAAAGCGGCAATGAAGAATCCCGGCCGACCTCATTGAAATGGGCCATGGCTGATCAACAGTATTATAAAAACTCCCCTACATTTCACATGCAATATTGGGGCCTGAACCCAAGCAAAAAAGAGATCCGTCTAGTCGAGATAGAACCTATCGGTCCCGAGGACTTTATTTCAGGCTCTGGTCATCGTCCAGTGGTGCGATGCCGCTTGAAGCATTGTAGTCTGAACGATTAGCCTTGCCACTATGAGGCGCTATCCTATGCTTGGGGAGACCCTTGCGTGACGAAGGCCATCTATCTAGACGGTCTAGAGATCCAAGTCACCGAGAACCTAGAGTCGGCCTTAAGACATCTGGCAGCGGCGCGGTGGAACGATACAGAGTTAGGTCCTACGCTCTGGGTCGACGCTATCTGCATCAATCAACGCAACGAGGCAGAAAGAACGCAGCAAGTCTCCCTAATGAAGGACATCTTCCGGAATGCGCACCAGACGTTCTTGTGGCTGGGCCCCGCAAGCGACGACAGCAAACTCGCCATGGACACTCTGCGCCAAATGAGCCGCGCATCTAGCTTCGTCGGCTCCCATTTCAACTCGTGGTCCAAATTCCCGTTCACAAGTGTAGCGTCTGACCCTTTGCTGACTGCCATACGAGACATCCTCGACGACAATCTCGCCACGCTTTGTCTGGATGACTTTGCCAGATTGAGAGCCGTAGGCTCCCTGTTCAACAGACCGTGGTTCCGTCGGGTCTGGGTCATCCAGGAGCGGGTGCTGTCGCTGAACTGTGTCGTCTGCTGCGGTCGAGAGTGGATTACGTGGGAGGGGCTCCGTGAGGCGTTCTGGCTGTTATGTGGCATACGCTACTACCTCAATATCGTCGGCAGTGGCACGGGGAGGTTGGATAGCTCGGCACTTGCGACGTTCCTCACGACGGCTCTGAACAAAGCGATACCCGTTTCTTTCACGAGGCCTAACTCTTCCCTGCTGGTCCTCTTTTCTCTGCTCTCCGGGATGGCCACCAGGGCGCAACTTCAAGCCTCGGACCGCCGCGACTACGTATTCGCAATCTTGAGCTTGATCGACCCGGATCGAAGCCCACTGATCCTGGCTGATTACACCAAAGACTGGGCCACTGTCAGGATTGAAGTTGCTAGAGCATGCCTGATGTACTATGGGCCAGGTTTCTTGTCTTTCGCGGGCCTCGGTGAAGACATCGACGATCCTGCATCGCTTGAGCAGAACGTCCCGTCTTGGGTACCGAACTGGCCGTCGGCGAATCCGCCTCAGCCTTTGAGCATACCTTCCATGTTTGTGGCCAGGGGCGGGAACAGAGGATACGCCTACTCGACAATGCCGGGTTCCACTCAGAACCTGTCGCAGGCCTTCTCCGCCGATAACCGGCTGTCGTTGGACGCTCTGCAGCTGGACGATGTCGTGAAACTGGGAAACCCGTTCCCCGAGACGGACGACTTTGCCGACGACACAGCTCGCGTCACCGCTCTCAGGCTCTGGCTTCAAGATCTCGAGGCCATGATGCCGTGCACCAACCGGGTATATCGGACCACAGAAGATCTCAAGGAGGCCTTTTGTAGGACTCCGATTACAGATCGCGCGTTTGCTTACAACTGGGAGACGGATAGAGCATCGAGCGAAACCCTCTCGGCGTACCATGCCCTTAGATCTGGCGAGGTTCTCGAGGGTGTGGAGTATGCCAACATTGCCAGCATCAAACTCCTCCGGAGACGCCCTTTCGTATGCTCCAGCGGGCTTATCGGTCTTGGGCCCATAGGGATGGCCTTTGGTGACTCTGTGTGGACTGTGCCGGGTGCCAAAGTACCCTTGGTGTTCCGTCCAGCTCGCACCAGTGGCTTCTTGGTTATGGGTGAAGCCTACGTGCATGGTATCATGGATGGTGAACTTCGGCATCTGTGTCCAACGGCCGAGCTTCAAACTGTAGAGCTTGTTTGAGTATAAAGGCACGTCATCAAAACTTTCTTCTCCAATACAGTTGAAGTCGTTGGTTTCAGCACGAGAACTCTTCGCCCGAGACATGCAGAACATGTAGGCTAGGGCAGTTCAGGGCTACTTATTGCATGCTCAGCATGGGAGGTCCGCCAGAATACCGCCGCTTATTCCATTAACACGCATCGGGCCAGTTGGATCCGGCCTCCCTTCTCTCTACGACTCATCCTCGATTCATCCCGACGCAGAAGCACCCCTCTTCTGATAGCCTTTGACTATGCGCCTCTTAAATTTTGAGAGTCATTAGCACATGATCGCGAGGTGGGGTTGAAGGCAGCTTGTAGACATGGTGCTCCAGAGAATTACTGCACGATGAGGTTGCCAGAAGAAAACTAACGTATTCTCTTGATGGCAAAGGTTGGTCATTATGGCATCCCGTTCCGAGTTTGACGACCTGCTCGCCAACGGCATCACCCCGTACGTCACCCTCTGGGGCATGCCTACGTGCGACACAGCAACGACGTCAACAACCACAAGAATAGCATCCAGCAGTTCGATAGTAACAAGGAGGGCGTGCCGCACGGTCCGGAGAGGGACACGTACTGGTTGTGCTCGATGCCGTGGGGTGGGCGAAGCCGCTCCGCTGGACCTAGGACCGGTACTGCCTACCCATCTACATCACGCACAACAGCACGACGGCGCAAGGGGAGCACGGCTGGAGGCCGGACGACGTGCTCGAGGACCAGTTCTGGGTCGACTTCTCCAACGCGTACCTGACCGAGGCCGCCAAGGCCCCGCAAGGGAGCCGTCGTAGCACGTCGTACTTTGGCTGAACCTTCACCGACAACTAGGAGGCCGGCACGAGGTGGAGCACCATACAAGCAAAGCTATTGTGGCGCCATGCAATGAATGCCTCGACAAAGCCGCACACAACACACGCATCCACTTATACATACTGTTTCCATCAAAAACGCATCTGTCCAGCTTGTGTGATTGCGACTGACAAAAAGCAGCTGTAAACAGCATAGAGAATAGTGATATAGAGATTCAGAAAGCAAAAACAACCAGAATATGCCTCGAGGGCGAATCGAACGCCCGATCTTCTCATTACGAGTGAGACGCTTTACCACTGAGCCACCAAGGCTTTTTCAGATCCTTGCGACTTTTGGCGATCTTGTACATCATGATGCTGTAGCAAAACTGTGATGGATACCAGAGGGTATGCTGCTGTGGTACGTGGCCGCGCGTGTCGAATCATTGGGGGGCATGGCTTGCAGAGGACAGCTCCAACAACAGCACATTCTGTTTGATGGCCACGGTGCAAGGGAACGGAGGGCCTAAGCTCTACTTCCTCAGTGAAAGTAAAGTTGTGGGAGTGGGTGAATGAGATGGAGGCGTGATACACATCTCTCGTCACATATTCTCATAATATGCCAAGTTTCGGGAGTTGGTTATGATAAGAACTTCAGGCCAGGGTGCGCCGGCGTTTTGAATATGCGGCTACATTATGCCACCTTTAAACTAGATTAAAAGCTAACTAAACGAATCGCTTCCTCCCTCATCATTGACTGCATTGGTCAACTAGTTCTGTGACGCTGCAGCCTCGGTGACCTTGACCCAAAAGTTATCCTGCATGTGAAGGTTGAAGTTTACGCTGTGCCACGGGTTGCCGGGGTTCATGACCTGAAAGTCAAAGTTACGAAGAAGCTAGGCAAGGTCACATCAGCACGGCTCGCTCACAAACAAGATGAAAAAAAGGTCGGGGGACGAAAGCCGCGGACAGGTGCTCACCTCAACGTATATCTTGTTCAGCTCCATGAAGGCCACGCTCTTGCCGGCGCAGCCCCATCTGCCGTACCCGAACGCCAGCTCGGTCGTCTTCTGCATCTTGTCCCTCGCCGCCTCGTCCGCCTCGATCCACCGCTCGGGGCGGAAGAGGTCCGCGTCCTTTCCGAAAACATCAAACCGGCGGAGGGTGCCCCAGAAGTTCTGCGCGATGCGGGTGCCGCCCGGGATGAACTTTCCGTCGATGGTGTCCCCTTCAGGGGGCACCTCTTTGGCGCAGAGTCCTGTGAAGGGGGCGTTCATGCGGAGACCCTCGTAAATGACGGCCTGCCAACGTCAGGATCCGACAAGTATATGACAAGGGCCTCTGGAGTACGGAGGCGGAAGAAAAGGGGGTCGTACCTGAAGGTATGGGAGCTTCTTGCCCTCCTCGTATGTGATGGGGGACGAGATACGGCCCTCGGCGATGGCGGTGGCAATCTCTTGCTTCAGAGTGTTGTATGTGCGCGGTGAAGTCATCGTGTACAGGAACGTCGTGCGGATCGCGGTTGCAGTCGTGTCGGAGCCGGCAATGATCTGGAAGAGGACTTCTGTCTCGCACTCGGTTTGGGTGAGTCCATGGCGGACGAAGGCGCCCTACAGGATTTTCTTTTCAGCGCTGGATTTGTCCAAGACGGGCATGATATCTTACCAGCATGTCGCGCTCTTCCTTGGCATCCGGGCCAAACCGCTTTGCGACCACCTCTTTAGCAACTCTGTCATGTCACCCTGTCAGCATAGTCCCCCCCCCCCCCCCCCGTCAATCCATTACACAGTCGTCAGAACGCACCCCATCAGTTTGCCCAGCCCGCTCTTGTCCGTATGCTTGGGTCCCACCGTGCCCAGGACGGCCTTGGAGAATACAATATCTTGAATGAAGGGCACCTCGCTGCAAAGCTGCAGGTAGGGGATTGTCGCTTCCGTGGTGCTGATGTAGTCGTGAACGTCCGAGTCCGTGGCGAGGTACCCAAACTCCTTGCCGTAGGCGAGCTTGGTGATGGTGTCGAGGGTGAAGTACTGCGCGACCTTTCCCATGTCCATCGGCTTGACGTCGTCGCCGGCGGTGATGTACTTTCTCCGGACGAGGTCGACGAAGTTGGCGATCTGCGCATCGATGCCGTCCTCGAGCGTGGGGTTCTCCTTGCCGGCGTAGCCGCCCGCGCACTTGGCCTTGAGCCTATCGTGGGCGCCGACGTCCCGCAGGCTGAACATGCTGTCCTCGTGGGGGTTCAGCTTGGTCGAGTCGTACCACGACGAGCGGCCATACGTGGAACGGACGGCGTTCATGCGGCGGAGGATGTCCGGGTCGTCGGTGACGAGGTCGTTGGGGCCGATGCGCACGAGGGGGCCGTGCTCGCGGTTCAGTTTGGTGAAGTGCTCTCCCGGTTTCCCGGAGCGGGCGTTGGACATGAGCCACAAGTAGGAGAACTTGCCGACGAGCGGGCCGGGGAACCCGCGGAGGCGGTTCCAGGCGATGGCAGAGGAGACGACATAGTAAACAACTAATGCGGTGACGAGGTACCAAAGCGCCGAACCAGCGCCAAGGGCTGACGTGAAGCCAGAGAGAGCCATCATGCGTCCTTGAGTCCTTGACCACACAGGAAAGTACTGAGTAGGAGGGAGGGCCGAAGGACAGTAAAAATGCACTAGGCATTCAACACGCAAAGGAGGCTCTCCTCCTTTTTAAACAAGCAGGACAAACATGAAATTCCCCTGCCTCTACGAGCAATATCATTTGCCACACCACTTCCATGGTAGGTATAGCGGGTTGGCATATGCTGGCTCGCCTCTTGTTACATCGCCTCGGACAGCGACCGGATTCTCGGTGATGATTATTTCTGCTTCCGTACCGAGATACCAGGGTCGGCGAATAGTGGCCCGGCCCGCAGCCATATGAAATCGGGCATCATAATATCAATGACCAGGGTAATTTTCAAAAACATCCCGCGGAGTAGTGCCGGCTGAGGCATCTGATACCGTAGCCTAATGAACCCGATGGCGCCAATCACGTTGAGATTACATCGAAACGTTGCTGCAGACCGTCGGATTTGCGACTGGGGGCCCTACGAGACACGCCAATGATCGTCGGGCATCTTCGCAATCACGCTGAAGAAAAGAGGATACCTCCGATATTTCCACCGCCGTCTCCCCAACTTTGTCTCCCCAACTTTGTGCGATGGTACACGTGCTGTAAGGTTGTACCACTAGCTTGACGTAATCACTTGCATCGTCGGCATGTGACATGCCTCTTAAAAGGAGTGGGCGAGATGCTCACAACACGTGTTACTCCTGTAGTGTCGTGGATGAGGTGCTAGAAGGGCAATGAGAGGGCCAAGTCTCAACCCCATCGCCGAAACACCAAAGGTACTTATACTTTAGACCCTCGGCGTTAAGAAATTCAAAAGTACGTCTTTTACATGCCTTTTTAGGCGTATTGTAGTGTTACAGCACTTTCTGATGATGATAGTAAGGGTATATATAGTAGTAGGAAAGTGGTGTGTTGTGTAAGAACGAGCGGCCTTTTTTTCCCACCCGAGTGAAGGGGTAACAATGTGACGACTCACAACGAATGGGTAGATGACCCACGTAGGGTCCATAAAATGAGTAAATAGCGGAGTAATAACTGGGCTACTATTGGTCGAGATAAGGAACGCAGAGAGCCCGGAGGAAGACGGATTTTGTAATTGACCCAGCATATACAGACAAGCCGCGGGACGAGGTGCAGTAGTTTGGGCCTCCAACAAGCCGAGGTGGGCGAAAGATGGAATGATAGGGGGAGGAGTACTCCGTAGGTGGAGGCAGCAAAGATGTACGGATAGTGAAGCTATGGATCCCCTCATGGAACCCGTAGGCACACAGCCCTCTCTTTCGACCAAGAGAGCTCAAACATGCAAGTTTCTTCGTGGCCGAGTTCCTCGACCTCTGGATCGCCCGGTCCTCAATCTGTCTGTAGAATATACTTGGGCCATTGTTAAAGAGCTCCGTGGGTGTTTATACACTGTCGTCTACACGTATTATACATCGGTCTGTCCGTCCGTTCGTCTATCCGTCGCAGCGGGATCCGCTGCCCGCGAGAAAGAGCCAGCACTCAGGGAGCCTTGGTACGCAGTTGGACGCCGTGCCACTCCTTCATCATGTCGCCCAGCACAGCGTTGACCATGCGCTGCTGCCTCAGCATGTTTGCGCCCTTGAACTTGGCCGATGTGATGTCAATGGCGTACATGGAGCCGCACCCGCCCGACACGTCCTGCACGATCAGCTCCGAGGGCGCGAACTCGGCAACCAGTTTGTCCCATATCGTCGACTCGGCGGCGTCGAGGTGGTCGGGCTTCTCGAGGGCTGGCGAGGTGGGCGTCGTCTCTGAGGAGTAGCACCGTCTCAGGCTCTTCTGGATGTTCTGGAGCGGTGATGGAGCTGTGAGGGCATGGTGCGAAGTGGTTGACCGAGTCGTGAGAACAACCCGAGAGGAGTATTCTCTTGTCGCGAACGGGAGGCTTGTGACGGAACCTCTGGCGACGATGTTGCTGGTCGAGTAGGTCTTGGAGACAGCCACCACGCGGCGACACGACCTGCAGATCATCTTGGCGGGTGTTAGAGGTGGGATCGTGGTATCGGTCTAGGTAGTTTACAGGAGCTGTGTTGTCTCGATCTACAGGTATCGCGTCTCTTGGTCGTCGCCGTCGATGACTGATCGCTCGCCAAAGAGAAAAGTAATGGAGTGATTAGATAAGCGGAAAGCTCTACCTCATTCGTGATTAGGTAAGCTCGGCTCGATCTGCAGCGACGGCCGAATACTATGCCGAGGTTTAGCCGACCCACCCGCTTGCCTAGCAACGTGGGTATCCCACCGCGCTCGGCGTCGTGCACGGTGTCTCACTCAAGCAGGATGTAATTATCAAAGCCATAATTGTATGAGTCTCATCGTGAGAACCAGCAGTGTTGAATCGTCATTCATCTTACATACAACATACAACATACAACAAACGCAATTAAACACACGTACACACACATATATAGACACATGTGTAAATACAAACACAAACAAAGGCACAGACACACACAGAGACAGACACGCCCAAACAGTCTAGGCGCATCTGCAAACAACTGATCCTATGCGCTGGTATCCCACCTGAAGTTGGTGTGTCGGTAGTCTGCCGCTACACACTCACTCGAAAGCAGGCTAACTCACATTTGTAGTCTTACCCCGAGTCCAGGGGCTTCATGCAAGGGCTTATTTTCACCGTGACGACTTCGTCCCACTCGGCTCTCAGGCTTCATATACATAAGGGCCACCAATACAGGCCACTTTAGACGCCGGAAAAATATCATCTGCATCTCATGTTATGCTGGCCTAAAACTATTCCTCGGCCAGATTCATCACCCGGCACTCAACCCAGTTCGAGACTGCCGTCCTCCCTCCTCCCCTCCTCCCCCCTGTATCCCCCGCATTCTTCTCCAATGAGTTACCCCGGATGGTAAAGGCTGGGGTTCTGGCACTAGGGCGCTGAGCGCGATGAAGCTCCTTTTGCGGTGTTGCTAATTTCCTCCAATCAAAGATCTGTCCGACAAACTTCTTGGGTCGTGGTATGGCGATTGAGCGCATCAAGCAAGCCAAGGTGCCTGCGGTGCTACTACGCTGGAGAGGGCGTATAAAATGCTCTACATGAGAGTAGGGACGGGCCGCTTGGGTCGGCGAGGCAGCTTACTTCTGTCTCTTCCTCCTTCTCCGTCTCATGGCTCGCTTGTGTTATTTGCTTGCGGCGGCCTCGGCCTGTCTCGGGGCAGCCGCAGCTCGGGAACCTACGGCCCAGGTCGTCAACGGCACTTACCAGGGCCGTCATCTGTCAGAATGGGATCAAGATGCCTTCCTCGGCGTCCCCTTTGCGCAGCCTCCGGTTGGTCAGTTGAGATATCGTTGGCCCCAAAGCCTCAACTCATCCTTTGACGGAGTGCGAGACGCCACCCAGCAAGGGTATAGTTGTATGCAGTTCAGGGGCGACTTCAACGTGTCGGAGGATTGCTTGACACTCAACGTTGTCCGGCCGGCCGGGGAACACAAGAAACCGCTTCCTGTCCTGGTTTGGATATTCGGCGGCGGCCTGTATACCGGCTCCATTGTAAGATACAAAAACCCTCTCCCTGCTCGAGGCCTATCACTAAGACCTCGACGTCTCTCAAGGCCGACCCGCAGTACAACCTCTCGGGCATCGTCAAAGTCAGCCAAGACATGGGCCAGCCCATAATCGGCGTGGCCATGAACTACCGTCTCAACATGTACGGCTTCCTGCAGACACCGCAGATCCTCGCCGAAGGGTCGAGTAACGCCGGCCTGCTCGACCAAAGACTGGCGCTCCGATGGATCCAGGAGAACATTGCGGCGTTCGGCGGCGACCCGGACCGGGTGACGATCTGGGGCGAGAGCGCCGGGGCGCAGAGCATCGCCTACCACCTCTTCAGCTATGACGGCCGCGACGACGGCCTCTACCACTCCGCCATCCTCGAGAGCGGCGGGCCGACCGGGGCCCAACTCCAGAATCTGGCGTACTACAACGCCCCCGTCGAGAACCTGACGCGGTCCGTCGGCTGCTGGACCGCCAAGGACCAGCTGGCCTGCCTCCGCGGCCTCAGCCAGGCGGACCTCTTTGCGGGGAACCCGAGCCAGGTGTGGAACCCGATGGTCGATGGGGACTTCTTGACGGGCTATCCGAGCCAGCTGATGCGCAGGGGCAAGTTCGTCAAGGTGCCGCTGCTCACGGGCGCCAACGATGACGAGGGCATCAACTTCAACCCCAACAGCCCCAAGCCGAACACGGGGGTGGACCTCTTCAACGGTTTCGCCTACTGGCGCTCCTACGGGCTCTCGCCACCAACGGTCCGCCGGCTACTAGAGCTGTACCCCGACGACCCCTGCGCCCAGCCGCCGCTCTCTATCACGGACTGCTCCGTGTATCCCGAGTACGGCCTGCAGTGGAGGCGGGGCGCCGCCATCGGCGGCGACCTGGTCATGATCTCGGGCCGGCGCAAGATGTGCGAGCTCTACGCCGGGCTGACCGGGGCCGACGCCCGGCCCGTCTACAGCTACCGGTTCGACCAGCTGCTGTGGGACCGGACGCGGCTCGAGGGCGTGCGGCACTTTGACAACGTCGCCTTCAGCTTCCAGAACATCTCGGGCCTGCTGGGGCCGTCCCCGCAGTTCGACAGCCACGCGCGCTTCGCCAGGGCCATCGGGCAGGCCTACGTCCGATTTGTCCACGAGCAGGACCCCAACCCGCGGGGGGGCGGCAACGCCACGTACACCAACGCCACCGGGTTGCTGCCGTTCTGGCCCAAGTACGACGTGAGCGCCCCGAAGAACATGGTCCTGAACGCCTCCGGGAGCTTCGTTGAGGATGACACCTGGAGGAAGGAGGGCATAGACTTCATCAACAGCTACGAGGTGGCGAGGGAGCTCCTTGCATGATGGGCTGGGCTGGGTGGCATTGAGTGTTCTGGAATACCCGGCAAGTGCGGAACCACACCAAGATACATAACCAAGGCGGTCCCCCGTAGGGCGGAACCATGCGTAGTTGAAAGAACGTGTGTGAACTGCAAAAAGGCGTCTTAATAAGCAAGGCTTTAATTTAAGTATGGCGTTCTCCCGATTCTAATCTCCGTACTCCGGTGGAGCCTATACCGACCCCGTGAGTTCGGCCATTCGGCCAAGATGACAGGGCAGATGAGTTCCTCCGTACCTGTGATGCAACGCAGCAACCATCACACCACACCGCTGCTGCCCAGCCGGCCATCGACGTCGGCCCCTTTCCCGAGGCGCGTTATCACGGTGGCATCCGCCGACCTGTAAGGTACTGCCCCTCGCTTGGTTTGCTCTCAGGGGACTCCGGGGAGCCGGGTCGGGTGACTATAAGGAGACCATTGGCATGCATCCGACGGCGTGTTGTACAGTCACTAGTACCAGAGTTGGCACCTTGGCATGGCCGGGACTCGTGGGGCTGGTTATGTGCTTTGGGCACAAATCACGAGAAGCAAACATGTGCTTCATGACATGAGGCGCACAGCGTCTTGGCCATCAAATCCAGCGCCCCCGGCCTCAATCAGACGTACACGAGTCGGTAGGTTCAACTTAGATATGGTTCCTGTAATCTATAACAAACGACTGTCGTGATGCGTCAGATGAACGCCCTTTCTTCGAAAACGCAAACTGCGCAAAAGCACAGTCGTGGTGTGGCTTGAATGCGCAGTACGAACGATGCTTTTCAGAAGCCGCTGTGTGTTGTTGGACAGGGTTTCGGCCCATTCGAGATTTCGAGCGGTTTTGCCTTTCGTGGCCCGAAGGGACCTCGCAATTAATGCTCTGCAACGTACGGAGTATTATATTTTGATTTTCCTAATAGACTCCACCGTCATTTAGTCAAGAAAGGGGTCACGTTGTCTGGACAAGAGTCAGTTGAATTGAACCATTTGTAGTTTAATCTGCACGGCTTTGCTTGGCGGCGACGCGGTTCAATAAGGTTATTACTGCGTCTTTCTGTATATTAAGCATATTCCGGTATGGTCTTTCGTTCCGAAACTATAGAACCAGACGGAGGGCCTGCATCTCATGAGTCTTCTCATCACCAGTTCAACGCAGCTTCGGTCGAATTGCAAATAGGTTTTCCGTAGGTGGCGTATACTCTACTCCTGGCAGAAATATCAACTTCCCCAGCCGGTATACTCCGTAGTCCGTAGCACCCAGCAAGGCCGCAAATCCCCCTTGCGTATCCGTACAGATACATATCATAACAAAGTACGGATAGGCCCCCCCCTTTTAATCTGATAACAGGGAAGAGGGGGCCAGTCCCAATGCTGACAGAGTCGTTGGACGATGATGGCCCGGGCGTATCAGTATGGGGGCCCCGTTAATGTTCCTGGTTATTCCCGGGGGGGCCGCAGACCGATCAAAGTTCAGAAAGGATAGCTCAGACAGACATGCATAGTAGTCGACCTCAAGGAGCGGATATTGTTCCTTGTCTTTCTCATACGTAATGATAAAACCCCCCAAAAATAACGTCTGCTGCACTCGACCGCGTCGAGCCAGAAACTCGAACGGCATCGGCACCCGGGCGATATCCAGCGTTGCTTGGCATCAACGCTAGCATCCCATACACCTTTCTGCGCCCCGTTCTAGAACCGGGGGTGGCCACTGGGTTATCTACTTTTCGACAGGTGAATCGGACGAGGAAGAGGGAGGGATGGAGGGGCACAGCTACGGAGGAGCGAACTCGTGCAACATCGGACGACAGGTAAACCAAACCCAAACTGCATCTATGCCTGTCTTCTATAGCTTGTCTTCCATAGTAATTACCTACTCAAAGTAGGTAGTACTACCTAACTAGGTAATTAAGCATTAAGTCTCTTTGCTAAGCCCCCATCGCTTCTCCGCCTCCCTCGCCTTCCCCATCACTTTTGACTTTCGGCCTTGTTCTCGCTTGAGTCGAGTGGAGGAGGCATGACACGGGTGGACAGGACCGTCTGGCGGGGATCAGAAGCTAGCAAAAGGCCCTCGGTGTTTGCACATCTCCTGCCCAAAGTGAATAGCTTCGGCCGGGATGCCGACTCGCCTCCGGTCCACAAGTTGCTAATGGGCGGTTTATTGGCATCCGGCACCACCCACTCGAGAGTTAACCGGTTTACCCGGCCGCCTCCCCCCCCCCCCCCGCGTAGATATTGCCTGGCTACTTGAGTGAGTATACACCCATCTTCAAGTTTCGCGCTCCACTGCACGCGACCTGCGGTTCAAGAACGGCTGCAGCGTTACTGCGTAGAGTTGCCTTGGCCTACCGAGTGCCGTGCCGCCGTCAAAAGTAACCAGCAAGCAACACCCCCTCCCATGGGTTCGGAGACACGGACAGGACAGCGAGAGTTGCATCAAGGAGAATCCATAAGGCGCAATACGCACGTCTAGAAGGCCGATCGTAATGTTCTTCTTGGCACCGGATGAGCCAATACTACATGGTCAGAATCCCTTGTCCAGCAGCAGTCTCCCGACCCGGGCGCCCGCACCTTGGCGACGCCGCGCACTCTGCCGAGGATGCGCATTCCCAAATGAAGGCGTCAGCGATAGAACGCGGCCGGCCAATGTCCTTTTGCCGTCGGCAACTACAGGCCCCTGGCTGTGTCACCACCGGATGTGAGCCGCCCCCTCCCCCTCCCTCGTCCGCCTCCAACGACCCCGGCCTACAGAGACATCTGGCAAAGAAGAGCAAAGTCTAATCTGTTGATTCTTCCAATCGCTCTCCAGCGATAGCGCGGCGGTGACAAACGCGAGCTCGCCACCAAACGAACGAGGGGATGCGAGCTAGCAGTGCTCCCCCCCCTTGTGCATAAGAAGAAGAACCGAGGCCGCGTCTGTCTGGTTCCTGACACGGGTCGGATGCGCCGCCAGGGACTAGGACCGGCCCAGAGGGGCTTGACCAACGACAGACGGAGACACTTGCCCGGAAAGGAAGGCCATCTGGTCGAGACAGACCTCGCGAACGATTCTCCGGGACAAGGGTAGGCCGGGTCAGGTAGTTGGAGCAATTTTACTCCCCCACCCTTGACCCCCGGGACCACCAAACGAGCCTCTCGTTAATGCAGCTCACAATGTACTAGGTGATCGTATGTATGTTGGCCACACTAATATCCGTACGCTGACGAGCATCAAGGTGCTTGTTTCTTCTTGCCGATGCATGGTGAGCCACTGAGTCGTTGTCGTACCGCCGCAGAGGCAACATGTCGCTGCATGCAATGTCCCACGTCCTGATCCTATTCGCTTGTGCTTTGCATACCTATCTATCTATCTACCTATCTATGTCCCTCATACCTGTCTCCCTGTTCGTCAACGGACCCCCTGGACGTGCCACCGCGTTTGTGCATCCACAGTTCCCATCCGCGTTGGTCTCTCTCTCGCCATCCACCTGCCTCGGCGAGCAAGCGTCTGGTTCGGCGTGCACAATGGCCCAACTTATTCCATGACGGCAACGACATGGGAGCCCCGGTACTGTCATTCGTGCTGCCCACTTGATTGGGGACGTCGTTTACGGCCGCTCTCTTCTTCCCCCTCGGTGGGCAACTCCCCGCCGTTGGAAGCTTGGGCTGCATTGCGACGTTATCCTGATGGGACTTACATATAAGTCGAGGCTCCCGGCGCGTCGCTGTCGTGAGATGTTTCCCGTCTCCCCAGCCTCGGTCTCCCTCAGGTCATCCGTCAGCCAAGCACCATGGTCAGAAGCAGTCTCTTGCTGCCGCTCGTCGCGGCGGCATCCGCCGTCCAGGCCTACGTCCAGTCCCCCAAGACCGTCGCCGGTGCCTTCATCGTCGAGTTGGAGGATGGTCAGGTTAGTCGCTTCCTAAGAGTACGACGCAAGAGAGAGCTCCCTGGCTAACCATTCCGTTCCCCCAACCAACAGGATGCCTCGGAGTTCCTCGCCAAAACCAAGGCTGACGCCGTCACCCGTATGAACCTGAATTTCACTCTTTTCAAGGGCGCCTCCATCCAGTTCAACGACCTGGACACGGCCGACGCCAAGGCCGCCCAGCTGGCCCAGCTCCCCTCGGTCAAGAACATGTGGCCCGTCCGCACCTACGGGATCCCCGACTCCGAGGTCGTCTGGACGGGCACACAAGGGCGCGACTACGTCGACGTGAAGAAGCGCCAGCTCGGCAACGACACCTTCTCTACCCACGTCCAGACCCAGGTCGACAAGCTCCACCGCAACGGCGTCACCGGCAAGGGCATCAAGGTTGCCGTCATCGACACCGGCATCGACTACCTCCACCCGGCCCTCGGCGGCTGCTTCGGCCCCGGCTGCCTCGTCAGCTACGGAACCGATCTCGTCGGAAACAACTACGACGGTTTCAACGAGCAGGTCCCCGACCCCGATCCGATGGATTGCGGAGGCCACGGAACCCACGTCGCAGGCATCATCGCGGCCCAGTCGAACCCCTTTGGGTTCCTCGGCACTGCCCCCGGCGTCACGCTCGGTGCTTACAAGGTGAGAGGACAGCACAGTATCATCCTTGGGGGGGATCACTCGCTCACGTGCTCTTGAACAGGTCTTTGGCTGCGAGGGACAGGTCGGCAACGACGTCCTGATCGCCGCCTACAACCGCGCCTTTGAGGAGGGCAGCAACATCATCACCGCCTCCATCGGCGGGCCCTCGGGCTGGACGGACGAGCCCTGGGCCGCCACCGTCTCGAGGATCGTCGATGCCGGCGTTCCCTGCACCGTCTCCGCCGGCAACTCGGGCGACCAGGGCATCTTCTTCGCCTCCACCGCTGCCAGCGGTAGGCACGTCACCGCCATCGCCTCGTTCGACAACGCCGTCACCCCGGCTCTTCTCATCGAGAACACCTTCACCGTCGCCGGTGGCGCCCCTAGCACCTTTGCCTACACCCCCGGCGAGCCTAGCGAGTGGGCCGGCGTTGAGCTCCCCCTCTGGGCCATCACCACCGACTCTAGCTCCGACGCCGCCCTCGGCTGCGACCCTTACCCGGCTGGCACCCCCGACCTGAGCGGCAAGATCGTCCTCGTCAAGAGAGGCGTCTGCACCTTTGTCGTCAAGGCCCAGAAAGCCGCTGCCGCCGGCGCCAAGTACATCATGGTCTACAACAACGTCCCCGGCGCCGGCTCCGTCAGCGTCACCGCCGTCCCCGAGATCCTGGCCATCGGCATGACCACCCCCGACCAGGGCGCGGCATGGCTCAAGTCCATCGCCGCAGGCTCCGAGGTCGTCCTGAAGATGACCGACCCCGAGAAGGCCGAGCAGATCCTCACCCAGTCCGTCAACACCGCCACCGGCGGCTACGTCTCCAGCTACAGCTCTTGGGGCCCCAACTGGGACGGCCAGCAGAAGCCCCAGTTCGGCGCCGTCGGAGGCAACGTCCTCTCCACGTACCCCAGGGCCCTCGGCTCCTACGCAGTCCTCTCCGGCACGTCCATGTCCTGCCCCCAGACCGCCGGTATCGTGGCCCTGATCGCCGAGGTCCGCAAGACCCTGGACCCCGCCACCATTGAGAACCTCCTGTCCGCCCACGCGAACCCCGTCAACTTCAACTCCGGCAGCGGCCCCGAAGGCCTGCTTGCCCCTGTGTCCCAGCAGGGCGCCGGTCTCGTCCAGGCCTACGACGCCGCCTACTCCACCATCCTCCTCAGCCACTCTAGCCTCTCGTTCAACGACACGGACAACTTCATCCCCGAGCTCAACTTCACCATCAAGAACACCGGCTCCGCGGACGTCTCGTTCGACCTGAGCAACGTCGGCGCCGCCACCGCCTACACCTTTGAGACCGCCGGCGACTTGACCCCCGCCCTCTTCCCCAACAACCTGACGGCCGAGCACGCCACCGTGGCCTTCAGCGAGAGCAAGGTCTCGGTGCCCGCCGGCGGCGAGGCCACCATCCTCGTCACCCCTACCCCTCCCACCCTCGACGCCGCCCGCCTGCCCGTCTGGTCGGGCTACATCGCCATCAACGGCTCCGACGGCTCCAGCATGTCTCTGCCCTACATGGGCATCGGCGGCAGCCTCCACAGCCACGTCACCATGGACGAGGCCCTGATGACCACCTCCACCAGCGCCACGGCCGCCGAGTACGCGCCCGTCGCCAGCAACTACACCTACGTCCTGCCGCCTCCCGGCACCGCCAACAAGACCGACGCCGTCGTCCCGGCCCTCGCTATCGACATGGTCTTCGGCTCCGCCCTAGTCCGCGCCGACCTCGTCCCCCTCACTACCTACCCCCCCAACATCACCCACAAGGTCTTCGGCACCAAGACCCTCGGCCAGCCCCGCTCGTTCCCTTACACGTACACCTCCCGCGGCGTCTTCGCCGTCAACTGGGACGGACAGATGGACGACGGCAGCTACGCCCCCGCGGGCAAGTACAAGTTCTCCGTCAAGTCCCTGCGCGTTTTCGGTGACGCCTCCAAGTTGGAGGAGTACGACGTCGCCGAGACCCAGCCTTTCCGCATCATCTACGGTGCCGCCAACGCGACGGCCCCTGCGAGACACTAGAAAGGGGCTTGTGTGTGTGCGTGTAATAATAATGATGCGTGTCTCTACGACATTACTTTTAATGTAGTTAGCTTATCAAGGCAGAAAAACAATGTCTAATATTCCTTAAACTCCTGCTTCTCCCCCTCTTTGAATACGGTCGTCCTAGGCCCAACTGCCGAACCATGCGGTAACGATGACACTGTTGAGCCCATCATCGTTTTTTTATTATTTTTTTTGCATTATGTGTTTCTAAGGCTAGCTAGCCATACTCAGTCACTTCAACGAGACAAGATATGACGGGCCTACGAGGTGATCAAGCCTTGATGCCCAACACGTTTGTGCTCCATGTGACCGCTTTGTATCCGGGGGACTTCCATCGAGCATGACGTGAGTTCGAGCACATGACTCTCCAGGTGAAGCGGGACTTGCTGCCCGTCACAGGAAAGCCAGCCTACGATCGTCAACACAGGCTTGCGCAGACTAACTAGGCAGAAAAAGCATCAGCATCCATCATCTCCAAAGTCAAGTCTTGGCCACCAGGAAGGGCAAAATAATAATAACAATAATAAAGCTTCGTGCTCAGGCGCGCCAGTGGCGTCTGCCCCAGCCCCCTCTGCTCTGTCATGGTGCACCCTCTCTCCCCCCTCACAATCCACTCCCCCAACGAACCTCGCTCGCAATATCTTAGCTTCAACTCTAATGCCCTAGAACAGAGCCAGCCAGGGACCTCGGAACGGTCCGGTACTCGACAGCGGCAAAAAGAAACAGCATCTACCGAGTTTCAGAAGCGCCTGGCTCGGATCGAACCGGAGGAAGCGGGCGTTTATATCAAAGGTCCGAGCGGGCGAGGGTCTTGCAAGAGCCGCCTCGCCTCCGTCGTCGACGACGACGGAGGCCCGTTGTTTTGGTGTGGCGAAGTGAGGCCGCCTCTCGATTAACTCAGGGTTCGTCCCATGTCCCCCTCTCCCAACTGTGATTCCTCCCCCGCCACCGCTGGTTCGGGAGCAAGTCAGATAGATCATCCCATCTCGCATGCTTCGCCGTGTCAGTTCGCCTCCGCGTTTCTGTCCGACTGTCTGACACATGTCCGTCGCCGGTTCGGGCCAGCCAAAGCCCCAGAGAGAAGATGTGCTCCGTCCGAACCCTCGACGAATCGCATTGTTTCCGGGACACGAAACACACACACACACAGGCTCTCATTCGCCCGAGTTGCCGGCATGCAAAAAGGGCCTGTGAGTGAAGGCAGGGCGAGCAGGTCCATCCATGGCTTGGCAGCGTATGGGAAACATAAACAAAAAACAAAAAGCGCGCAACCCCTCCAGCTCTCGAGCGCGTCTCAACTCTGCTTTCTCTTATGCCAAGAAACTTTTGGTCTCATCTACTGGGGAACCCTTCCCGCTCGCCGCTTAGTCACCGGCCTCGTCGAACGGATGGGCAGGCGATTTGGTCTCGTCAACCGACGAAAAAGACGGGCTCTGCTCTACGGTATCATTAGCTTCCGACCAAATGTGTCAGTCGTAAGAACTGTAATGTAATGATGACGATGGGATTTGGAAATCTTTGTGTCATACTTCGGGGGGGGGGGGGGGGGGGGGGGCATTGAAGTGCATTTGGCGACCTTTTGGGTGTCAAAGTGCCAGGTTGATGCGGTCGATCTGCTTTTCTCGAGATATACACTACTGTCTTACTTTAGGGCTTTAGGATAGCCTTTTTACTGGAAAGTATTGACAGTCGAACTGATATCTGTCGTGAAAACCCGGCTACACGGAGCTATCCCATTGAGTGCCAAGTGACCTCACATAACCCAAAAATGGGTCTATGTAAATAATTACTGACAGCTATTGGACAGTCAGCCTGGATTGCTGTACTCTTATTGGTCTGAGGTTATGTGAGGTCACTCGGCACTCAATGGGATAACTCCCCAGTCGGCACAGTATGAACGTTGACCTAAAACAGATTCACGCAAGTTCCTCCGTTTGGGAACATCAAGTTGAATTTCTTTTAGAAGCCTGCTTCACGCAAGGGTTTTCTTACAAATGGCTAGCTGCGCTAACTTGGTTGCGCAGAGGAAGAAAAAAGCACATGGAGAGGGCTTCTGTCTCTCAGACGTTTCCGAGCCATGTTGCTATATGTAGAACGACAGTCCAATCTTGTGCGTAGGTTCTGCTCTCGGAGGCTATAGTAGACGTTATTTCGACATCGGAAGAGACATCGTCGAGGAGCCCCCCAAGCTTAAAGCAGTGACTAGCGCACATTGTCTGTTTGCGGCGGTCTCTAGCGCGATTGCCGGACTATTTTTGTATCGCGGGCGGCGCGTGCCGGCGTGGACGGTCGGGAGGTCTTCTCATCGGTCGTCTGACCACTTTCTTGATGCAAACATGGCCTGTCCCCCCCCCGGCTTGTCCCGTAAGAGCCGCCAACTCGAAAACGGCGCGACCTCATGCTGGCCCCCTCCGCGGGGCGACGAAGCAGCTACGCAACGCCTCGACGGCGGTTGGCCCCGTTGACGAAGAAGCTGAGCTGGACGAGCACGGCCAGCCAGACGTGACGTCGTCCGGTCGCAGCTCGAGGCTCAGGTGTTGTTGATGTTGCTTCCAGGCGGCGCGGATCACCGTGTGAACGAAGCCGTTCTGGCAGACGGTGACGGCGTCCGCGTCCGACACTGATGTCTCTGGGCCGACTCCCGGGCTTCATCCTCATGCGGCACGTCCCGGGGGGCAAAAGGTTCGGTGACTTGGCTCGTCGAGCGGTGTATCTGCCCGCGGCTTTGTCGTGCGGTCGGATGGTGGAGCCGTGATGCCAGGGACCCCTTACAGCCACCTGTCCTGGCCGCAAATGACGAGCAACGCCGCCCGCCATCCGTGTTCTCTCTCGCAGGCTCCGCTTCCTACATGGACGACAAGGGAGACCGGCGTTGTTGAACATGGAGGCCCTGCCGGGACGTTGGTCGTACGATGTATCCGTATGTATGTACTCCGTATGGTTGGCGGGGTCTGAATCCATCTCGGCAACATCTTGGTGTTCCGCTTCAAGTCAGGAGATGAATGATAGAATGGAACTGATGATGAAAGGCGGTACCCCGACAAGTGTCGGGACGCTAGCATTGTAGTTGATTTGTGACGTTTTATCACAGGTAACTGTTTCCATCTCTTCCATGTCCGAGTAGAACAGCAGGCAACGATGTTATGAACGTTGATTCGCATCCTTATCAAACCAAGCTGAATCAAGCCCCTTGCACACCACTACAAATGACAACCTCACCTCGACAACCTCGCGTGGACCAGACTTGCTCGGTTCAGTTTGACAAACTAATAGCGGTAGTTGGAGTGTCTATATTCATACATCGTAGAAGGTATTATATCCATATCGCATTCTAGGCCCCTTGATAACCCCCGCGGCTTCTGCTGTGGCAGTCGTCGTCTGTATTTGCACCAGAACCACCAAGTAAAAAGAAAAAAAACATAAAAAACAAAGCAACCCTTCAATCTCCGTGATATGTTCAGATGGCCCGTTAGCGCCAGCCCATGGTGTCTTCCTCATCTGTCTCTCCTCCAAAATGCTCTCTGATCCTCCCGTCTACGTGCTTCCACATGTTTCGGTACCCCGATCAACGCAAAGCCATTCGACAAAACCCTTTACTTATTTATGGCAGCATCGCGGGCGATGAACTTCCCGAGCAGCTGTCCTCGTCAACGTACCCCTTCTCGTTGCCCGAGTCGATGTCGCTCTCGGTCGCCCACCGCCCGGGGCACCCGGGAATGTCGCGCTCGTGCTCGCGGTACACCTTCTCGCGGTCGCCCTCCTCCTTACGCTGGCGGAGATTCATCGTCAGGGACGGCGGCTTGGTCGAGATTGGGCCGCTCTTCTTCTGGTCGCGCGTGTCGACGTCGGGCATGCCCAGCTTCATCATCTTCTCCTCGTGCTCCTCCTCCTCCTTGGCGGCCTCGAACATGGACCGCAGCAGGTCGGCCCTCTCAGGTGTGCGGATGATGGTGTCGAACTCGAAGGGGGCCGGCTTGGCGATCAGAAGCGGGGTGTAGTCGTTCCAGTGGACGGGGACCTTGGTACCATCGGCGTTGCGCTTGTGCTGGATGTTGAAGGCCCAGGCCATGCCGCCCATGGTCAGGAAGAGATCCTGGTCGACGATGGGGACGCCTTGGCAGGTTCTGCGGCCGAACCCAAACTGGCTGAATCCGTCGAGGGCGGGGAAACGGGTGAGAGGCTCCTTGTAGGTCGGGTACTCGGGCAGCAGCCAGCGGCCGGGGTTGAAAGACTCGGGGTCGGGGTACATGGATTCGTCACGGGTGATGCCCCTTGGCAGTCGTTAGCTCGGACCAGTTGGCCGGGAGTGAACTCTATACTTACCACTCAAGAGCGTGAATGGTGGCGCCCGCGGGGATGAAGTAACCGTTGTAGACGTCGTCCTTCTCAAGCGCGTGGGGAATGCCTGCGAACCAATGTCAGCCAGCCGAACCTCAGAGCAAACGCCTCACCACGCCACCGACGGACTCACCAGTAGGGACAGGGGGTCTCCAGCGGATGACCTCCTTGACGACGGCTCTCAACATGGGCAGCTTCTCACGGTCCGCCCACTGCGGGCATTTACCTCCGCAGACCTCGTCGATTTCCTTTTGCAGCTTGGCCTGCCACTCGGGGTAATGCAGCATGGCGAGGAGGAAACTCTGGATGGGGCTGCCGATGGTCAGAGCACCGGCGATGGCCATGAGACCGACGACGTTCTGGGCCTCGTTGAGATCGCCCCATTTGCCCTTCTCGTTGCCAAGGCCCTCGGTGATGAAGGTGCTGATGAAGCTCGGTTGCGCGGTGCCCTTTTCAAGCTGGTCCTTGACGTACTGAACGTTGCTGGTGAACTGCTTCGACTCAATCTCGTGGCGTTCCTTCTCCTTCTTCTTCCACGGCGACAGCGCAGCTGGGACGTGCATGAGAAAGGAGACGACGTTGGGAAGAGCACCGGCGGGCGAGATGGTTTCAAGCAGGCCAAAGGTGGTCTTGCGCAGGATACGGGCGGGGTGGGCAGAGCCCCAGGAGAGACGGCTGACAGTACGGCTGGTGAACTGCTCAATGTACTCGCGATACTCACTGGGCTTCTGGTACAGCAGCCACAAGAAACGATCACGCTCGCGGGTCGGGTAGTCGTGGAGCTCCTGCTTGTCACTCTGGTTCATGAGGTGGTGGCAAAGCTTGCGCTGGCGCTTCCAGGTTTCTATACGGATTGTCAGTCAGCGCCAACAGGAAATCTTTACACGGGTACGCGTACCTGTGCGGCCGAGGAGGGCGAGGTAGTCGCCGCTCGTCCTATTGTCCGGAAGGTTGGGGATCATGGGCCGGTCAGAGTAGATGATATTGCGGCGGCCGAGGAGGTCGTGGGCAACCTGCTCCGAGGAGATCCAGATGTGGACGGAACCGAACATCTCTTGCTGGTAGATGGGACCATACTCCTTGCTCCACTCGTAGAACTTGAGCCAAGCCGCCTCAGCTGGTACATCGTGAACACGTCCGATGAGAGGGAGACCTATAGTACCATGAGCCACATGTCAAGATACAGTTTGTCAACAATGTTAAGATAAGGCCACGTACCCTTGGGCCCTGGGAGAGGCTTCGCCCCCTCAGGAAGCTTGCTCTTGAGCTTGATGGCAGTGTACAACCGCCATGCGCAGAAGACGATGAAGGCGAGAAGAGCCACGCCTATGGCCATGATGAGAGGGCAAGTGGATTGCACAGATATAAAAAGAGGAATCAACCCTCAACGGTGTAAGGAGGGGGGGGGATGAAGAAGCGAAAATTCCAAAGACGTCAAAGGTCGGGGTTGAAGGGGAAAAGAGTAGAGAATAAGTCCTATTGTTGCAGGAGAACAGAAACTAGAAGAACCGGGATGACGGACCTCGAGGGTGTGCCTCTCAGCTGTTATTAAGAAGAGTCAGGGCCGAGTTGAGCCATCCGGTCATGGGCGCCCGAGCGGGCCGATGGGGAACGGCCAAAACGGTCCTTTATTCTTGTTGGCTGGAGACATGACTGATCGCTTTTGGGCATAGGTACTCCGGATTCCCCAAGCGCCAATGCCAAATTCTTCCACATTGCCAACTCACTAGATGGTGGGTGGATGTGCAACAGGCGACGGCAGCGGAGGCAAGCATGTCAGACCGACCACATTATCTTCCGCCAAGTCGTCCCTCCCAAGCCCAATGATTGAACGCCCTGAGGCTTGGTAAGGTCCGGGATGAGAGGATTGGTTATCGTATCCAAACATAGCACACCGTGACATGCGGCGCTTGCAGGTCAGCCTTTCCGGTAGCTCGACGTTTTCCCCGTGGAATCGTTCGTTCCTGGCCTGACATGTCGTGGACATCAAACCTCCTCAGCGATTCACGAGATACCCGATTCGCTTCGAGAGAGACACGCCACCCAGAGGGAGAGGGAGAGTGTGAGTGTGGGCGTGAGCAAAGCTTACACAACGCCTCAGAGTATCACCTCCAGAGCTGACGGAGACCTAGCAAATACCGACGCCCGTCCTTGCGTCTTTAGATCCATGTCATCATGGACGTCAGCAGGGGTGTGCCTTGGCTGTTTAGGGCCCAGGGAGATGGTTAGGATATTGGTTGACTGACTGTAAGATGTCTGCGTGTTGCAGCCGCGGGAGCTCCAAGCACAAGGGGAGGGGGCAAAAGATGAGCCGAGTCGCCATCCCGCCGCTGCGAAGAGTGCTGGCCAGGTGTTCCACGTCGAACCCAGTGAAGGGAAAGGATCATCCTGGTCCCACACATGGTCTCATCGTCTGGGCATCTGAACTCGCGCCCTGACATCAAGGGCTTCAGGTAGAGCTGCTGCTGTTTGGTGGGTGCTGGGCTCGAGGCGTCGAGTTCGGGCTCGTCCGACCTCGGCACTAGGTAGCACGAAGCCACTTTGCCTCACAGAGACACTCGCTATGCAGCTAAAACCTTGAACTCCCCTCGACCCCCCCCCCCCCCCCCCCCCATAGTTTCTTTGCAGAGTATCCGTATATGGTACCGAGAAACTGACATTTCTTCTCTGGGAACATTCTAGGCCAGGAACTCCCGCTAGGGCAGTATTTCTGTTTGCCCGGGGGTTTTCTCATAGCTACAAGAGAAGATGCTAAGGCCGAGTTGCGCGATGATCCATGACGGATGCACCGACAACGCCCATGACCCGCACGCAGCCTGGGCGAAATGTCAGTCTCGCTCGGTCTTGACTCAACTTGCTTGGCCTTGGCTGGGAAAATGTAACACAAAAACGAACGGATATACGGCCGCTACACTGTCTTCTTCTTGGGAGAGTCTGGAGGACTTGTGTGATAAAAGTACGTTGACTTGGTCAGCCAACTCTGGATGTGGTGGTCACTAATGTCGATCAACTGCAAGCCACGGCGCCGCTGCGTCCCCTGTTCAACCGGAGTCCAGCCAAGAAGATAGGCGTCAAATAGAAAGCCAGTCAGAACCATCGAACAGCCATCGCAACTCTAGCGTTTGAGCGTATGCAAGATTCGGTGTTTGCAGGGATTAGGACACCCTAGCGGCACCCGAGCGGGACGATCATTTCGTTGGCGCCCAGGGATGGGACTCCCCCACGTAGGTCGCCGAGTGTAAGACAAAGGCCACCCTCAGCTGCTGGTCCGTCGAGGCCACTTCGAGGGAGCTAAGAGGACGCCACCAGGTACAGCCCATGGTAGGGTAGGCGGTCGCACTATTTGCGGTTACCGGTCAAGAGTCTGCTTTGACAGTCCAAGACGGGCCACGCTTTTCCTTCACCTGCAAAAAGGGGTCAGTTTGCTCCCCCAGACGAAACACACTCGTCGCGACCTTGGACCTGTGCAGTGCAGTGCTGTGCTGTGCTGTGCTGTGCTCCAATGTCATGTATACGATCTGCTTTGCTCAGCTCAGCTCTGCTCTGCTCTGCTCTGCTCTGCTTTGCTCTGCTTTGCTCTGCTTTGCTTTGCTTTGCTTGTCGATAGCAGCCCTACTGGGATTGCTGCTGCCGCCACCATGCACCCTCAGTTGTCATTGTAGTCAAGTCTTGGGCCGTTTTTGAGTCTTGTGTATATGTATGTGTAAATGTGGGTATGGGGTGTCTAGTAAAATATAGATCTTGAATTATTCAGCGCTAGTGAGCTGGTGCATGCGAGTCCTGTGTGTGTCCTGTGTCGTTCATGCCGTCTGTCCGACGACGGTGAACGGGGACTTGGATCACACCGAGACAATCGATGGGCTGCTCTCCTCTGCTCGAGGTCGTCTCTTCGTCATACGATGGCGCATTGGCAAAGGTCGCCACGGCGTCGAGCGCCGCCACATTTATGGCTGACAGCTAGTCGCCGTTGTGCCGCCGGCCTAGGTAGGTCGCGGCATCTCCTTCATCGTCACCGCTCATTCATCCGTATTGGTCACTGGAATGAATGCTGTCGGCGCCGTTGACACTAGGCTCACGAAACCTGGCTCCGGTCTTCCGAGCAAGGAGCCTGTATCGAGCCCGCATTTTTCTTCCTCCACTCCTCGCCTCACATAATGGCCTCCGTCATACAGCTGACAATTTACATCCTATTTGGTTGGTCAGCGCTAGGTTTCACGTGCAAGCCAATACCGAGCAGGCGGTATCAGCAGCAGCAGCAGCAGCAGCAGCAGCAGCATCAGCAGAACTCCAGTGGCTGCAGCACTGAAGCAGATTATTATGCAACTCACCTCTCGACAGGGGACAGTCCCAGCAGACGCATGCCGTTGTAGAGCACGGTCCTGGCAGATGAGTACAACGCCAGGCGGGCCTTCTGGATCTCGGGCTCGCTTCCGACAATGCGCAGGACGTCGTAGCTGCTGCTGACAACGTGCGTGAGGCGGAACAGATACGTTAGCACGGTAGTGGGCTCCAACGTCTTTAGCGTGTTCTGGACAACGTCGGGATACTGGCTGACGACGCGGATGAGCTCGATGGCATGCTTCTCCGTCAACAAGCTGAGGTCGGCCTTGACGACCTCTTCTTCCGGAACGCCGGCCTTGCGGAAGATGGAGCACAAGCGCGCGTGGGCGTACTGGAGGTAAGGGCCGGTGTCACCCTCGAACGAGGTCATGGTGTCCATGTCGAACTTGTAGTTGTTGATCCTGTGCAGGTGATATAACGTGTTAGTGCAACCGGGACAGCGGCACGGGGAAAAGCACCGACAACATTACCTCTTTCCGCTCATGTCCTGGACCATGACACTGCTGATGCCAAGGATGTCGGCGGTAGCCTCCGGGTTCTCGACCTGGGAGTACTTGGTCTCGTTCTTCTTCATCACCTCGTGCATCTTGTCTCCTACGTCGCGCAGGATGTCGTCCAAGAACTTGACGGTGCCCTTTCGCGTGCTCATTCCGAGCACCATGCCGAAGTTGATGTGCTGGCACTTCTTTGCCGTTTCGGGGTAGCCCATCAGCTCGATGATCTTGAAGAGCTGCTTCAGGTGCAGATCCTGCTGGGAGGCGACGACGTAAATCATGTGATCAAAGTTGTACTTCTTCTCGCGGTGCAGGAGCTCGCTGATGTCTCGGGTCAGGTACAGTGCTGTGCCGTCCTTCTTCCGGATGATGGGGCGCTCCAGGCTCTTGCCAGCTTTGCCAGGGATGTGCTTGGAGAAGTCAATGATGACGGCGCCCTCCGACTCCTCCGAGATGTTCATGTCCTGGAGCTTCTTGGCCGCGGCCTCCATGTCTTGCTCGGAAACCTGACTCTCACCCGAGTACTCGTCAAAGTGGATGTTGAGGCGGGCGTACGTCTCCTTGTAGCGGGTGATGCTGAGATCACGGAAGCGCCTCCACTGAGCAACGGCAGCCTCGTCGCCGGCGACCATAGCCTTGAAGTACTTGCGGGCCTGCTCGTCCAGGCTGTTGTCCTTGAGGGCGGCGACGTCCTCGCCAGCCTGCTCCTTGGCCGCGATCTGCTCCTTCTCGTCGCTCATGGCAGCGTTGATCTTGACGTAGACCTCGTACAGGTGGTTGATGGGGTCCGCCTTGAGGGCGTCCTCGCTACCGAAGCGTTCAAAGCCCAGGGCCAGGAGGCCATACTGCTTGCCCCAATCGCCGAGGTAGTTGATGCGGGTGACATCCCAGCCGGCGCCGTCGTAGAGGTTGGCGATGAAGCCGCCGATGATGGTGCTTCGCAGATGACCGGCGTGGAAAGGCTTGGCAATGTTTGGCGAGGAGAACTCGACAATGATCTTCTTCTTACCCTGGGAAGGGTCCTCGGGGTTCTTGAGGCCGTTGTTGGGGTTCTTGCCGAAGGCCTGGCCGCGGTTCCGGACCTGGGGGATGAGGAGCTGGGACAGGGGTCCGGCCTTGAACCAGAACTGGAGGAAGGAGCCGTTCTGGAGGGAGATGGGCTTCTCGATCAAGGGGGACTCGGGGAACTGCGAAGCGGTGCAACGTTAGCCAACTGCTCTGGCGGAGGGCGGAGGGCGGAGGACGGAGAGTGGAGGGGAAAAAGCTCGGCGCGTCTGGTATCCTCGCTCGACGACGGCGGAACGTACCTTTTCGAGCCACTCGGCAGTGAGCTCGGCAGGCTTCTTGCCCTTTATGCGCAGGGCAGGGACGGCCAGAACCATGTCACCCTTATCCAGGCTCTGGGTCCACTGCAGAGCATTGTAGATGATGGTCTTCTCGACTCCCGTAACATCGTGGAGCAGCGAGGTGATGTGGGAGCGGTAGATGTCGATTGGGTTGACGTCGGGGTAGCAGCCGGGGAAGGACTCGAGCTTGCCGATAGACAGCTTCTCCAGCTGAACCGTCAGCTGGTCGGCCATTGTCGCGAGATTGGCGGGGGTGGGGTTGCAGGGAGGATTGACGAGAGACGATAGACTCGGGGACGAGGACGAGAAGAGGCGGGAGGCCGGTCGAAGATGGTGGAAGGTCAAAGGCGAGGCTGAAGAGGCTCCTCGGCGAAGGCTGGTGGTATAAACGTGGGCTGAACGAAGTGAAGACGAAGGAGAGAAGAGGAAGCGCGCGACGCTAGTCATTAAGAAACTTGACTGGGTTTTGCCAGGGGTGGACAGGAGGAGGAGAGGGGGATGGAGGGGCAGAAGGGCTTTGTCGCATAGAGGGGGGGAAAAGATGGAAAAAATAAAAATAAAAATAAAAATAAAAATAAAAATTGCGGCTGGACCCCAAGCACTGAGTCACCAGCCCCATTCGTGGCTGTGGTTGGTCATTCACCGAGGCTGAGGATTCCTCACCGAAATGAGGGGTAACAGTGACATCCCAAGGAGGATTGTGCTTAGGTAAGCATCTCAATGCACACCGAGGAAATGTCCCATTGTAGTCGGTGAGTGAGTCGGTGCACTGCGTCTCTCACCAATATATTAACTACTTGATGGTTCCAATTGTCGTCTATTGTTTCCTGAACACTACATTAGTGTATCATGAGATGGCCGATATATGGGGGTGTGACTCAGGAAATTGTTGACTGACTCATAAGCGCAAACTCGTGCAAGACTCATTGTTTCTATAACTGAACTCGACTCTCAGCCTCCCTGGCTGTGTTATGCGTACGTACGTCTTTAGCTTTTTGGTCTTAGGGATATAACATGCTTAATTGCCAAGTAAACATCTTTATGGGCCTGTATGAACCTGTATTTCCCCGACATATGCTTGCACGAACGTAGAAGGCGTCTCCAGGGTCGTATAGGAGCATACGTGCCTTCCAATTCCCAATACACCATTAATAAAGCTCCCACCACTAACACTTCACCATCAGTAGCACTTCAAATCGTATATCACACAACAAAAGTCATATACTATACTGTAAGGTTTAGCAACATACCGTATAATCTTTTCTGATATGCCATACAACCCATTGTTGTCGTAATATCTTTCTTCCTGCCTTTACTGTGGCTCTCTTACTAGTGGGTTGAATTTTGATACTGTTAAACTGATATATTTGTCTGTCATATCGTTGTAACTGGTACTCTGTTGGGCTGGCCTTTTGCATCTGCACTACTTCATACTCCTATCTTACCGCAGTTACAACACAGTATATTTGTTCTCTCCCCTCACGCCAAACATAATACATAGACACAAACAGACAGACAGCCAGCCATTCCTTACTCGGCTCAAGCATGGACTGTTGCCAACACCACATGTTATGCCTCGATACAAAAAAGAAGTAGGCCATCTGTGTTGATTAACATCGAACTTGATGGGATCTGGCTTTTGCCTCTGGCTCGTTCATACATGTAGACCACGAGGCATAATCAACATCCAACTTGTTCTCCTACATGAATGTTCATGCTCCTGTGCTTGCATTCGGACCTAAGGCTAGACTAACCCCCGAGTACTTTCAAGTATACATAGCCATCTGGTCTAGCTCTGCGCGCCTATAGCCTCTCCGACATTATACGGGCTTGCGGAGCGGTGCATCTATGCCATCTATTGCACTGGATAACTGCTACCCGACTACTTTGGCTACGCCAGAACGTGTATGAACACCTTTGAAGGATCTGGTTTCTCTGTTCGGGACTTTCTTCACGACCTCCCTGGCGATTGCCTCACGGCCTGAGTCCGTAGTAAACTTGGCTATTTCCACGAGCAGCGGATCATCATTCAATCGTCTCATCTCTAAAATATATAAATCCCATGAAAACAAGTGGTATTAACCCTCTCCCTCGTCCCCCCGTCATTATACACGTCTAGAAAGAATACTCCTCCACAAACAGGTGGATGCCCTGCGCCCCCGTCCCCTTGTGCACCGCCCTCTCGTCCGACAGCGCGGCCACGCAGTTCCGGACCGAGCTCGTCAGCGGCCGTCCTCCGCACACCACGACCGACGTCTCGCCGCCCGCCGCCTCTACCGGCTCCCTGATGAGCTCCTCGAGGTCCGGCCGGCAGTAGTACTCCCTCACCATGCCCACCATGGAGCCGCTCCGCGGCCGCTGCGTCAGCTGCACCCCGTCCCCTTTCTCCAGGTCCAGCGCGGCTCGTTTCTCTCGACAACAGTCCCCGCCGACGGAGCCGTCGGACGGGTCCCTGCGGTGCTGCGCCGCCGCGGCGGCGGCCGCCGAAGACTCATAGATACTGAAGTGACTGGGGGATTGGATACGCCTTCAGAACCGGCGATTCGTCAGGCGATTTCAGAAAAGCTTTCCGGAATCAGGTCGGCCTAATCTCGCTCCCCGACGGTAGCAAAAATACTGACTGGATCATATTCGCTCTGAATATGTCAGTCGGGATTCATGACCACCATGTAACGCACGTAGGGGGGTGTGAATATGGAGCGCGAAGCCTACTTTGTGCGTGTAACGTCGAGCCTGGGATTCCATACCTGGGCGGCTTGGATGGGAGGGGGGCATCCGGAATTAGGGATGACACATCTATACTTGAGAGGATCCCCGTACCGACTAGCGGAAGGAGCTTGCTGTGCAACCAATTGCGACCTCTAAAGTGTTCAAGCTTTCCACCCCTAATCGAGCCGGTAGGGTCTCCCGTTTTCAATTCTGCGAGCCTAGTCGCTCGGCTTCGGCAGAAAACGAGGCGAGTCCATAAGGTAATCTCTGTGCTGATTCGTGAGCAAACAGGTGAGCCCAAATATGGAAGCAATCCGTCTCTCAAGAAAAATAGCAGCCGCCGCGTGTAAAACTCAATCTCCTCGCCCTGGCGCGCAAGGAGCACGAACTCGACCCGCGTCGTGCAGCCCCGCCGCCGCCGGCCGCTCTGCACGATGCTCTCGAGGATGGGCAGCGTGAACGACGCCCCCGTCGACGCCGAGATGAGAACCATGGTCTCGTAGATGTCCCACCGCGGCGGCGCCCCGTACGGGCCCATCACGAACCCCGTTAGCGCTTCCCTCTTGCTCCCCCCCGACGACGACGACGACGACTCCAACGCGTTCTGCGCGTACCGGTGCAGCCGCTTCGAGAAACCACCGTGCGACCGGATTACCAGCTGGACGCTGTTGCACACGCACGTGTCCGGCAGCTGGTGCGCGCAGGCGATGGTGTACGGGTGCGCCTCCAGGGGCCCGACCCGGGGCAGCCAGAGGTACAGGTGCTGGCCAGCCTTCCACGAGAAGTGCACGTCTTTGATCGTCAGGACCGTCGTTGACGGGCCCACCGCCTGGACCTGGACCTCGTGCCCCAGGCGCCTCGTGCCCTTGCACGTCGACCGGTCCGGCGCCCGGAGCCGCATGTTCTGCCAGGCGAGGAACGCCCACCGTGCGAGGCGGTCGAGGCAGACGAGGGCGATCGAGAACCAGAGGTACTGCTGCGCGTAGTTGGGGATGTGGACGTACACCAGCCAGAGGAAGAAGGCGGCCGTCAGGACGTGCTGCGCGACGAACAGCTCGTACGCCATGCCGCGGAAGGGCCGCACGCCGACGAGGAACGTCCAGACCAGCAGACCCCACGCCCCGAGGCCGTACTTGATGGACGGCAGAATGCTCAGCTGCTCCTCGACGAAGTCGGCACGCACCCACTCGGTCCAGAAGTGGAAGCCGTGCACCGTCGCCGTGACGAACATTGTGCGGCCGACCCAGCGGTGCAGCCAGTTGAGCCGCTCGTGCGAGATGTCGGCGATGAGGCTGACGGGGCTGACTTTCATGGAGAGCAGGTAGACGAGCGGCATCTGCATGAGCGTCACCCAGGCGTTGCGGAACCCGATGCGCTCCCAGAAGTAGGCGTCTTTGACGACGGCGTCGTTGGCCATCATGTAGATGATGACGGCCCAGTATGCCAGCAGGACGAGCACGTGGCCGAGCGGCGGCGGCGTTGCCCACCGCAGGCCCCGGACGGGGATGTAGAGCTGCGGGTGCCCCGCCTCGCGGACGATGGCCGTCGCCGTCGCCCAAATCTGTGCGATGCGGTTCGAGGGACGGGTCGGGAACTGTACCGACTCTGAGCGGCATCGCCGTAGTCTAGATGTCTAAGTATCACAGCACCAGAGAGGGATGGTTCAAGAAGAAGAACAAGGGGGAGGGTCTCTTCTCACCTTCTGAGGCCTTCGAGGTAGTTAATGCCCCGGATGATGCCGAGGAAGCCCACGACGCCAGCGATGATGTACCAGAACGACTGCGCGAGCTGGATGTTGGTATCCTGGAACAGCGCCGTTCCCATCGGCATGCCGCTCATCCCGCCCATTCCCCCCCCTCCTCCTCCTCCATGATTATGGCTCATTGCCGTGAGATGTAAAGTAGCACCGGGTCGTCGTCGTGCGGCAAATGATTAAGCCGACGGCAATGGTGTGAGAGCCCAACTTGGGTGTGTTTTTCCCCTCGAGATAGTCGACGATATCCAGCGCCGTCGGTTTACGAAAGTCTCCGTGTTTATCAGTCGGCGGCGGCGCGTGTTAGGGTCGAGTGAAAGGCGGAAACAGCAGCGACGGCGAGCGAGACGTCGAGAAAGGGACAACAGCGCCGCGCCAAGGTCATGAGGTTATGACAAATCCGGCGGAATCATCTCACAGACAAAACCCCCCTCTCATCTGCGCATGAACGTGAGTGAAAGGCTGTGAAGGTCGATGTTTGCTCGGCGGCAAGACAGGAGGAGGGGGGGGTGAGCGCCTGTAACCAGTTCCCAACGGCCCGGCGTGCCTGTGTCTAAAGACGGGGGATCCGGTCGGCGATGAGGTGAATTGAGCAAGTTCAGGATAGCCGCAGACTCTCGGCAGCATGAGCAGGATGTCAGATATGAGTAAAGATCAGTCAAGACAAGACACAACTGCTGTTATGGAACGGCTCGACCTTGGCGGATGATGCGCAGGCTGAGAGGGCGGCTGCTGGAGGGGCCGGTCGTTGCCACTGCTATGCTATGCTATGTAATTAGCGCGCCGCGGCCCAGGGCTCATCCGAGAGGCCATGGCAATGACATGGCATGGGATGGCATGGGACGGCATGAGAGGTGGCCCAGGTGGGATGCTTCCCAGAAGGAAACTTGACTTGATGACTCGCTCACCCACGGGGGAGGGTCGGCTCGGTTGGTACGGGTACGGCATGCCTTGTCCACGATCGTGGGGGAGGGGGGGGGGATTGATGTCTCGGCTACATTTCCACTCGAAACCCGGCCGAGCCTAGTCAGGACGGCTTGCTGAATTCTACATGAGCAGGAATATTCGTTGTTTCGATTGCCGGAACGCTACGGGGCACATGGTATTCCGTATCAAACATGACCAGGGCAACTCGTGTTCTCACACTTAGACAATTAGTGTATCTGTCCACACCCTGTCGATAGTTTATTTGTCCCTTCAAATGCTCTTCCCCTTCAAACAGGCGCGCAGAGAAACATCAAGCACCTCCCCCGGAGTCGTTCAGGGTTTTGTCTCCAACTCACCAGACACCGTCATGTTGCCTCAGAAACATGCTCAGAACGGTAGATGGAGCACCCCTGGAGTCTATCCTACATACCGTAGTACGGATACTCTGTACAAGTATGTACTAGGTACTAGACGCAGTCCCAAAGTCCCGGGGTGGAGAGGGAGGGGGAAGGGAATGCGCGCGCAGACGCCACAATTTGCTCAAATCCTCTCAATGACAACCCTCCATCCACGCCGTGATTGGCTCGAGTGCGGCCCAAGGACATGGAATCCCTGTGCAAATCACGGAGCTAATCCGATCAAGGTTTAACCACCATCCCTCTTCACTTTGGACTGCTCCGTCGACGGCAATGTGGCACAATCTCTACGACGACTGCTCGATACGACACCGTTGTCTTGGGAGGAAACATGGCCGGGTGACAACTCGGTCTATTTGTATATCGAGCAGCTCTCGACAGAGCCTCGCCGTTCGGCCCCCGAATAGCCTACAATTCCTATCGTCCTCTATCCCTCTGTATACTGGTCGTCCTCGGGGGTCCATAGCAACATCCCGCCCGTCTCCCCGCATCTTGGGAAGAGGCAAATATACGACCCCGGTTGCCTGCGAAGCTCTGGAGCTAGTCGGGGGGGTCATGCTGCCGTGAGCAAGTTTTCACTTGAAATCCCTCTTAGCCCGGGAGGGGAATAGGTAGTCCAGCAACCGGCCCAGTCACGGCCACCTTCCTTTATAGTTCTTCGTCCCTGTGCCGAGTCCCGAATCTAGAACCGTTCTCTCGTCACGTCCGGGCTCCTCGTTTATGACGATGATACCCTTCCCCCAGGATCCCCCATGACGCCGTCCGACTCGTGTGAGGCCGCCCCCTTAGCCGCTACGACACGTCAAAACAAGTAACCCGTGAAGCAGATAACCTAGTCCCATCGTGTTGCGATGTGAAGAGCTCTCCTTGTGTTCTCAACACAGTTAAGCTTGGCTTGTTCGAGACCGACGGCGCAACCAGGCTTAGCCCTATCATCCCGTTGCTCGGGACAAGTCCCCCCCCTTCCCCTCTCTCTTCCAATTGACCAATTCCTACCCTCGCGTAGCCGTTCATAAACAGCCCGTGTGTCCCGTCAACCTTGTACCGAGCCTTCTGATATCTCATCTCAAAGTCCAATCCGTACCACAAGACCTCTCTCCTACCAAACTCGCCCTCCGCGCCGTCTCCGTGCCGACATACTCTATTCAAACACATTCGTCACCTCCAAGACGAACATATAACCCGAACCGCAAACCAAAATCCAAACCCGCCGCCAAAATGACCCGCGTCCTGCTCCCCCTCCTCGCCCTCGCCTCCGTCGCGACCGCCCACTTCTCCCTCACCCTCCCCCCGCCCCTGAGCGACAGCGACGAGTCGGAGGCCACCGCCCCCTGCGGCGGCTTCTCCATCTCCTCCTCCACCAAGACCACCGACTTCTACGTCGGCGGCGACGCCATCGGCATGAAGAACGGCCACCCCCAGAGCAACTGGCTCTTCCGCGCCACCACCGACCTGACCGCCGCCGGCGGCTGGACCCAGCTCTTCCCCATCGTCATGCAGACCGGCCTCGGCAACTTCTGCGAGCCCCAGATCGTCGTCCCCGGCAACTTCACCGGCAAGAAGGGCATAGTCAGCGTCGTCGCCCACTCGCCCGACGGCCTGCTGTACGTTGTAAGTCATCATCAGACAAGAGAAACCCCTCGCCACACCCCCGACTAACGCCCGCCCAGTGCTCCGCCGTCAACTTCGTCTCAGGCACCGCCCCCACCCGCTCCGACTGCAAGAACGCGACCATCACCGCCAACTTCACCAGCGATCCCTCCCTGACCGCCCTCATGAGCGGCGACGGCGCCTCCGCCGGCGGTGCGTCGTCCTCCGGCACCCCCACCGCCTCCGCTTCCGCCTCCGCTTCCGCCTCCACCTCCCCCAACGCCGCCGCTCCCCGCGTCGCCGTCGGAAACCTCTTCCCCGGCATCGCCGCCGGATTGCTCGCGTCCGTCGCCGCTGCCGTCGGCGGTGCCGCCATGCTCTTCTAATTTGCTTGCCTTTCGTGGCTGGGAGGAACGGGAGGGGGAGGAGGAGAAGAGAAACACACACCTCCCCCCGTCCCTATTTTTGTATTACATTATTTTTTAAAAAGAAACATAATGGCCCTTAGCGGCTTGCAACAAAACGATATGAAGGGTTCATCGGTTGGGCTGACTCTATCAAAGAGAAGCCCGCAGCTGTCATAGAGCACAATACATTGAGAATATCTTTTGGCGTATACGCGAGCTGTTCGCGGCTTGCAGTCTTGGGCTCTCGGATCATGTACATCACCCAACCAAAGATTGTGTACATCTTGAGAAGCCTGTTATTGTCACCGCAAGCCTAAATGCCCCCGATTGAACAAAAAAACAGCCATTGGAGCTGGGTATGATAAGCACACTGTCCTATCTATGTACATGTATACATGGGGGGGGGGTCATGAGCTCTTCGCTCTGTACAAGTTACACGACACAACACTGTTCGCCAGATGCTCTTGTTCGTCTATGAGAATATGTGCACAACTGAAACCTCGTTCATCGGAACACACGCCGGCCGCGTTATCATAAACGACCCCTGACTCTCCAAGGGCTACGCGCGCTCGCGGCACCAGCAGCACCGACGCCAAAGTTGTGAAGCCTCTCCCCAATAAGGTAGGCCTCGTCCCTGATGCGCGCCTTCCAGTTGTTGAACACGCCCACGATGCTCCAGAAAGCCATGGCGGCCAGCGCGCTCAACGCCGCGGCCGGGTACGACAAACGGTATATCGTCTTGAGTTCGTGAGGCGCAGGCCCCGGTGTTCCGAGGACCCCGTGAGAATCCATCCAGCCCACGGCGTAAGGAGGGCCAAAGATCGCGAGCCCCCCGATGAGGAGGCCAGGCACCACGAACGCCCGCGTCAGAACGAGCACGTCGGGTTGCAGCCAACCACGACGCAGCACGGCGCGAACAGCTTGTGCCATGCGGGTGCCCTCGTATAGGCTGGTGATGGCGCGAGCGCCGAGCTTGACGTAAAGCAAGCCCAAGGTCCACGATTGTATGACTCTTGCCGTGTGCTGGTTGGAAACAATGACGCCCTCCTTGAATTGCCCGTTGTAGTTGGTCCCGGCCATGTAGGGTGTCGGCGGATACATGTAGGTGTGCATGGGAATGAGGCAGTACAGCTCCATGAGCGCCGTCAGGATCAGAGGGAAAATGATCAGAAGGATGGTGTACGCATAGGCAAGCCTGGCGACTTGAATGCCCATGAGTGCCACCCCCATCGGGGCGTTGCTCTGCCACGCGGACTGCAGCGTCTTGGTGGCCCAGGCCGTCATCTTTCTGAACATGGAGCGGGCGTGGAAGAGGAAGTAGGCCGCGGAACCTAGGATGTAAATGCCGATGCTGAAAGCGTATATGTCGTTGGTCCGGATGTGCGCAGGGATGAGGACCTTGAACATCTTGCGACCGAAAACGAGAGGCACGATTGTGAAGCTCACGCCTGTAACAGCAGCAAACATCCAGATGAACATGATGAACAGGAAGACCCTGGCTCGAAAGTGCGGTGGGATGTACACCAGCTGATACTGGTCTGTCGAGTAGAGGTCCGTGTCTGGGGAGTCAGGTTTGCCGTCTAGACGAGTGTTGGCCTCGGAAACGGGCATAAAAACGCGTCTTCCTTTGGGAATCTTGACCTGGTCCGACGCAGGCGTTCGCACATATTGGCCGTCTTCGATCAACTGCCCGGTGAGAACAAGGCTAGCTTTTCTTAGACTCAGGTTGATCATTTGATCATTGGGAATTGAGGATGTTGGTTTGGCTGTGCCACCCTCGAAAGTATCTTCCCACGTCTTCGGCACAACTTCGTTCTGCTTATTGACCTCCAGAAACAACCGCCTCCACCACGGCAAGTTCTTGAGGTCCGAGCCCGGGCGCACAGCCAGGATTCCTTCCTCGTCGATGCGACGCTCGCCGAATAGAAACCAGGTCAGGCGAAGTCCTCGAGCGCACTTCCGGAACCACCAGGTGTACATGGCGTGCAGGCCATCGCTGGGTTTGAAGAACTTGACCGCCAGAGGCATTGCGAAGTTGTAGAAGAGCAGGTCGACGGGGAACTCCAGCACAGGCTCGTTGGACGAGTAGTGAATGGGCAGCACGTTGGGAAGGCTGAGAGCCAGACCCCAGACCACGCCACCGAGGCAAACGATGACAAGTGCGCCATACACAAAGGCGGAGAAGAGAATCTTGCGCAGCTGCGTCATGACGTTGCGCTCCAGCACATCGCGGACGGGATGGAACTCTGGGTCATCGGGATCACGGATAAAGTCTGCCAGAGTTAGCGGGCGCATGAATTGGGGGCACGATACGAACAAACTTACACAGAACGCCCTTGCGCATTATCTTCCGGCACATGGAGACGAATAGTGCAAAGTGAAACATGTATCCTGTGCCCACGAACCAGTGCACGAATATTGAGGTTAGCGGAAAGTTGATCGTAAAGGCGACCCGGGATTTGAGGGTGGTTGCTTCGAAGAGGGGGAGAAGAGCGACATCCAAGAGAAGACCGCAGTAGAGAGGGAAGATGAGCATCTCGATACTGATGATGAGAATGACCTTCATGACGCCGCTGGCCTGGTTGAGCAAGTCGATCAACGAAGCTTCCCACTCCTGGCCTGTCGGTCCGGTGGAGAATGGGGAGCCACGTCGTAAGTAGAGCGCGCTGATGGCCGAGAAGGTAAAGTATCCGCAGAGAATCGCCCAGAATCGGTCGTTGCCTGACCAGTACGACAACGCAGGATTCACAGCTACCGAAGGCTCAGGCACACTAAAGCTGATCACCCATGAGCCAGGGTTGAGGACGCTGATGGGAACATCCCGAACGGCGTTCCACGCAAACATGGATGCGCTTGCCGAAAGGGATGCCACGTGCTTGGCATTTGTGATGAGGTCGCGGTCGAAAATGGAGCTCAGAATGTCGCCTACAGCAGCAAGCGAGCCAGACAAGTAGGATTTGAAGTTGAGAAGTGCCTCGTGGCTGATGGCGGAGAAGTTCTGCATCTCGGTGGTTGAGATAATCGGCAATTCGCTGGTGAGACTTTCGAGAACCCGACTAGATGCACTAATAAAGATGTTGAAAGTCTTGGTCATGAGCAAGCCAACCCCATTCCCGGCTGGGAAGCCCATCATTCTTCCTGTGGTGTAAACAAAGGACAGGGCTAAGCTGCCCAGGCCGGCCATGACGCCGACAGCCACATCTTGAACGAACTTGGTCATGCTGAAAAGCATACGAACTAAGCGCATGGGGTTCATCGCTGCCCAGACGCTGATTCGTCCTAGGTTGTACGGTACGAAGACGCAGACAAAGATGGTGACTGAAACGAGCACGACACAGAATATGGCGTTTTGGAAGAGACCCGCGATGGGTCCGCGCATGCCGATCAACTCCATGATGCCCTCGAAGTCCTCGGCATCATCGATCGCTTCAGGGTCAAGGCCGGCGGCGACGGCCGCTTCGACAACCTCTCGATCCTGCTCGACGCCGTCCTGGTCATCGTCCATGTCATCGAACTCATCGTCGTCGCTGTCATGATCATGCTCATGAACAGCCTCGTCGTCGCGCCCGCCAATGTCCAGCTCTCGGATCTCAATATCGCCCCACATAAAGTCGGCGACTCGGTTCATGACTCCTCGCTGAAGAGGCGGACGCTGAGCCATTCGGACGTCTTCGGTTTCTGGCATGTCGTTGTTCTCTTCGACCGCTTCCACAGCGGTACCATCGTCTTGTCGCGGGCCAACGCGGTCTACGGTGTGCGCATCTGAGCCTCGGGGATCGAAAGCACCGTTCTCTTGAGGCTCCGCAACGCCGAATCCGAAATCCAGGTCGGAGCCGTACTCGGGGGAGTTGCTGCGGGGCGGAGTGGGGCGACCAGCAGAAGGACCAGCATCGTAAGCTCGGGGATTGGCGCCCGACGTTTGCACCGGCTCCTCAGTCACGAACTCAGTTGGAGGTAACGTGTTCAGACCGGAGAAAGACCAGCTGTTGTTTGCCAAGGGGTTAATGGTATCGCTCCGTTGCGGGCCGTCAGAGACAGATCTAGGTCGCAGGGGGCTCTGATAGGATGTCGACCTCCACTCGCTTGCACCTTCGCCGCGATCAACGGGTTCTTGCTCGTCTGCTTGCTGTGCGATCTTGCCCTTGCCTTTGCCACTCTCATCGGTGCTATTTTCGCCCGAATGGTAGGTCGGCCAGGAGAATTGCGGTGTTGAGGGGGCAGGCAGCTGAACCGTGAATGGAGTCGGGGCTGGCGAATCTCTGGAGGTCGAGGGTCCATCGGATCTGGAGTCATTCTTCCTCGGCTGGGCCACGCCCGCCTCTCGGTTCTTGTCCATCATGGACTTTGTGATCCTGGCCCAGTAGCCTAGCGGCTCGTCCAAGTCCTCGTCCTCGATAATTTGGAGGATCTTTTCGGGATCACCATTGGCTTGGCGATATATCCGCAGGTACTCGTGCACAGCTGCGACAGGGGCCTGTGTGTCCTTGTCCTTGTCAGTGCGGCCTTCTGGCGGCGTGTTGAAGTCGAATTCCGGTCCAGTGTTGCCGTATGCGTGCGGACCAAGAGTGTCGAGGTGCCTTGGTAGTGAGGGTCCCGCAGCTTCAGCTGTCGCTTCTTGGTCGTTCCAAGGCACATGAGGCCTAGGTTCCAGGCCTCCGGGTCGCTGGCCGGTCATCGATTCGTCGTCATCCTCATCGCTTTCGCTGGGACCTCTTAAGTCCTCGTCATTGAAGTTGTCAAGCATGTCGGCGTCGTCTTCATGCTCGTGATGGCGATGGTGATGATGTTGGTGCTGGTGTTGCGGTTGCACCGGAGGTTGCGGCTGCTGGTTGTCATTGGCGGCGAAGGCAGCCCGCATGTTGATTTCCGGTTGTTGCTGGACAACATAGTCGCGGACCAGGATGACGAGAATGAACGAGATTATGACTAGGATTGTAATGATCTGGCCCTCTAGCACGCCAATAATGGTACGGTTCACC